ATCACCCCTATAATAGAATAAGCAATCTAAATATGGGGAATGGGTTGCAAGAGAATTTCGATTTACGCTAGCTTGCGTTAACATAATTTGAGACCCTCACACTTTTGCCTAAAGTCCAGAACCCTTCTCTTTTTTTCCTGAAAGAAAAATAATGGTCTTTCTTCTGCTTTTTTGTGGAAGAGCAGCTATTCATCTTCTGGCGCCTAAAGCATGTACAGAGAAGACGAAATCGGTCAGTGTCTATATACCTACCCATGAGGGGTGAATAGCACTTCACTGGTGTAGGACTATTTCGATATTGGTTAGATTTAGATGTGTCCCTAATAGCTGAAAAAGAGTGAATATTGAAATGGACCGCAGTTTATCAGTTAGAATATCTACCATTGTGTATCATGACAGATAATGATGTAATGTACATATCATGTCATTATATAAATGTTTTCCTTACAGATATTAAAGAGTACATAATTTATTTGGAGAAGAATTACTTTATCACGATCTATATTTAGTTATCAATGATAGAAAATTTGATGTAATATATATACCCCCCCCCCCCCCAAAAAAAAAAAAAAAGAAAGAATATTAGCCAAAGGAAGATAAGAAAAACAGAAAATAGTACTTCGATTTCAAATATGACGACAACAAGGACAAAACAAACAAAATTGTTGTAAAATTAGAAAAAATTGTCTATTACTAAACCATCGGTAATATCAGTAATATATGTCACTGGCTATCCACTAAATCAATACATTGACACAAAAAGGGCATTTTTAATGCATATTTTGAGCAAATAGCTTCAAAAACTAATCTTGTTTTGATCATCAATTTCCTCTCCTTCGTTGAGGTCAACTGGCAAAATTTTACTGCAGACATCCTTATAGCCAATTTGATGATAAGAGTTTACCGTCTTATTATGAAGATGTAGAAAACTGGCCAGCAGGATCTCGGCCTCCATCCGCTTCTCAAACCACGTGGGACGTATTAATATTACACACTTTTTACCCAGAACTCGTAAAAACAGTTAAATTCAGCACGCACATCCATTAAACTGATCTACTTCCTTGGCTCGAGATGTCTTTGGCAGAGACGAGCCTTGAGGTCAAGATCAATACCTTCCGGTGTGTCGTTAAACGGTGAGAAGGTTTTGGTTCTGGGTTCTGTGGCACCCCCCCCCCCCTCTTTATGTTTTATAGAGCCTTGTCGACAAATTGCAAAATTTGAGGACCCCCCCCCCCCCCCCCCCCACATACACATCTTGTTGCAAATGACTTAGTTGAAATTCGCCAGGGCTAACTTATCATCAAAGTCGGTCTGACAACCCCTATTCAAAATGGTCTAGTGACACCCTGTGCACGTTGCTATACATTTCAATAACCAGGTCGAATCCATGGTTCGTTTGTAATGATGATGCCTGCCTTTCTCATCTGAGTTTTTTACTTTTGTAATCACTATTCAATGAATTTGGCATTCTAACAAAACACAGTAACTTGATAGATTAGTTGATTGATTGGATGGCCGGTGTAAGATGATTGATTATTGATCCAGCCACAGAGATGTGGCCTGATCCAGCTGACTCGCTATTCATTTCTTTTCTTTTTATAAAATAAGACCATTAAAACAGATGCAACCCTGTTGGTCAAAGACAGAAGGGATTTCACTCTATATAAATATATATTAGTTAACGCCCTTTAGGCTCATTGTTTGCATATCAGCATCTGCACATAATTATACCGACGAGTGTTTTTAAACGTATTCCGTGACCAGTCAGATATTATATTATATTGCTAGTATTGCAGTAAGCTAGATTACCAAGCCTATCGTATTTTTAAGCATAGCCCTTTATCTGTTGACGGTATTGTGCCCAGAGCATAATTCGTATCACTGTATAATATATTCTTTGCGTTACTATGGCAGCAAAAGCGTACCGGCCTAATTTTTAAAATACAGTACGTGAGAGGTACGACTTTCTTCTGGGAGCAACAAAATCAAATGCCCAGTAGTTTTCTCTCATTTAATTGAACTCACACCAAGTGTAATATAAATAATTACAGAAGATATAAAAAATGGATAGGTCGTGACCTTCCAAATATTGCAAATGGGTATCGTATCGTTCAACACTGTTCCGTCTGTCCACTGATTTGGCGTTAAAATGGAGGCGCCAATATCTTTCATCTCCTGCCCATAATGCTGTACTTTACCAGCTTGTACAGGCGCCATAATTGTAATTATAATTATCGCCGTACGTAGTACTGTATACCAGTTTTAGAGGCAATTATCCAGCAAAACGACACACCAAAACTAATATCAATACGCATTTAATGTATAAATGGTAAGGTCGTGACCCTTTAAAGGGGCTGATCGTTCACCACTCTTTCATCTGCGCACTGATTTGGCGTGAAAATAGAGACGCCATAAATTTATTGTCATACACGATGCTGTATAATACCGGATTGAAAGCAATTATCCAGCAATCGCCATGGATGAGCAGGTGGCCGGCACTGGTTATGGCCGGAAAAATCGGCTGGGACACAAGGGAAATCCTACATTGGTATTTTACAACCTATTTAAAACTAAAACTAACTTTGGTTAAGAATGGAGACGACATTAATGATCTTCGAGATTTTATTCTAATTATTATGATATCCGTATGTGGTTGCCGTGAAAAGTAGACGCCGCAATTTGTAGGATAGCTTTCTTCTGGTCGAGTTCGTTTTATTTGCACCATAATTCCGAAAAGCTTTAATCAAAATGTCATGAAATAGGGTCGGGGACATAATTATCTAGACTTTACATCAAGGATTGCGATATTAATGTCTCATTCTTAAGATAATACGACCTTTACTTTTCTTTTATTGATATAATTATTGGAGGGAATGTGTCCCTTGTTACATGTGTATCAGACACTGTTTGTATTACAGACTCCGTGGTCCTCTTGATATGTATATCATTAAAAACGGTAGCTATCATTGAATGCATACAGAACAAACAGAATACATCTTCAGTCTGGGTAGCAATAAATATTTGAAAGTGCTGTACTACTAGGATGTAGAATTGGTAGAGAGAGATATGCTTGTGTTGCATCCCTTCACCCATGTCATAAAACTGACAATCAAAATGGAAAAAATCCTGGAGTGTCGGAGATAGAGTTGTAAAGTGGTTTGACTTCGACCTTCATTCAAAGTGCGAAAGATTTTGACGTGGAGGGGGGGGGGGGGGGGGGGGGGTGGGTGCGCAACATGAGAATGCTGTCAATCGAACAATGGCGTATCCAGAATTTCCTTTTAGAAAGGCAGGACCCTCTCCAAGACCTGGGTGATGGGATGGGTAGTGTATATTATATGCGTGGCATTCTCGCGTGCATGGTGTAGACCAACCGCAAGTTGTATTGAAAATGTATTCCGTGGTGACGTCTTCAAAATGGGGGTCGTAACTATGTAGCCTTACTCTATGCCTGGACTACTGGTTATGTGCAGGAACATTCAGAGCGAAGATGGTGAAGACGAGAAATTCAAGCAATTCAAGCTCGATTGGACGATTTCCGATTGAACCGTGAACAAAAGTACTTAATTCGAGCACGACCGTAGCTGAGGTCCATTAAATCTAGGAAGCTTTTTTTTTTTTAATGTTACGCGTCCATTTGTAAAATCAGTGAAAAGTTAATTGGCGAAACAAGTCGCAGGAATTATTAGGTTAGCGGGGTTTGCGGAGTGATGAGAGATAAAATATATTTCAATTGGTAGTATGAAAATGTTGGTAACTGTTCAAGATATTTGTACTTTTGTATTTATGCAACATGCAGACTTAGATGCTACATGGTAAACATGGGTGTAAATTACGTGCCTATTTTTTTCTATTTCGATTTACTAATTCGTTTACGTAATGCTCACTCCTTTTTTATCATTTGGCCAACTAACAATATCGAAATTGTAAATTACATCCCCCATGCATACATCCATGTCAAATACAAGCGTGATCATGGTTGTAATTTGTATTATTACCAAAATGCTCATGATTAAATAAGCCATGTACAATATACCGTCAATGAACTGTGTCTAAAACGTCACAATTGAATTGACATTCAATGCTGAAAATACACTCAATGGGATTAGCAACCATATCATAATGATAGTAAAAACGAAAACTTTGAAACCCCGGAAGCCTAAATAAAGCTGCGTGTCTAATAGAATAAAATTCGTCTTATATAGTTAAAAATGTTTGTACAAGAGCAAGTGGAAAAATTAGGGTGGCATTGCCGGTCATCAATTTATGAACAGGACAGTTTGGAAGAATAATTAAATTTGCTGGTATAAAGTTAACGATGAAGTCCTTGAATGCTCTGAGCACCGGAGTCGATAGCCTATATACCCTTTATAGCTGGAAAGTTAGGGTAGAAATATTGGAGTGCCTTGAGGACGATGTGCAGATCGCGATGCATCGCGGGTTTGACCGCTTTATGAAAAGCCGATAATTATCATTATTTTATTTATTATGATTGTCCGGGGGCTCTGAGGACATTGAGGTAACACCTGTCTGAAAACAGGTAATGAACCTCGAGGGAGCAAGGCAACTGAGTGACGAAAATGGTTCATCATCTTTTCACATTGTCTCTTCTTTTCGTTTCTTTTTATTTCTTTTTTAAACAAAAAAATGTTCATGGGGAGAGTTGGGTCTGTGTATCCGTACTTACTGATAATTGTTCCCTTGGATTGATCATATACATTCAAAACATAAATCTTTTTTCATTCTCGATCTTCTTTTTCATTAAATTACAGACATCTTTCATATTTAGTTGAGCAACGCTCAAAGGCTACTTATTGGGTGACAAGAACATGCTATATGGTGACCGATCGGTGTTTCTTATTCTCCAGTCAAGGGTCTTCAAACCACTATTAATATCTCAAGTAGTAAATACTCTGAATGAATGATGATGATATCAATACCATCTGAATTGTCATGTGATAATCTTTCCCTTTCTCTTGTTTTTCTTCTTTATCATATAGGCATCCTTCCAATCTAGTCGTGCAACGCTCAAGGGCTACTTCTTGGCTGGTAAGAACATGCTGTGGTGGCCGATTGGTGCATCCTTATTCTCGAGTAACATCGGCTCTGGTCACTTCATTGGTCTGGCGGGGTCCGGAGCAGCAGGAGGAATTGCCGTGGGCGCCTTCGAGTTCAATGTAAGTATTGGGGTGCCTGCTCCAATTTTAAAGGGGAAGCAGAGGGAGGGAGGGAGGGAGGGCCAGTTCTCTGAATTGGATGACAGGTGAGAAAGCTCATCATAAGTGTAACTGCGAGGAAGTGTTACGACCAAGAGGAAACTTGTTAATTCTTTAAGACTTGAAATCCTTTTTTGCGATTGTTCCAAATATTTACTCGGGCTAGGGCACTTTTTGGGAGGGGGAGGGGGGATGAGCGGCTAAGCCACCAAACAAACAACAAATATTAACGTTAAATCATAGAAGTATAATGCATTAGAACTGAAATGAAGTTTGAAACTAACCTACTTTGCTTGGTACTATCCCAAGAACCAAATACGATGTTCTGAAACAACAGACACTTTCTTGAAAAGTACCTGTTACATTATTTCCCTTATCTTTAAAAGGAGAAAAATAAAACAAAGTCTAATGTAATGATGGCAAATATTAAGAAGTACTTTGACAATCTTGCAGAAGAAATGGGGGAATAACATTACCATTTAGTTTAACCATTAAACACAAAGGGCGAAAGTCAACATTAAACCCTTTTATCAGATGTACATCACAATAGCCAGAGTTCCTATTGTTATGGGCGTCATGACAAAACTCAACATAGTCCAAAGGTTTCGCGTCCAATCACATTGACTAAATAAAAAGTAAATAATTGACAAATGAGATGTATGAAAGTATCAAACAATTAGACATGATCATATTAACTTTACAAATAATATAACCCCTCGTTGATCTTTTTAACCACCACGCCCTCTTTATACACAAATCATTGGAATTTTATTGGTTTAATATGATATAAATGTATTTTATTCGATTTAATGTGATATTAATGCTATGATATACACAACTAAGGGTAAACACGAAAAAAATTAATAACAAAAGCAAAAACAACAGCAACAATAATGATAATTTAATGATAAAAATAATGATAATAATAATGGTAATAACGTTAATAATGATATTAACTATACGATGCAAATACAGTAATAGTAATAATGATAATGATAAAGAAGAAGAAGAAGACGAATTTAAAAAAAACCAATTACTTTGAAAATATTAAGCATTGTTAAAGGTAAAGACAGTTCTGGTCATGCGATTGCATTGTGAAAGAAACGTTGTGGAATCGATCAGAAAAGGTTGATCATCTAGCATATAAGTATTGGTGTGTACTGCAAGGTTCTAAATCATCAAAATGATAAGAAATTTGGCCCAGTCTTTAAGTTACAAGCACTGTACACAGAAAGATGTATATGGGACTACGCGACAAGTGCGCGATATCTATCCGGTCCGGATAGATTTAATAATTTACCAAATATATCAATTAGTATTGGCGGTATCAAGTAAAATAAGCAAAAGTGGATGGGGATAGAAGTAGATACAAATAACCCTCGATGGCGTGGTCTTCTTCTTTGACTATTTTTGTTAATTGTTTTATTTTGTTGATAGAGAGCACTAAGTTCCGTAATCCCGCCCAATGTAAATATCTTTACTTACTTATCAATTACTTATCTAAATCTATATGAATACGATAATTTTCTTTTGCTGATTATTTAGTTCTGTTTGTTCTTTGCCATATATATTGGCTCGTTCAAAATACCCTTTGAAACATAAGGACACGCCATACATTCCTTATCGTTATTATTTACGAGACATTAATGTCTTTTATTGGTGGGAACTTTGATGTGTAATATCTGAAACCATTCTCACGACCGTTTAGTTATGTGGGTCGCGATGTAGCAAAACATGTTTATGATATACCTCCTATCTTTATGTGATGTAAATCTATAGTTCCAATAGGTATTGATGTGTACATCATTTGTACATTTTTTGCAAAATTATGATCAATATTAATTCAAAGAACCCACCGCGTAGGACCAGGGCCCGGTTGCATAGAACTTACCATTGATAGTAACTTTGCCATCAATGGCAACTACCATGGTAACAGGGCTCAATAGCCAATCAAAATCAAGGTTTCCATGGTAGTTACCATTGATGGCAAAGTTACCGTCAATGGTAAGTTTTGTGCAACTTGGCCCATATGTGTCCAAAACATTACCTTAAAAGTATGCGAATGAATCTATTTTGTCTCTCATTCTAAAATCGGTAAGGTAATTTAAACTCCTAAGGTGATATCATTTACAACGTTTCGTTGGATTTAGATGCACTATTTAAACAGAATATAAGATGTCATGTACATTGGAGGGTTTTGCCAGAAGATTGGCGTTTAAAGGTAGTTTATGTTGCGTAGCATTTTTTAACGGCAACGATCAACCAATAACTTTTTTTGCCTACTTTTCCCTCTCACTATTATACATTCGCAAAGGCGGATCAAGAATTCTGTATGAGAAAGAGGGAGCAGAATTTCTAACATTTTCTCATTAGAGTTTACTTTGGAAATCTAAGAAGAAAGTTAGTATGTTTTTAGGTAGCCCCCTTTTTCAAGGGAGGGGCCAACAAAATGGGTGCATTTTTCATTATTTTCTCTACTTACGGTATGCCACCAAGATTTTGAGGGGGGATATATATAATATAATAATAATCTTTTATAGCGCTATATCCAATTTATAACTGATCAAACCGCTTTACAAGACAAATAAATCAATGAATTAAAACTCAACATAAAATATGATAGAAATGTAATGCAGTTAATTACAATGTAAAATAGTTCAACTGACATACTACAGCGTAATTTACAAAGTAACCTATTCCATATAACCAGATCGCTGTTATGTGTCGGTTGTCTCACATCCCATCCTCATCACCGCGTTTGTACTCTGATAGTAATGTTACCAAGGTATCAATACGTGTCCAAGATGATGATTATATTCTAACAGGGTTTTTGTCACGTGTTTTTTTTAAAACAAGATTTATAATGTTGTCAGTCTATACAACTGTTGTTAGTCGGCGGAACATTTACAAATTACAATGCTCACATTATAAAGAAAACGAAGAATTATGACAAATGATGCAAACAGACACACAGGCTTTTATGAAATTGATAAATGATACATTATAAAGATGTAACAATTTGACGTGCACCAATTATTCTTTTTTATTCAAGTTATTGTGTGTTTAACATCTTTTTATTGTTCTACTTCAAATTACAGGCTATGTTCATTCTCCTGCTCTTGGGTTGGATCTTCCTTCCGGTTTATATGTCTGCCGGCGTAAGTATATCATTCGATATCCATCCTATCAGAAAAAAGAGATCACCGCTACTACTACTTCTACTTCTACTACTACTGCTACTACTGCTGCTACTACTTCTACTACTAGTACTACTGCTACTACTACTACTACTACTACTACTACTACGACTACTAATACTACTTCTACTACTACACCTAATACCTACTACTACTACTACTACTACTACTACTACTACTACTACTACTACTACTCATACTACTACTTCTACTACTACTACGACGACGACGACGATGACGACGACTACTACTACTCATACTATTAATACTTCTTCTGCTACTACTACTACTACTACGAATTCAATACAAAAATACTTTAAAATATATAAAAACTCCTTCTAAATACTTTTATTTTACTTTTATTTGTACTGCTACCTGTACTTTTTATTTATTCTACTTGCTTTTTCTTTTACATTTTCGTTTTCCATAACTTTTCTTATCTTCCTCCTGTTTTTCTTTTTCACTTTTTCATATCTTTTAAGGATTGGATTTTCACAACAAAATCCGTTTAACACAATCTTATAGATACTGCAAAGTCATGCAGTACATAATACCTGACACAGATAATAAATGATCAACTAAATTGCCAAGCCAATTTGTTGATCGGTGGGTCAATAACGGGTCAAGGCTAATAGAGCCTCCGTTTCACATATTGGGCTCATGTTACACAATCAACCGTTGTATAAGTCGTTGAGCTTTCCAAAGTGTTTCGTAAAAATAGGAGCCTTGATTCTTAATCGGTCGTATAACAATTAAAGTCCATAAAAACGAAGAAAAGGGGCAGGCTCATCCCATTGATAGCTGATTGAGATGTGCACAAGGTTAATTCTTTCATTTTATTACCCACTGGGTGATTATAAAATGTAATCATACTTAAATGAAATTAGGTATATTTTTGGGGTCTCTTATTTATTTTATGGTGTCAATAAAGTGTTAATTTCCCCTTATCGTCTCATATTTTATTCGATTTATGTAATCTAAAAAATCAAACTAAAAAAATAGTAATCATGTTGTGTGTCAATAGTCTCGGTAAATGTACGTGTCATTGATTAAACAGGGAAAAGGTCACAATTACACTGAATCAGTCATATAAAGAAATACTCAATATTGTTGTAACATAAATTTGACAAAACTAAGCATTTCTACTTTTCATTAAATCTTCATGATTATTCCTTTAAAAAAAAATCTGATTACTCTTACAAATGGATCTCAAAGAAAAGGAACCAAATTAACAAAATGATAAACAATAATGATGAAGAATACAACAATTCATTTCTGAATGCCTGAAATTATTCCTTTCCGACATATTTCTTACTTCACCCAAACATTTGTGCTACTAAGTCTACTATCTCCAGTAGTGTGTGACCGGGCCACTCATATTACCATTTTTTTTCGCGGATGCCGCCCTGGTTGTGTTTGCTAGTTCAAAGTTGATATGAAATGTGGATTAATGGCCATTAAAAAAGCAAGTATGGACATAGGTATATGATTCGTGGTGGATTGAGCTACTGTAATAATTACGATAGCGGTTTCTGTGTTTGAAATGCATCATGCATGTAATGGACATCTTCTAAAAAGTGGATTCACCACTCTTTTCCCCCTCTTCTCCCCATCCCCTTACCCTTCTCTTCTTCTCTCTCATCCCCTCTCCCCCTCTCCATCCTCCCTCTCTCTCTCTCTCTCTCTCCCCCTCTCTCTCTCTCTCTCTCTCTCTATCTATCTATCTATCTATCTGTCTGTCTGTCTCTCTCTCTCTCTCTCTCTCTCTATCTGTCTCTCTTCCGATATCAAACACAATGTATTAAACTTGTATTTTGTGTGTAGACCTACTCCTGCATTTTCAATAACTTCGAAGCATTGGAAACTCACATTAAAAGTTAAATAAAGGAAATAATGTTTTAATCGAAGCACTTGAAAAATCTTTATCGAGCAAACATTTGATTATTGATATTTCCGACATTTTTATTGAGAAATAGGAATTTCATGTAAAAATATATAAAAAATAAAAACAAAAATCAACAACACAACGAAAATACCCTTTGTAAACTTAAATAAAATTTATTCAAAATCGAATTTTGAAAATTAACAGACGAAAATTTAAATGAAAATTCAACCCAAATTCAAATCAATTGTCCAAAAAATCAAGATGGAAGGTGTAGGGTGCAACAGTGGTGGGGGGGGGGGAGAAGGAGGAGAAGGGCACATAACGTATGATGCTGAATTATTTATATGATTACTATATTGTTTTTTTATTTTCTATTCTTTTCTCATTGTTTTCTTCACGTGACAGGTATATACAATGCCCGAGTACCTGAGGAAGCGATTCGGTGGTCAGAGAGTGAGGGTCTATCTCGCTGTTCTTGCTCTCATCCTCTCCATCGTCACCAAAATATCGGTAAGATAATCATCATTATAATAATAATTGTTATTATAATAATAATAATAATACATTTATAGAGCGTCTTTTCATTAGCTACAAAGCGCATACACAATAAATAATTACAAACAAAGAGAAAGAATATTATTATACAAAACTTACATTAATTACAAACAGAGAGGAATATGTTTCACAAGATTAGAAAAGATATGTTTTCAGAAAAATCTTGAAAGCTGTTAGAGTATTGTCATTCTTTAGTAAATGGAGTAAGGAGTTCCAGGTTTTGAGGACAATAACTGAAAAAGCCCTATTACCCATCTGTTTACTGGTTCGAGGGACGGTAAGTTTATTACCACTTCGCTAGTGGCCGATCGTGTAGTATACTTGGATGCAGGCGCGTACGCAGGGGGGGGGGGGTTGGGGTTAAACCCCCCCCCCCCTTGATTTTTTTTTTTTTATGTGTATGTTTTGTGTGTATTTTTTGTGAAAAAAAATAATTATGCCAATGGCTGACCTAAAAAAGGTGACCTTACCCCCCCCCCCAACGGAACATAATGTCAAATTTTCAAATTTCGAGACCAAAAAAAAAAAGTGTCCGCCTACCCCAGGGACCACATGGAATTGCTCCTTTGAAATTGTTACTGTGAGAAGGTCTGCATGTCTTCAACTTTGTAGTTGATTACAGTATACTATCTAATAAAAAAACTTTTGAATCCGCGGGGCTGCCCAGATATATTACTCCTCACTATTTTCCCGCTATAGCTAGCTATACGGAGGATCTCCCTTTTTTATCAATTTCTGGAAATGCCCTTGTGCAGGTAGACGAAATATGGATCTATTCTTTGAGATGAAAGTTTTAAACAGCATTCTTTTTTGTGATTTTTCATTGTTTTATGCTAAGCCAGAATCTGCACCCCATTCGTACATAATAACACATTTAACTTTTTAAATTTGAAAGTGAAACACCATGCAATATTTCCCTATATCGCAATTTCCCCAGTTTGTTGGCACACGGCACCATCAGCCCATGCGTCACGAAATAATACTGAGCGCCATAAATGATGCATGCCGGCATCCATTAGCCATTAGCCATTCAAAGGATAATACGAGGGATAAAAACCCCTTGACTCCTCCGTATTTTCCCCACCATATTAACGTCCATTCTTAGAAAACAACGTCAGGTTCGTCTTAGTAAAATCTATCAAGTAGGAGCATTATTTACACTACACCAATTTCGCATATTTCCTAAACAACTTCCATTGTGTCATCGCAATGTTTGGGACATAAGCGTAAATGGCCCTTATGTTCGTCGCGGATTTTTTGGGTTGTTGTTCATGTTAAATCGTGATGAACCCAGCTCCCCCCCCCCTTCCTCCCAACCTCTCTTTTTCTCTACGCCTCCTTTTATGTCAATCTTCGCAGTCCTTATCGTAAATGCGCATTCCCACACAGACATTATCTTTATTGAAAAACAGGGGGAATCCCGCGGCCTAGCTCAACCCTTTCTCATTCTCGAGAATATTTTTGTAGGATTCCTGTTATCTTCCCCACCCACCATGCCCACTGGCGGTTACTCAAAAATATCATATCTTTTTAAAAATCAGTGTTTAAGACAATTTTCATCGAGCCCTCCATTTCTGAAAATCGGGATGCGCCCCCATATACATAAACCTATCCATCATTCTATGTAACTAAGTATCAATTTTCTATCTATCTATCTATTTTATTATTTATATATTTATTTTATTATCTTTCCGTATATTTCATTCCTTATCCATAGGTAACTAGCTGTCTATGAATATATCTATCTATCTATCTATATAACTACGTATCTACATATTTTCCTACCTATTTATCTATCTTACTGTCTCTCTATCTATATATCTATCTATCTTTCTATATATATTTTTTTTTATTATTTCTGTTGTGCGTCACACTACGTTCATAATATTTGAACAAGCATTGTAGGGCCTACGTTAGATGTTGCTTTTTTTAAATGTTTTTGAATGTTCCCGTTCCTTTCACAAATTGATTGATGTTATCTGAAAATTCTTCTAATCTAATTTATTTACAGAGGCAGGTGGTTAAAAAGAAATATTCATCTTTAAATATATTTCATATTATTCACTCTGTTTTGTGGAACCATTTGCCCGACCCTTACCCAGTCGCTTGTATTACACTTATCAAATATTTATTTTATGTAACCTCTCAATCTCAACCGTGAACATGATAAATATGACCTGATTTTAGCTTCTGTAAATATTATAGACAGACTATGGTGAACAAAACTGGAGCCAGCCTTACCATAATATGCAGACCAAATATACTACCATTGTAATGAATCTTATTTACAATTTTTCTATGTATATGCAGTGGTGTAGTTGCGTGGGGCACGGGAGTACGGACCCCCCCCCCCCCCCCCATCGAGTGTTAAAATAAATCCGAGAAATGAGGGAAAGGAAAAGGGAGAAAGAGAAAAATTAAGTGGAAAAAAAACCTTGACCACCTCCCACACCTTCCCCCTCAAAAATTCGCATTTTATTTTCCGAGAAAGACTACTGCCCCCACCCATCGTACCGGTGCCCTCTGAATGGGTGAATTTTACGCCACGCCATTGTGTACATGACACGTAGGATGAAAGAGGATAACGCTGATACGTCCTCATTTCATTTCATGGTTGAAAACGGGTCAAAATGTACATTAGAAGTACAGACTACAAGCGTGCATCGACCGATTCCACCAATAAACTTTTAGTAGATCAATACAATGAAGAGCTGAGGGCGTAACAATTTGTTGGGCCGCAAAGACACGTTCTGAGCATCGATGTCTTTATAATTATACAGGCGATTTTCTATACGTAAAGTCAAATAGTTTTACTTTCTGCTGTATAATAACATGAAAATGGTTCCAATATTCAATTAAAATCACTAACAAACATAATAAGGGTAGCACATTTTCTATGTGTGTACTTATGAAATGCAACTTGGGTTTTGCAAGGGACACAGGCTGGTTATAACATTCACCCCCCCCCCCCCCAAAAAAAAAAAAGAAGAAAAAGAAGAAGAAAAACAAGTAAACGAAAGTCCACCATTCGAAAGCCATTGTGCAAACTTATGTTGGGCAAAGGTTAGAAGATGAAGAATTACAAAATCAGCCCAGGGTCTTTGAAGCGAGAATATTCAGGTCATTTTTACACAATTTCACTTGGCTCTATGATAGATCGTACTACAGTCCAGACGATCTTGAAAACCACGAAGAGCAAACAAAGGCATAAGAATATGAGAATCAGCAGTGTCACTGTTTAGACACTCGATCGCGTCTATCTTTAGGTTCTGTTGCAGAAGCAAACTTGACATTATGTTGTATCTTATTTCATTCACCTGTTCATGTTTGTATGTACGTTTTGCCTACATTTTGCTCGTTTCCTTGTCCTTATTTGGTAATGTCTCATTTCTAAAAATAAAAACGGTCTGATTAAAAGTACTCGAGCTAACCCTGTGTATTGCAGGTGTAAAGTGTGAGGGTTTTACATGCTTAGTAAAGGGCCATGTTAAAATACCACTTGTCCGATCTTCTTCTTTCTTTTTTCTTCTCCTCCTTCCTCTTCTTCTTCTCCTCCTTCTTCTTCTTATTCTTCTTCTTATTATTCTTCTTCTTCTCCTTCTTCGCCTTCTTCTTTTTCTCTGAATGTGTAATGTGTAAGTTCTGATATTTAAAGTGCGAAAAATTTAACGGACTGGTCGAAATGACCTTTGTGCGACATATACCTAAAAAAACTGGGGGGCATGTCCCGACATAAGTATTCTTAATTTGACGACAATTCAATTACTGTGAACTGAATTCTCGCTACCCTAAATAGGTACGAAAATCTCGAAATTCGCGAGACGAGGTAATTTTCACTCTCTCGGGTCGTCACTACAACTTCCGGTATAGAGTCCCATCCCGCTGGCGCTAGCGCCTGTGTTCGCTGTGCAGAGTTTTCACGCACGCTAAAATCGATGCCAATCAGTGTAATTTGTACAGATTATAATATGCAATGGAAAGCTTCGGGCAGAATTAGTGACTTTAGCACAAAAGGCCGTTAAACTCTACCGTGAAAGAGAGGGTTGTGATCACGAACGCCTGCACAGGAAGCTGTAATGTCGAAAAGCTATCCCATAATGCAATGCGCGTTTTCAGGATTTTCCCCGGATCTCGGCAGAATCGCTATTTGGGGTAGCGAGAATTGAAGTATGACTCGAAGCTAAATACGAGACCTTAGATTCTTACCCTGCGATGTAAATAGTAGTACGGGCGGCGACGCGAAAAATACAGACTGAGAAAACCCACATAAACGCTTAGAAATTACATATATCTCCGTAACTGAGATATAGTTTGATTTTGAGATATTGTTATTTTTTCCTCGTCTGAATATCTGATCCTCCTAAATTTTCCCCACTTTCTCTATATCCCCTTCTCTGTATCTCTCTCTCTCTGTCGCTCTCTTTCTTTCTCTTTCTCCCTCTCTTTCTTTCTCTTTTTCCCTGTCTCTCTTTCTCTCTTTCTCTCTCTCTCTCTCTCTCCTGGAAAACAATGATATTCATCCAATTTCTTTTATGCAGGTGGATCTGTTTGCTGGAGCTTTGTTTGTCCAGCAGTCCCTCGGATGGGATCTCTATCTCTCCATCATCATCCTCCTGGCCATCACGGCAGTCTATACAGTCGTTGGTAAGTTTACTTAAATAATGGGAATAATTACAGCTTCCTTTCCCCATTCCTCAATCAACCTATTTCCAACAGCTAAAATTGTGTTTTAAAGAGTCTAAGTTAGATATGTTTCATAAAATAAAATAAGATAAATTGATTGATGGAGCAGAAGCTATAAAAAAACAGTGTAATATATTACTTAAAGGTTCCCTTCCTATTACATCACTGTAAAGTCTCTTCTTCGTTTTCTTTGTGACGTTATCATGCATTCACATTTTAAAATTTGATTTATTTATAGGCGGTCTCTCTGCTGTTATTTACACTGATGCCCTGCAGACGGCCATTATGTTGATTGGAGCTTTGGTGCTCATGATTCTTTGTAAGTATACCTTGATTTGATAATTTATATAAAGTAATACTGATCCAAAAATTCAAGCGACATACATGGATTTGTATATGTATTGTTTGAACATGTTTATGTAGTTGATAATATAATCAATTACAGACTCTTAAACAAATTGTGAAAATGATATTTCGGTGCCTCGCAGAAAGTAATTATAAAAATATATGTCATGTAGATCTGATGGTGATGTTGTATGGGGGTTGCGGTCCTTTAATTGTTGTTGTTGTTGTTACTTGATTATTTATTGTTTGCTTGACTGCTAGGAAAGCAATACGCGTGTTCATAAACAACGATGCACGCTGATGCCTACATTGAGGGAGAATAAATAGAGACTTTTAGATTTACACGACGAGAACATGGACTGCCACGTGTGACATCCTTTTAAGGCACTGGCAGTTGCCCGGCAGTGCCTAAAACGGACGTCACATTGCCTTAAAAGGATGTCACACGTCGCAGTCCAAGTTCTCGTCGTGCAAATCTAAAAAGTCCCTAATGCTTGACTGCAGGGATCCTAATCAGGGGCCTTCATGTTACTAGACTGTACTATCACACTAAGAAATAAAGGTACAAGTTTGCTACAATAGCAGCACCCTCTGCAAAATACGCGAATTAAGGTGGATGCAAATCTGCACCCAATTGCATCCTTATTTCTTAGTGTGTACTGAAACACAGAGCCATCGTGTTTACAAATGCATGTACATGTATTATCTCCATATTATGACACCGTCGTTCTCTGTCTTTTCCCCTTAGGTTTTATCGAGGTACCGTACAACGAGCTGTACATCGCCTACTTCCAGGCCATTCCCAACACCACGTTGAACAATCCTAATGCCACCTGCGGCTATCCACGAGAAGATGCCTTCCACATCTTCCGCGATCCGCTAACGGCTGATCTTCCTTGGCCTGGAATGATCTTTGGTATCACCATCTCTTCCATCTGGTATTGGTGTACAGATCAGGTAAGAGGACGTACTGAAAGGGTGGTGGTGATTTCGTTGCAGATGAAGGTTGTTGGTGGAGGTAATGATGTCGAGGGTTATATGATGGAGGGCGGTGGTGATAATTACAACGATCATGATGATGATCATGATAGTGATGGTATGATGGCGATGTTGAGTTGGTGGTGATGATGGTAGTGATGACAGAAGTTGTGGTTGGTGTTTTGAATGATCTCCTTCAAACTTGCATAATTAATGATGATGATTATGATGATAGTGAAATCGCTACCCTATTCATCATTACTATCATGCTAATAGGCATTATAGGGGTTTCCAGAAAAGGAAGGGAATAAGGAGAAATATGAGAAGTGAAGCGGATGTATAGTTAAATGTGGACTGCATTAGATATTACTGAGAATTAATCATACGTGTGTTCGCCCATTTTGTCTAAGCAGCAGACGGGATAGAATGAAAGCATGAATGTGAAATTTCGAGCTCAGGTTAGCAATTGAATCCTTTCACCAATGGAGAGACCAGTATGTTTGTTTAATCTTGTATCTCAAACTCGACTATGTCAGAACGAATGCTTCAACATTTTCGTCTAACTTTCCCATCTTGTCTGGCTTGACATGCGTTCCGTATCATTTTGTCTTTCTCATAAAAGGCATGATGAGTTAGTCTAGACATGTGTAATAAAATGTTGCATTTAGGGTCACTTTTGAAAGGTGCATGCATCAACTATAGTTGGAAACAATTAAGTTGTACGAAAATCGAAGAAATTAATGAGCTAAACTTTCATATGATTGCTTCAGTCTCATTTCCTATAACTAAGTACGGCAGCATCAATCTCCTAAACAGAAAGATGAAAACATAACCTCACTTTCTTCTCTCATTCTATATGGTCTAACAGGTGATCGTCCAGCGAGCCCTTGCCGCCAAGACCCTCTCTCACGCCAAGGGTGGATGTGTCATGGCCGCTTTCCTCAAGGTCTTACCCATGTTCATCATTGTATTCCCCGGTATGGTTTCCAGGACTCTCTACCCTAACGAAGTGGCGTGCGCCGATCCTGCCGAATGTCTTCGCATCTGCCAGAGTGAAACAGCTTGCACCAACGTTGCATACCCCAAACTTGTGGTGAACATCATGCCCACTGGTACGTTAGGGTTTCGTCTGTTTCTCCTTTGCGTATATAAGATCCCAAAATATAACCATCCTAATCAGTTCTGCGTATTATTATTGAGGGTAGATAAAGGGGTAATATTCCACCATGGAGGTGAGAAATACTACCCCCGCTTATTTGTCATGTCATCCCCCCCCCCCCCCGGGCGAGGAGATCTATATCCAGTATCTTCTTCTCTTCTTTAGCTTGTACCATACAATTCCAGCCAATTACTCTTGAAAAGTAGATTTGGATCATTGACATTATCAACCAGATCGATTGCATATATTTTCAGGACAACGAACCTCGAACAATCACCCCTCGAAAACCACACATTAGGACAATTCCCCCAATCATACATTTACCTTATACAAATTACCCGCGAACAGCATATACCCTCGGATTATACAACTGCGCCCCTAAGCATGCTAAGACAATCACTTCAGGGTAATCGTCTAAGGTGTGGGTGAGTCTGTGAGTATACTGTTCTTTCTGTTGATGGCGTACATAATTGTCGGGTTGTTATTGTGAGTTGGTTATTGTGCTTTGGGTAAATTTCCGGGGATAGTTGTCCGAGAGTGGTAGCCTGGGAGAGGAGGTAAATGACTTAAAATCATCAAATGAATATCAGCTTTTAATGCAGCCACATATTTTAATACTCTTGCTTCAGAATAACACTCCAAACTTGATGGTCTACTTCTAAAGCGGCATAAAGTTCCGATATTCGGGCAACCACCATCTCAAAGTCGAGAAGCGAGTTGCGCAAATATTATCATTTCTGTCATCTCGATTTGATCGTGAAAGGGAAATTTGGAAACCCAAGAAGTTTGGGCAAAAGGTTTCAGCCTCCCCCTCCCCCATCCCCCCACCCACAAATATGTGCCTGTATATAATTATACGCCTATTATACCAATAATCATGATAATTATACCATCATTCTGATGTAGGTGCTCGTGGTCTGATGCTGGCCGTGATCATGAGTGCGCTGATGAGCTCCTTGACGTCGATCTTCAACAGCAGTTCTACCATCTTCACCATCGATATATGGCGCCGAATCAGACCCAACTCAAGCGAGACTGAGCTTATGATTGTAGGACGGTAAGTTATCATAGACTATAGAATACAGTCGATAACTAACAAGAACAACGCCAGGCAAAATTTGTGTATATCGTTTTTATCCTTGTCTACAATGGAACAAAATGTGAAGTCAATTCATATTTTCACATTAATTTTGAAGTTTATGTCTCAACCTAGCTGGCAAATTTCCAAACTTAATTGTTCACCCTTGTCGATAGATATTAAAGCCTGGGGATCATTGTTTTAGTTGGAAGATTTTCTTGTCTGCTTGTTGGTGGACTTGTTAGCAAAGAAGTTACCTTGACGCAGTCCCCCATTTAAAATATCCTATCTTAGAGATAGACGAGTCTTATTTTAATCTACCAGTCTATCAGGAAAAAAGTCAGTATGGATAATTATATACTTTCCAGCATGTTCGATTGGGTATAATTATTTCAATATCAACGAGAAAGTTTGATGAAGATTATTATTGATAATCAAATCCATAGATATCTCATCAGAAGAAGCAACATGATTATTAGAAAATTCATAATAATGAAATCGTTGCCATTCTGTGATTTCCCTTTCCTTTTCTCTTCTCTCTCGCTTCAGTATCTTCATTCTGATCATGGTTGGTATAAGTATCCTGTGGATTCCCATTATTCAGGCCTCGCAGGGAGGACGTCTCTTCGACTACATCCAGGCCGTCACCAGCTATCTGGCTCCTCCTATATGCGCTGTGTTCCTCATGGCTATCATATGGGAACGTGTCAATGAAAAGGTAGGATGCATGGACACCACTGATAATTTTGACACTTACAGTTGGCAAAGTCCGGCCCTTATCAATTCAGCCATAGCCATTAAAATTCCCGTTCTTGTAACACTCTTCACGATGCCACATCTTCCCGTTCGATGTGAATTGGGTACAATTCTGGTCGTAGGGACCCTAAAATCCTACCACGTATGATATTGATCATCATTTTGTGAGGAGGGAGGGGTGGGAGTAAAGTGGGCATGTACCCCACTGACAAATTTGAGATCCGCCACTATTCGTATGAAACATTGATTCATAATAAGTGAGATGACCTAATGAAGGGCATCTTGCGATTGAAGCTGATATTCAATTCAATTTTTTTCAATTCAATTTCAATTTATTTTCCATCTTTAAAAAAAGAACAAATATAACACAGTATTGACACATTGTATTAAAATAATAATATAAACATAAACATGGAGGGATACCCTTGATAAGCAGGTTGCTTGTGAGCAGGGCCCCGGTATACGATATAAAATTCACAACTTTGTTAGAGAAATATCTAAACATTTGAGAGAATTATAAAACAGGAAAATTATATATAAATCAGGAAATTGCGATCACCTTAGCAGCTACATTAAATATAAACACAACTCCGAAAGGTTATATAATTATGTATATATAGAAATCCTGCAAATACCCGATTCTGTTTGGTTGAAGGTCGAGTGGCGGTTTCTTTTACTACTTCTCTTTAATTTTGTGTACCCTTATTAGTTTTTTGTTTTCAGAACTTGCATTTAATCAACCTTCCATATCAATAGCCCCCTTGGAGTCATAAACATATATAACGATGACAAAACATGATAACGAATCTATAAATGGCGTCCTCCCTCCTATACCCATTCCCTTCATCACCTTATTTTATTTGTTGGTTTTCGATCTATTACAGGGAGCCTTCTGGGGTCTGATGGCCGGTTTGGTGGTTGGTCTCGTTCGTATGATCCTCGACTTTGCCTTCCCTTCCCCAGCATGCGGTGATGAGGACGACCGGCCTGCCGTGATCGCCAACATGCACTACCTCTACTTCGGCATGTTCCTCTTCGTCTTCGTGTGTCTCTTCACCGCCGCCGTCAGCCTTCTCACCACGCCCATCCCATCAAAATATGTAAGCACCGGTAACCAATAAGCAGTGGCGTCGATAGGGGCGGGTTGAGGAGGGGGAGGGGGAGGGAGGATGAGGACGTCAATGTTTTTTTTTTTATATATATTTTTAAAATTATTTTTTATTAAAGCCGTGTGCACAGACAGACAGACACACCACACACGCTCACATACTCAGACACACATACAAACTTACATATCCCCTCCCCCCTTCATTCCAAAGCTCAACAAATCCCCCCTCCTTTCCCGAGCATTCACATCTACACATTTGTTGGAAACCATGTCTCTTCCTTTTCCTTCTGACCAAATTATATTAAAAATGTCTGAGTCTGAGAAAGAAGTATTTGCTTCGCCGTCCTTAACTGTGGAAGTTGTCCCATTTTCTGAAGTGAAGTGCTAAAGTGTCCCTCTCCCCCGCTAATTCCTTTTCTTCTTGCCTATTTTCTATAATTCTTTTGTTAATGTCTTGAGGAATTGGGGTTCTTTTTTTAGTTGAACTATATTTAAAAATCATATGTTTTGTTAAAAGAATAATGTGATTTAACAGTTGCTCTTCTCCCGCATTTCATCTTTTTATGTCCCGGCTTGGACATGATCGCAACTACTTTCGAAACGAATCGACTCTGGATCAATGTCAGTGCCCTATTGTATATCCCATAGTCATGTTCGGACGTGTTCGGGTATTCGGATAAATAATTATGGTCATTATTATATTCGCATGTATCAAAGGGTGATGGACAGGGCTATTGTAATTGACTTAAATTGATTTTGTAGCTTCGACCGTGTTCAATTATAGAAATTCTATCAGCAATTTTTAATTTTTAGGGCCTTATCAGTAAGTTTGAGCCAGCACCCCCATTCAAAATGCCATAGCGACGCCCCTGAATATAAAGCACATGTTGCTTGGTCAATCTTCAATCTTTTGTTAGCGTATTGATGTAAAGTGAGTTGGCATGGAGAAAATAATGGCTCGTCTATCTTCTAAAATCGAAACAATTCTGAAATTCTCTGAAGTCCATTCCTCCTGTTATTTTTAAATATCTAAAATTCATTCACTTTACAATTAATACATTTAACATTTGTTTATGAGATATTGAGGGGTATCAAATTACTACCTGATAAGTGTCGGGATTATCTTTGATTGAAAACATCAAAGTCATTGTAATGAGGATGATGGCGATAATAATGGAGATGATTGTACAGAGAAAGGGAAAATTAAATAGTTATTCAACCTTAACGGTGTAGATTCTGATAAAAGGAATTCTGACGGTGCACTGTTGTTCAGGTTTTTTGGGGGAAATGCGGATCGTACACGTTCCTCCAGTGAGAGATAAAAAAAGGGGTAAAATACCAAAGTATAAGGGTGAAAATTTAAAAGAAAACCTTTGCTACCATGCATTGTGATATCTTTTAATATAGAGACGTTTTACAGGCACATGGAGGCTGTTATAGAGCTGGAAGGGCGTTAACGCGTAACATTTGAAACGGAGTTTTAATCAAATATTTCTTTTCCAGCTCGTTCATCTGACGTGGGCGACACGTCATAGCACTCTAGAGCGCCAGGACCTGTCTATCTCCGAGGTCCAAGAACTAAAAGAAAAGGTTCTTGATGAACCAGAAGGTATGTATCATAAGCCAACTCAGAACGTATAAACAACACATCAATCTGGACAGCAGAAATCCAGATTTACACGAAAATTGTTTAGTGCCAGGTTCTGGGTTTCTCTTTTACTTTTCTTCAAGGCTATGTGAAAGCAGTGGCGGATCCAGGGGGGGGGGGGCGCCCCCGGGAAAAAAAACATGTAAAAACACGTGATTTTTTTATCTTTTGGGGGGGGGGGATGGCCCCCCCCCCCCCCCTGGCGCTCAAGGGGCGGGGGTGCAAATTTTCAAATTTTCGAGGGCCAAAAAAAAAATGTGCTCACTAACCCCCCACAAATATGGAATCTAAATAAATCTAATTGAATTGAATTGAGATTTTTGCTGAAATTGCTTCTGAAATGTTTATCATATACGATAAGACAGTTGTTTGAATCAGCACTGTATAAAACAACCAAACAAATACCATGCATGCCCGTTGTCATGTTTCAATACAAATTATTTGATAGTAGGGCCTATATACTAAACAGTTGTTCCCATGCATCTTTATCTATCCACTTTGATTGATTATAATTATTGTAGGAAGACATTCCATGATTGCTTGAGCGGCTTATATCATTAATGCTTGGCTCAAATCAAGACGGTCATTTAATAACAGTTTTCTACACTTCTTGTCGTCATGACGAAGCAAGGGAGAAGCGTTTTACAAATGATGTTACCACGTTATGATCAACACTATACGCATCATCCTAATTCTGTTCATGTTTTCCATTTGCAGAAGAGGAGGAGGTGAAATTCAGCCGCAAGGTGATCGACTGGATGTGCGGTACGGGAAAGCAGCCCGAGATGACCGCGGAACAGGAGGCCGAGCAGTTGGCGAGAATGACGAACATCGAGGAAACCAAGAGGGACAAGATGATCCTCAACATTTCAGCAATCCTAGCCATGGGTGTCAGTGTCTTCTTTTGGGCTTATTACGGCTAAAAAACAACAAATATGTCCCCCTTTTGTATTTAAAAAAAAATTCATTGTCATTGTTGCAGGCAAAGTTTTGATCTAAGAGCTTTTCATTTGAATGCACAGAAAATTCGTTTCGAACAATTCTGCCTTAAATGTGATAATCTAATTTGTTAGGAAGTCTAATTTGCAAAAATATCGATGTGGCTCCCCCCCCCCCCCCTCCCCCCGTCTTTGATTTCTGTTTAAAAAAAAGGTCCAATGCAATCCGGAAATTGATAGAGCGTCAATTATAGTTGCCTAATCAAAGGCGCCAAAAGGTGATACATCTTCACCATGCCTTTCCGTTTCAATCTTGTCTACTGAATGGATATTTAGATGACCAGTTACATAAATCATTACACTTGCTCTCATTACTGAACGTTAAATCCTTGTCTATATTGGGTTTACTAGAATGCTTCGATATATTCAAAGTTTCGGAATGAATTTTTCTTTAAAAAGTCAGTTGGACCTGTCCATAATACCCCACATTTGCATTCAAGGTGAGAAAAAATGTAGGCTTTTATAACAAAATTGTGAGTAAAACCTCAGGCATGAATGCGTACAGTAAACTAGTTGAACAAAATTAAAGATGCAAGCAATTTATATACATGTATTTTTTAATTGTTCGAGTCGACAAAATGAATGCACGTAGTTTGAAGAAAAAGAATCCATCTATTACATGATTACAAGACTAATGAACTAATAACGTTATTTCTGCAGACATTAAGTCATTAAGGTTCGGAAGGCCGTTAACTCATCACCTTGTAGGGGTTTTGCTAATGCTTCTCGTCAACAGACGCTTTATTAGTTTTCAATTAGTTCGTTCATCCAGTAGTTATATTGTGTACAGTCCCCAGAAAACCTTTCAAAATATGTTAAATGTTTTAAAAGCCACAACTCCGTTTGCTGTACTGTGTATATGTTTTTTAATATACTTATTATGAGTTTTTCGTGGATACATGTCATTTCAACTGTTTACTGGTACAATGTTTTCAGTTTTTGTTCAGCTCAAGTTTCTTAATGATACAAACAATCAGTTAATTTCTGGCAGTTTACAAAAAATGAAAACAAACAATTACGATTGTGGAAAGCTCTATTTAAATTCCTGTCATGGTAATTATACTGTATTGTATACTTTCCGAATTCAGTGATTGACGGATAGGATTAGGGAACTCTCTTTAACCTCTGTGCCTTAATTTATTGTATTATACTGAAACTTTTCTCAAGTGAATGTGTAAGATTTTCCGTCTCTATTTTGAATATTTTGAAGGGAATCATTTATTCGACGGGATTAAAATGAGAACGATTCGTTTCAGGCAGTACTCGCTGTACAAGAAGGATCTAAAAATGTATATTAAGGGGTTTAAAAGTGGTATCTGTGTAAATATTCACCTTTGCAGTGAGGGGTATGCATCGAAATTTGCAGTCAGTTTGTAATTAACATTTTCAAAGCGGAACATAATTTCTGCATGTTTTTTTGTGGGAGGGGGGGGGGGGGTGTCAATATGAAAAGAGTGTTAAAAGAAAATTGTCCATGAATCACCACAATAAAGAGAAGTGTACTATGTCTTTTCTTGATGAAAAACCGTTTCGAAAGTGAGAAAAAAAAATTTGTACTTGTAGAGTAGGATACGTTAACATACGCAAGTACAATCCTCTCTCTCACTCTCTTCCCCCCTTCTCTCTCTATCTGCAAGTCTTTAACTTTTTTATTGTCATGTTTTTTACACATCTTTGTTAACTTTGAATGCACATGTAATAGGAATAGAAAGTTTTAAGAATCTTTGCAATGTACAGATTGAAAATGTATATTTTTGAAAAAAGAGAAGTCTATATGATTATTTATCATCATGATCATTGAACATAATTATATACCTCTTGATATCTTTGAATCATAATAATGCGTGATTTTGTTTATGTATAGATTATAGATCATTTCAAAAAGGTTTAATAGCTTGATGTTGAGGAACAGAAGTATGAGAGATGCACTCTCCCTGGGTTAATATTACGAGGTGCTTGGATAGGTCATGTTTCGGTTTAAAAAGTTTAATTTTTTTTTCTTCTTCTTTCAGAGGTTATTTTTAATGGGGTCATGTGATCAATCAACTTGGTTTTACTCTGAACTACTCTCTGAAATAGAAATGAACAGGAGTGGAAATCCGCTCTCTGGTGAGTCATATTATATGTGGGATAATCTCGTTTGGAGAGTGGAATCTACGCTCAAAAAGAGTGGATGGAATTCACAACTTTGGAGCCGACTCCACATGATCTCAAGTGGATTCAAACTCAAAGGAGTGATCCTAACATGACTAATAAAGAAGTGAATTGCTACTCCTCTGCATTACCAGAGTAATGAACTAAGAGTTTAAATAAGAGTACTGGGTGACACTAAGTTGATCTTGCATAACGTGATTAGGAAAAAGATCAGTGTGAATTTCAACATGCTTGCGGCCAGTTGATTGTATTGTAATAGTGTACAAATGATTATAATGTTTGTTGAATAAAGTCGATGATGATTGAATTTTACTGAAATGCATCTTAGAGTTGTGAGATTATTCTTTGTTGTATGGAGTTGTCTTGTTATCTATTTTACTGTGTTGAAGTTTAAAAATGGTATTGTTCACAACAGTCTTGCTTCTTAAAAATCCTCTTGTTAATTCAGACTTTTAGAGTAACCCTCTTGATCCCCTTTGGCCCTTGAAAATGGCTATTTATTACCATTCTGCATTGCAGTCAAATAGCTTTGCTATAGAGAATTCATATATCACTGCTTTGATGATATGGAATAATTTTAATGAAAAATTATTTAAAGCAAATAAGCCCTGTGACAGAGATATCAATTACTTCCAAGTGGCCTTTAACTTAAGTTTAGAGGTTCAGGATCAGATTTAAGGTAAGTTTAAGGGTTGGTTCAGCATGGGGTTGTTTTCTGAAAATAATGTTATATTTTTTTCTTTACTTAAACAATGTAAATTATCATACAGATCAAAATTAGGACAATTAAGTCATCGATTAATGTCTGTGCAAGCCCCAATGGCAAGTGTTCCATTCGAATTGAGTTTCTCATGACAACTAACATCATTTTCCCAAACATTAAAGATAACATTGTTCTAAAAATCCAAGTCATGGACAATGAGCATATTTCATGATCAGAAAACTTTCAACTCAAGATGTGTAAGGATGTTTTTGTTTGGGAGATCTTACCTTTACTAGGGAAATAATATCTCTCAGCCACCATATTTCTACAAATGTGTCCCTTTCTCTATCACACAAAACTTCCACTAAAACAATGTGAAATTAAATCCAGCAAGAGTATCACAAAGGTTTAGAGCTGTCTGAGTTCCGGCTATAAACAAAATAGAATGTTATAATAAATTACACTAAGTTCAAACAGCATTCTTGCATACAAGTAACGTATCAAAAGTATTTATTTCATTTTCCACATTCTGTTGTCACTCACAAAGACAACTTTTTTGAAGAACTTTACTTTTTGCTTTTAAACTTTACAATTGTCCTCTAACATTACAACTGGTTTTAAAAAATTATACCATGTGACTCATTTTGAATGTTTACTTGCACATTCTCATAATCTATAGGAGCTCCTTGCACTTCGGGTTATCAAATTAATGAAGTACTTTTAATACAAAGCTCAATGTACGAAAAAAAAGTACAACCAAAAAAGACTTGATTATCTCACATAGTATATTTACCTAAGACATAATCATTATTTGTTTGGCATCACCTCTGTGTGACTAGAAGGGAAAAACACAATTTAAATCATAAGCCTACACTCCGCCCTGAATGGAGAGGGGGATGAGATCACCCCTTCCTAGAATCCTTAGTAACCTTACTATCTTATCATAAAAGCTCCTGTTCTTATTTTGATGAACTTTGAAATTGACAGGATCAGGTGACATAATTGCGTGACAGACGCTCCACAACAAGTTTAGGGATGGGGCAGGGGTCTAGACAGATATTTCACAGGCTCTGAGCTGCTCCGGTACCATGGGCAAATTGGGGTTCTAGGACACCTACCCCCTGGACATTCACCGCCCGGATAACCACCCCTAGTCAACTACCCCCTTAGACAACTATCCCCTAGGGCGTAGGGCGACTACCCTTGACAACTACCCCCTAGGACAATTACCCCCCAGTCAACTACCCCCAGGCAACTACCCCCTATGGCAACCACCCTCTAGAACAACTACCCCAGACAACTATCCTAGTGGGTAGTTGTCCTGGGGGTAGTTGTCCCGGGGGGTAGTTGTCCTAGAGGGTGGTTGCCCTAGGGGGTAGTTGTCCTAGGGGGTAGTTGTTCTAGGGGGTAGTTGTCCTAGGAGATAGTTGACTGGGGTGGTAATCCAGGGGGTGGATGTCCAGGAGTTAGGTGTCCTGATACAAATTTCAACATATCAGAAATGTTGTGGGTCCGGATGAATGGGGGAGCGAAGTGGACAGTGTACTAGACAGTCATTAGGTTCATGCCCTGTAACGTACAATAATGATACATCACTGCTAAAATTGCCCAAAAATTCATGTATTTAACTTATACATAAAGAGGCATACACCAGCTAAAAAAACTTTGCTTGTTATTCAGCTACATTAAATCACATATGCTTGATACAAATTAGAGGAATAGGCAACAATGATGCATAAAAACTTGTACAAATGAAATGCCTTTTTAGATTAAAAAAATATATATCAGGGCCCCACCTTGTAAAGAGTTAATACCAATTGCAACGTATTTGTGACTGATATTAATCGCAACCATGTACATAAGAGATAGAGTAATGCAAACTTGCAATTGACAAGAGGACTTGCGATTGATTTGGATCAATCGCAACTCTTTATAAGACAGGGGCCCAGATAATGATCTTAATGTACATAAGTAAATTATACTTCAATTGAGTCCAAAATTTCACAAATTTTTAGTCTAATTTCTCAACCATTTTGACTGAGCACTGAATATGGCCATTAAGCCTCTGTCCAAAGGACAATATGAATAAATATGCTATGTGAATAACTTAAAAATATATTTTATCTTTTCCTTTTCTCATGATCCCTGAACTTTTTCACTTCACCATATTGTCACAGAATATGAGCACCTTCCAAAAATCAACCTCTGACTGAAATCAATACAGATAGTCTACAAGATAATGAAGAAGAAAAGAAAAGTTTACATCTCTCAAACTTCTCTCAGTAGCAAATTTCCCATGCATCATCTAGCTCCTGCAAAGCAACTGGAGCTATACATACTCCCACCAGGTTGTCGATTCCATTCCTCAATGCATCCAGTACAGGCACATTGTAACTGCATGCAATTTTTCTTCTCACTGCCCTTAGCAAGGCATGGAGGTTAGATGCCTCATTTCTTGTACTGCAATACAAAAGAGTAAACAAACACCAGTTAAATATTTCTCTCCGATTTTCTGAGATATAAGGCAGAGGTATTTTCTGTAAGGAGTGATCTACATATCCAAGTATTATGAGCCTTAAAGCCTAAGTTAGAAAAAAAAGAAAAGAAAAGGAAATGGTGGATGCAAATGATAAAACCAGTGAAAGTAGGTCTATAATAAAGTAGGATATAAAGTATTTACCCTTTCACTATTGTACAAAAACAAATTAAAACCTCATAATTACGGGTCAACAGGGGTCAAATTTGCTGGAGTTACAGTGACGACATGACATGTGGACCCCATCGGTTCACCTATATAGCTGAGGTGATGAGCCATATTGCTTAATCAATGCAAAGTCAATGTGAATATGCCTACTCCACATAAGATGATATCATCAAGTTGATAGCAAGTTTTTAGGTCGACAACTTTCGATTTACAAAGCTTTGGATTTTGAGTTTTCAGAGAGCCGATACTCCTCTGACGGACACTTAAATGGCATATAATTGGTATTATTGTACTCTATGGCTTATAAGCTTTCCATTGATTAAGTTGATTTAAGTTTCCTGAAAAGAAAAGTCTACACTGTACTAATTTCACAAAAATAGTCAAATCACAGTTTTCTCTCTAACTCATTCAAAATCTTGAATACACATTTACCACAAATACACTTTCAAACAATATTAACGACAAATACAAGTTTACAACGTATAGGCTATATATATATATATATATATATATACCAACATATGAACAGATGGCTAGATGTGAAATATATGAAAAACAACTCATTGATTAATTATACAATAATACGAGCCAGTGAACTTAATTTACTCGCAATCTTAAAGATACCCAACACAGTTCTTTTATTCAAAATCTGTTTTTGATCTATAGGCCTATATAGACTAATTACAACTGATCTATTTAACAAACCTAAATGCATAACTGATATGACGAGCCTCATATATGATCATTTACCTTTTCTAGAATCCATTTTGAATCCTCTATGGCCTTGTCTATTATCTGTTTAAGTCTCTCTGGGTCCGTCTCATCCGAATGACTATGAAAACCCTATAAAAAGCAAAATATAGGAAGAAAAACAAGAAATTATGAATGAAGAGCCTATTTGGACAAGTACAAAAAGTATGTTATACTGGTGAAGATCTTAGCTCTTGCAATACACAAGATCTGGACAGCAAGGAAGGGGGAGGGGAGGGAGGGGGAGCATACACCTATGCTCCGTGATTCATTTTCCACACCTCCTCCTTTTTCTTCTTCTACTACTTCTTCTCTATCTTCTTCTTGAATAAGTTTATTTCTTTGCTTTCTTCTTCTCCTCCTACTTGGCTTTCTTCTTCTCCTTCTTCTTTCTTTTTCTTCTTCTACTCCTCCTGTATCTTCTTCTCGAGCAAGTTTTTTTCTTAATTCTTCTCCAGTTCTCCTCCTTCTTTGCTTGAATCTTCTTTGATCTCTTCATCTTATTCTTAGTGTCTTACTTGGCTTTCTTCTTCTTCTTCTTCTTCTTCTTCTTCTTCTTCTTCCATTTCTTCTTCTTCTTCTGGCTATCAGATTTTGATCGTTTATGAAAAGGAGAGGGTAGATCAAAGGGTCTCTTTTTTAATTTGTTGAATTAAAAAAAATATATCATAGTCTATACTTCATAGAATGAGCCGATTATAAATTAAATGTAAAACAATTTCTGATTTTCTTGACCATTGCAAATTACATGAATTTCACTGAACTGAAGTGAGTCTGAAATGACAAATCTTCAAGATGAGACCTAGAAACAGAATTAACTAAATACTGTATTAGCTCTACCTGTCTGACGTAATGTTTGTAGTGAACTTGCATTGGCTTCTCCGGCAGATCTTCGCATGTTCTCATCAAATAGCGATAGAGTTGACGAGCTGTTTTAATAGACTCCGCTGTCACTCTATAACCAGCCATTTTCTCATCTAAAGATCGTATGATATGACATTGAAATGGTTCAATATTTTGTTGATGCTCAGGAGTCGGAAATTTTTACAGAAGGTAGAACTGCAGTGGCAAGATGCATTCACCTGAAGTCGCCGTCGAGATGATAAACGGAGGGATTCGGAGGTCGCGCTCCCGCCCAAGCTTCGGCGGGGACCACAGTTGAACGATGCCCCTCCGCAGCGGCTCTAGCCACTTCTAGGCTTAACTCCAGGTACACATGTGACGTGTATTATATTTGTTAATTAATATTAAAGATAGTTAAGGGATGCTGAAATAGTATTTTGAAAATTCACAATAGAAGCTGTGAATATTTTATCATTCAGGTATTTTGAAGCACTTTTTTAGCTTTTAGGTTACATTAGGATTATGAGTGACATTTAATAGAAAACTTTTTAGTTTGATTTAAAACTAGTTGTATGCACCTGTCAGCTGTAGTGTGCATGTGACTGCATAATCGCACCACTTTTCATATGCTCTCGACTCTCCGTGCTCTCACGTCTCTTTATTCACATTCTGAAGAGTTTGTGATACTTGTTTTCGCAAGAAATGGCAGTTACCCGGTTTCTTGAGTTGGTTTTCTTTGTGTACTTTGTGGTGCATATACCAGTGTCCATCTTGTTCGACTCGCAAGGGATATTTCCTCGAGAGTGGTATCCAGACTTCGTAAGTTTATAGTTTATATAGTCCGATATGTAATCAAATGTACTTATGAGCCTATTTAATTCAATAACCATTGGTAATCTTATGAAATCCTAACCCAGTAACCTGCCAATAAACCATGTGTGCATCTCATCTCAGTTATTATCAGGGCAGTGATATCAAACTCAAAGCATAGTGATATGATATGATTATTAAAAAAAACATATTCTTCACTTATAAACTAAATTATACTAGATCTAGATGAAAAAGCTTTTTTTGTCTGAACAGGTATTTTTGAAAAATCAGGAGCAACTTCTAAATACCCCACCACACAGACTGACCAGACATTCAGCATACCGGTAAAAACAAAAGTGTTATCAATGACAATGTTGGACAAGGAAATTGAGATTTGATTTTGAAGAAGAGATTGAGAGTGGGATATGAGGATAAGGGGAAAGATCAGATTCAGAGAGGTGAGAGAGCTGTATGAAGAAAGAGGTATAGTGAGCGTGAAAATACTAAGACAGGGGGAGAGAGAGCTATCTAGAGTAGATGGAGGGAGATCGGGAGAGAGTCATACTTATAGAGGAAGATCGACGATGGAGGGAGAGATTCAGAGCTTTAATTTATTGCCAAAGCAGGTTTTTTAATCTTTTTTTTTTGGGGGGGGGGGGGGTGGGAGGGGTCAGGGCCTATTGATTTTCAGTGTTTTTTAAAAATTATTTCTCAGGTTCATTAACTTCATTCATTGCCACAACTCCCACAAGGGCATTATATCGATGTTGCAGCATATAAACCCTTCTTGCTGCAAACATACTATTATATGTATTCACCTGCCATCCTTCTTTGATCTTGTTTTATTTCAGTTGGTGACCCCTAAACTCCAGTACACTACTCAATTCAAGGATGTTCTTTTTGGAGACCCACCCATCTGGTTCCAATCTTTCATCTATGCAGAGACATTCTTCCAGCTTCCATTCTTCTTTGTAGCAGCATATGCATTCTACAAAGGTATACTTTAATTAACATTCAGCAGCCTCAATTAGTTGGGGGGGGGGGGGGGGGTAAAGCCACATTCTTCTTTAATTATAACAGCATATGCATTATACAAAGGTATTCTTTAACATTCAGCAGCCTCAATTAGTTGGGGGGGGGGGGGGGAGGGGGTAAAGTCACATTCTTCTTTGTATTGTAGCAGCATATGCATTATACAAAGGTATTCTTTAACATTCAGCAGCCTCAATTAGTTGGGGGGGGGGGTAAAGCCACATTCTTTGATTGTAACAGCATATGCATTCTACAAAGGTATTCAATTCTTTTATAGGAACAGTCGCAAAGGGCTGGGTGGGGGACTAGGTAAGCCTACTCTTCATAAGTGAAATATGTTGGGACCGCAAACAAATAGTATGACTTGCAAATGCAAAATGTGACTTAGGAAGTTTAAATAAGACGTGGTTTGCATAATTTGGTTTAAAATGATTTGACTTTTCAAATTTAACTTGTGCAACTTCGATTTATGCATGTACTTTCAATGTTTCTCTTGCTTTTGTAGTAGTAATAGGCCTATGGATATGGATTAGACCATGATGTAATTTGAACACATTGATGTTTCCTACAAGTATTGAATACTTATTATTAGTTTGTTACACTTACTGTTATTATTATTTCTGTGATCTATCTGACATATTCTTTATTCCTGAAGATGACAGTAGGAAATGGTATTGGACGCTAGGTTTTTGTGGTATGGTCAAAAGCCACATGACAAAAGATATCTCTTTGGATATAACTGTCATCCATTATCTAAAAAAAATCAATTCTTTAAAAACTTTTTTTTTTCTTTCATTGTGGTCTCTTCATTAAATCGTACAAGTACATGTTCATAGACAAAATACTTTCATACGACACTGTACAGAAATCTCCTTTTTACAGACTGCAAATCCAAATGGACTAGATGCCCTCGAGTTGAGCTGAACAAAAATTTATTTGAATCTTAATGTCAAAAATTACCTCTTCCTCACTTTCTTTACAAACGAAAATCCCAGGCAACTGCAAGTGGATCCGTATCCCTGCCATCGTGTACAGCACCCACGTGGCCACCACAGTGATACCCATTGTAGCGGAGATCTACCTCAGCGACTTCGCCCACGCCTCCTTCCCCGGACCGAGCACATTCCAGGAGAGAACAACCCTCGTCGGGATCTACGCACCGTTCCTCGTGGTTCCGTTCATCATGCTTGTCACCATGCTCTTCAGTGCAGAGTACAGAGGTGGTAGCGGTCGAAAGCAGAAGGCTAATTAATCAATGTGGATGTCTCAGGCACTTTTTTATTTGAAAGGAGGGGGGGGGGGAAGAACCTTCAGGCTTCAGATAGCATTGCAAAGTCTACTAATCATACAAAAAAGCAATTTATTATTGATCACTAGTGGCGGAAAGCAGAAGTCTAATTAATCAATGAGGATGTCTCGGACAATTTTTTATTTGAAGGGGAAAAAAAAGACCTTCAGATAGCATTGCCATGTCCACCAGTACTAATCATATAAAAAAAGCAATGAAAGTTTTTTCATATTTCATTATTGATAACCCAAACCGATTTATAATTTTTGGGTTAAATTAATGGATATTTGGCATATGCTATATGGGTCTATAGAGATATCCTGTATTGCTTTATTTCCATTAATTCCACACAAAATAAAAAATCACTCAAGTTGACTCAACATGACCTTTGACCATGACATGTACCTGTCTTATATTGCTTTGAATTGAACACAACACACTTTTCATTAAATTGTGTGTGCTTGGTTTGCTCACTTTGCTGGGAAATGTTGATAAAATGTATTTTCTGCCAATAACAGAATTGCCCTATTTTAACTCGTTTGAAACTTATAATATGCTTATTTGATAGCCAAGGCTGTAATTAAAAAGGCCTCTCACAGTCATAATTGCCGAGATTAATTTTCTGGTTTGGGGAGATAAGTATTCAATTCATACATGATAGACCATGATTATACTTATTACTTTATTCCATTTTTTAAGTGAAACAACACCTGGGGCCTGTTGCATAAAAACTCACTTTTGTCATTGATGGTAACTTCTATGGAAACCTCTTCGATTGGCTGTCGAGTACTGTTGCCATGGTAGTTAATATTGATGGCAAATTTATCATCAATGGTGAGTTTGATTTAACTGGCCCAGTAGAGCAAGATACATGTATTCTAAGCACTATGAACAGTTTCTCAGCATGACATGGGCGTGGCCATTTGTCACGTGCTATGCAAAGTCATTTAACAAGAAAATGTATTCAAATTTATACATGTAGATGCTTTCCCATGTTTTTGGTGAATAAGTATTGCATTCATCTGCTTATCTTTTGTACCATAATTGTCAGAATGCAAATTGCATGAATAAGCTGTTGCTCTTCTAGGGTGAAGGTTTTGCATAAATGAAATGGATTTGTCAAGTGCTAAATTCTAGTATTTAAAAATAAATTAGTGACAATTGTTCACCCGTTTATATATTTTTCACCAAATATAATTTGTATAGTACCTTCTCAGCTATGATTTTGCCTCATCTAAAAGTAAAGGTTTTGTTATTGAACTAACAATCTTTCCAACTAGAGCTTGGTGCATAGTACATGCACAAGTTTACCTGGTACATCACATTATCAAGAACATGGCCCCTATCAATAATCATATAATGCTAAAAGGCATTAAATCCTGCCATAAATATCTTCTTTTAAATATGTTATACATGTTCATAAGGAATACTTTAAATCGATGTACAGGAATAAATCTCATCTTTCAGCTGCACTTATTCTTTGAGGTGAGGTTTCCTTTAAGCTGGAAGGTTTCAAATCTCTCTTGTAAGTTGTAAAGCAATGCTGTGATCATCAATTATCCTCAGGGTATTAAACTATTATTAATATGTGAATATGTAAATACAGGTAATGTTATCTAATCATTCCAAGTTTGGACAAACAGATATTTTTCATTGTTATAGAAGTTCAACTTTTACTTGATTTATGACAAGTTTTGTATCATCAGAAGACATAATCTATCCATGTTGAAATGGATCTGAAATAAATCATGTGAAAAGTACACAATTCTTCATTGATGTTATTTTGTGGTTTATCTCTGCTTCTCTTTTTCAAACACACCTTTTCTCTCTCTCTCTCTCTCTCTCTCTCTCTCTCTCTCTCTCTCTTTGTCTCATCTCTCCTCCCTGATGTCTTTAATATATAGGACACTAAAATTACCAAAAAATACCTTGGACTTTCCAAAGTAGATGGAAGAGAGTGATCCATGCTTTAGTATGAGTGGAGGTGTAATGGTATACACAAATAGTACAGTTCCTTCATTTCAATATCAATCCAATGGTTTAGGGCTTGAATCCCAGCCTGTCACTGATGTCCTTAGACAAAATACTAATCCCCATTCGCCACTCTAGACCCGGGCGCAAATGATTATGTCGTTATTGCTGGGTCCTCGGGAAGAACAGCATTGATGCTGATGAGGCTTCCCTGGGATAACAGAATTAGTAGTAGTAGTAGTAGTACATGTATTAGCAGCAGTTAGCGGTAGTAGTAGTAGTAGCAGTAGTAGTAGTAGTAGTACCATATATAGTAGTATAGTTGCATTCTCTCACAAACCATATCATATATCATAAATGTATAATTTTTTTTAATGACACACTGCTGATGATCGCTATCATCTAAACAGGTACTTCCACTGAGTAAAAGGCCCAGCACTAATAAAGACACTTTATCATGGTTTATAAATAGCATTAAGCATTTTATTTACAATATCATAATTATTTACAAAATATGTACACTAAAATGTTAGATAATAGACAAGGGATGGATAGGACTTATGCATGTATTGTACATCGCTCTAAGAAGTTGGGAAAATTTCACAGTCAGTTGTATGTTCTGTTGGATTTTTTTTGTAAAGTCCAAAAATCTCTGCTATTTATTTATTTGTTTACCCTCCCCCCCTCCCCAATACGGGCCACAATAAATATATTTGATTAATGAGTTCACAATGTAGTGAACCTAGTGCAGCTGCAGTGTCTCTTCATGAAGGCCATACTTACAGATTATAAACACATCATTTTCACTACTATAACACTAGAAACTTAACATGGAAACAGAAAACCCTTAATAGCAAAGTAAATTCTCTACCAAATTCTTAGAGAACTAAATTCCTCTTTCAATGACCCAATACACTACTACTGTATGGTGTATAACACACTCAAGCTCTCATTACAAGGATATTTGCCAGACCTCATTCTGTTCATTTTTAGCCCTAATGGAACAATATTTCATTAAGATTTCGCTAATTTCCTTGGTGTAAAATACTTTGCTACAAGATTCCACTGTACTACGTATGCTCTTTATTTATCCCCTTCAACTGATTACAACTAAACTAAATATGAACCTCTGGTCTTATGGCTAAACAAGTCTAAGCACTGCCCTTGGTGAGAAAGCGGTAAACATTGATCAGCAGTTACATTGGAAAATTGGAATGCAGGAATCAGAATTTGTCATGAACTAATAAACTTCCCCGTTGAGTTCCCATGTCTATGTCAGGCAAAGATCCATACTTTGGCAATGGAATCACCCACAATGTATAAATCCTAATCATATATGCCTTTACTTGATGTATAGGAGATCGATATATTCAGTTCACTTTCTGATCAGATTGAGGGAGAAAAGAAATGATGCTGAACTAATTATCAGAAACAAGGAAATAGCCTGTGTACTAAATGTAATAAAAACGTTTTCAGGTTCATTAACAACAACAAAAACTGATGACTGTTTCAGCATTCTACATCCCGATGTAAAGGGCAAGTGTCTCTGACCTAATTTGTCTGTACCTGTTCCAGACATTGAACCCTACTACATTCCTGTCTGCAATGCACTTTATCTTAACAGAGATAGGGACCATATGTTTCTTATGATAAATACATCTACCTTGTGAGAATACTATTTATTTAGAATAAACTGCTCTATGAATTCATTCTGTTCTGCTTCTTCCTTCTGCAGTGCAGCATATTGGATGCGATACCTGCAAAAACAAAACAAAAAGATATTTGGGTTATCAATTAAGGAAATGTTAATGGAAATGATATGATCATAATAATAGTAATAAAATATGATACTTTCATAGTGTATATATATATATCCACCAAGCGAGGTGCTCACAGCATTCCACAGCAACACGTTCAAGGAATCCTTCCTACTGGTACCCATTTAACATCTGAGTGGAGAGTGGCAAATGTAGATTAATATCTTGCCACGAAGGAACAATGACCTAGGGTACATTTCAGGGGGGAATGATTCTGCTTTGTCATAAATGGGATTATGATCTATAAAAACTCCATACTCATTCCAATTTCTAACTGCTTTGAAATTCCATACATGTAGAGCTACAAAATCTAAACTGTAAGATAAGTTCCATCCAAAATAAGCATCAATTGTTTTTTAGTTAAAATACCTGTGATATTCATTTATGGGTGACTTCAATTCATTCAGATTTCACAGAAAATCCGAACAGAATGTTTAGTAGTGTTACAATGAGTTAATGCTCATGATACATAATCAAAAGGTACTCATTTTCATTCCAATGTCCATTTACTACCAAAACACCCCTCCCAATAATAAAGGACACAAGATAGAGTGGAATATTTAGACCAGGTATTAAATACAAATTTTCAACTGATCCAAATTGATCATCAATCTTCTCTTATATGCAGAGATTCTATCGATGTCAAACTGGCAACTTTTAGCTTTTTAAACAAGACCGGGGCCCAGCCTTTGAAGACAGGTAACTTTTCAACAGAGGTGATAATCATATCCTAGCAAAGTTTGACTGTTCATGACATAATGTACAAAGTATCGGTTATTAGTACCTCTCCAACTGTGTCTTCTTCTCTGCAATCAATGCTTGGAGTTGTTGTTGTTGGGCTTCCCTCTGTTTAGAGATGGATTTCAGGAGATTCCTTGATCCAATGGCCTGATGGATATTAAAAAGCAATCTCTAGTTTAATGCAATAACTATATTTTTAAAACCCAATGTACAATTTTCAAACTGTTCATTTGTTTGCCAGAGATATCTTGGGATAAAATCATGAAACTCATTTGAAATACAAGTCAATAGGAAATTTGATTGTCTCAAACAAAATGGAATGCCATTTGTTTTATCTGGGCTGGAAAATGATATTTCTTTCCAAGAATTTGAAAATATATTGCTTAGGTTTTGTTTTCTAAATTAACTCACTACTGATATCAATTTAACAATAAGCAATGAATATCTATCATTTATATAATTATTATTATCATTTTGTCGTGTTTTTGTTGGGGGGAGGGCTTAAATTTTGTATATCCCTCTTCCATCTCCATGTATTCTTTTTTAGATTCTCCATTAGTATTTTAAAAGACATGCATGCATGCATATAAGCAGCATGGGCTTGATTTCTTACCGGTAGTTATATTCTAAATAAATATCAAACTCCTGCAATTAGTGTGTACATCATCTCAGCCTCCTACCTTCATTTTCTCTTTCTCCACCTCTTTTGCAAGTTGATCGACTTTGTCAATAAATCCGCCTACTATGTCCTGGAAATCACCAATTTCTATAATATTCAATAACAAAAACAAAAGGAAGTCCATCAAGATCAATAAATATAAAACTTCTTTTTAAAAATCAAATTTAGCAATGAATTTGAATTTAGCAACACTCCCTGCACCTTTTACTCTTATCATTATTTTCATTAAATTCTGCATCAAATTGACAACATAAGATCTGCCTTTTTCATACACCAAATTTATTCCGCCAGGTCAAATCACATCATGGTATTACAGCCCCCCGTCACAGCAGAGCCAAAGGTCAATGTTTTTACAATGCAACTCGCACGTCAGTTTTTTTTTTTAACTTGCACTCTTGACATTGCCATTGAACTTGAGTTGAGTAGATCTAGGACCTCTTTCACTTAAATTCGAAGCCACTCAAGCGAATCGGCCAATGGGAGCATGTAAACTCATGTCATAGTACAGCGCTTGATGTGCTTGCCCTAAAATCTACTCTTCTTCTTCTTCTTCTTCCTGAAAAGTGCAGGCTTCATTAAATGAAGTTTAACAGAGTTTCTGTAGATTCTATGTAATGTAGATCTAGATCTAGTAATGAGGTGTTTGCGGACACAGTCATTATAATGGTCATACTCATTTCATAGTCACACTCATACTTCATATTATAGTCATAGTCTACTCATAATAGTCCACAACACAGCACGCACAGCCACCTATCACTATATCATCAGCTAATAATCCTTTGTCTACAACAGTGGCAGGGGACGGGGCGGGCAGAGACGGCTCGATACCAGTCCGCAGTTCCGCTAGCGCTGCGAGATATGATGGGCTCAATCAATTTCCTGTTTACTTACTGTCTACGAAATCTTTACATTCCTCCTTTAGTTCTGTCGTTTGATTTTGAATTTCAGGTTCCAATACTCGTATCTTATTTAAATCATCAAAGTGCAAACCAGCATTTGCAAGAGCTTCATCAGCCATGGTTACGGTATACAAATGACTGAATGTAGTAAATTGATTTCGAGAGAAATATGCAGCAGCCTCGTCCAAAAATATATATAACATTTTTTTACACAAATTTATTTTTGAAATTTAACATATGAAATTTTGTTTTACAAAATTGTTTATATTGTAAAAAGATCATTTTGATTTAAATAATTGGTTTTTTAATTTTAATTTCTCATAATATATTACTGTTTTCCCGAAATATTCTCTGAAAGCTGCGCATGCGTGTTTAATTTATCTAATTGAGTCTGCTATTTCCAATTTTTACGCCAAATTTTACGAATATCCCTTCGTTGGCAGTACGTTATCACAGGAAGTCAAGTGACTAGCTCATACGAAAATTAAGCTTTCATATTCTGGTGTAAATTTAGTCTAATTGGTGTCGTGCAATTAAGGCCAACGGCAAAGACAAACTAAAGTCAAGAAAGCACAGCATTGTACTGTAGGCCTACTACTAGTGTCCGGACCCCGGCCTCGGCGGCCTAGCTGAGCTGCGGAGTGCGGGTACCCCGCAGGGCACGTGCAACACTGAGCTGATAGCTGATACACTACACTTCAACTCTGGTGAGTGAATGGTAAGTCCTAGCCTTAATTAAGCCAGGGCTAGGTGATGATATGTAATGTGATATTTATATGACTTAGTCTTAATTGGCACCCATAATAATATATCCCTGCGTGAAGAGTGATGGTCGCTTGTTCAGAAACCTATCCAACATTTGACCCGTAACTCGTAAGCATGGTAAGTTCAAGGTTCAAGGTTCAAGGTTCATTTTATTTCTTTCTTTCACAACATTTTTACATATAATAATAGAACAAAAAACAGCATAAGAAAAAACAATTTAAGTGCAATTTTAAGTCGATATATAATCCAAATGAAAGAAAGTGGAGACCTTAGAAAAGCTGGGCTTGTAAGAGCAAGGTCCCCATATAACATAATCCATTAATGTTTCACTTTTAAAAAATGTTTCAAAGTTATCAAAAACTACACATGATTAAATATGGGGGAAATATTTACAAAAGGGATATCTTGAAATGTGAAAAGGAGAGGATGAAAATATATACAAAGGGATCAAGAGGAAAAAAGCAAACTGGAACGAGAAAAACAACAAAACAGAGAAAAAAAAGAAAAAAAACAGAGAAAGAAGAAAGTTATATGTATATAGGGGAAAATGGTATTAGGTGTAAAGAAAAAGAAAAAAATAGAAGAGAGGAGGGGGGGGGGGGGTGAGAGAATGTGAAATGCTGACATTTATATTGAATAATCAAACATAACAAAAACAAAAAGATAATGCACGTTATCAATAACAATTGATAAATTATTTCCTAATATCATTTCTGGTGATATAATTTTTACGTTAATTGTCGACATAGTTACTCAATAAATGTAATTTCAATTTGCGTTTAAAACCAAAGACACTAACAGATCTAGTTACATTAATAGGGAGTGAGTTCCAAAACTTGGGACCAGTACAAGCCAGCGTCTTCAGAGCAAAAGCAGTTCTTACACGTGGAATATGAAGTGCAGTTGCCTGCCTTGTATTATAGCTATGAATTTGATTGTTCTTTCGAAATATTTGTATTAACACATTTGGGAGAGTACCATTTTCAAAACCATACATAATTGCGCCTAACTGTATAAAGTAAATGTCTTCAACCTTCAATAGCTTATTACTGTAGAACAAAACATTAGTATGAGCACGATAGCTCGCATTAAAAACAACTCTAACCACCCTCTTTTGGGCAACACAAATCTTATCTAATTGTGTTTTCAATGACTTCCCCCATGCCAGCACTCCATAATTGAGATAAGGCAAAATTAAAGTAGAATACAAAATAAGCAAAATTTCTTGTGGGACAAAAGAACTTAATTTATAAATTACACCAGTATTTCTAGACACGACTTTACAAATATTAGTACAATGAGATGCCCAAGACAGCTTCTCATCAATATGTAGCCCAAGAAACTTGGTGGAAGTTACTCTCACAACATTAACATCATCAAAAAATACATTTCCAGGTACATCCTTTAGGGAGTTACTAAAAAACATATAGTTTGTCTTTTGAAGATTCAAGGACAACTTATTTGCATGAATCCACAAAATAACTTTTTTTATTCAATATTAACTGTATCTAATACAACTTCAGGGTTTTTATGAGAAAAAAATACACTTGAATCATCTGCAAAAAATATGAAAGATAGTACATCAGATGAAAGATAAAAATCATTAATATATAATATAAAAAGAAGGGGCCAAGAAGGGACCCCTGAGGGACCCCACAAGATATAGTTTGATGACTTGAGTCAGTTCCATTTAATGATACATATTGTTTTCTGCCTGTTAAATAGCTCCTGAACCAGCTAAGAGCGATGCCCCTCACTCCATAATATGACAATTTACTTATTAAAATTTCATGATCAACCGTATCAAACGCCTTAGAGAAATCCAAAAATATACCAATTGTATGAAGGTGATCATCTAGTGCTTGAGCAATTTTATCAACAAAGTGTAAAATTGCATGTATAGTGGTGTGCTTTTCACGAAAGCCAAATTGGAATTTTGAAAATATTTCAGTCTTTTTTAAAAATATCACTGTTCTATCATATATAAGTTTTTCTAAAAGCTTTGAAAAGGATGTCAATAATGAAATGGGTCTTTAGAAAACTGCATGGGGTATGGACTATGTTGCGTGTTAACTAGTAATCCCACACAATTCCCTTTTTTAATTAAACTACTAAAAAGCAGTATCCCTCCAGACAAGAAAACACTTAATAAATGATCACATCCAGACAAATTGCTTATGGTTAAAAACTGGTTCTATATTCTATAATTTCACATAAGAAACAATGATTACAGAATTATCAGAAACCTCTTCTGTCTATCTCTACAGTGACAGACAATTAAACTATCACTAGGCGGCTAGGCCCTTGGTAGTTACTATTAATAATCAAACATAGATAACTTCCAACAGCACATTAATGTAAAGGAGACTCAACTTAGTCACTATGGTATTAAGGATTACCGCTTAATACAAGTCTCGAAATATCAGGAGTCCTGTTCAGTACAACTTAAAACAGTACTAAAACAAGTCAGTTAAATATCATTCACACTGCATGAATAATAACAGTCAAGAAAATACTACTCAAATCTAAGCTAGACAGCGTTTAGATTTACTTACATAGGCACGAAATATTGTGGTTCAAGAAACCACTAAACAAATCTCTACTTGTGTATGTGTACGGAATGCACAACACGAGAATACAACAATATATCGGTGGATCTAGATATAGCAGATCTAGATCAGTAGACCAGGCAGTCTAGGCCTAGAACTAGACTAGTGCAATTATAAACATGTAAAATATGTGTTAGTAAGCGTACGCACTCAACAACAGGCACTCAGTCACTCAAAATAAGGCATCACAATGATAAACAATGCAATGCAATGAATGCATAAATCACAATATAATTAACGTTACGTGAGTCATTGGAGTTGAATTCAGAGTAGATCTTCTTCGAGTTCTAGATAGATGTAGAAACTAGCTAGTCGAAAACGGTGGTCGATGAGCTGGTTGTCGATCGCGTAGGATATATGCAGACGATGATCGACGCTAGGTGAATACCACGATGATGAAGACGATGTTGAAGACAACGATGATGACAATGATGATGAAGACGACGCTGGTGAAGACAGCGATGATGAAGTCGACGATATGGAGACAACGATGATGAAGACGATGATGAATCAGTATAAACAGCTGAATACAATGATGATGCAGTCAATGTCAATAGATCAACTTCAGTGACTTGCGATGCAGGTCGAAGAATCAAATGTCGAGACAATATATATCATATGAAGTCGATGATAAAAGGTTGTCAAACAATAATGCAGGTGGGAAAAACGTTAGGTCATATTAAATGTTCTATTCTCACTGCTGGTGAATTAAAGTGTCGTCAATGCTGAACATCGAGAGAGTCAAAATATATCTTGCAAAACGTACAAGATGTAAATAGGTGAGCACGTCCACCGGGAATGGTCCGGGGACGTAACAGTTCAATCCTCGTTGGATACAATTTTCTAGGTACAAATATCAACACAATAACAGCATGTGTGTATACCAATATTAAAACAGCTCACTGATTCCCGCACAGGAAAATCAGAAGAGCGCCAATCAACTACAGCGCGATTGGTTCAAAACAAGCGCACATGTATGTTAATAAGGCACGTGATCTAAATACTTATGAATAAATACGCGTACATCTATGTTAATTCATCATGTGATGAAAATACTAATGAATAAACATCGTTATATAATAAATCGAGTTAAAACCAGTTCTGAGGACATGGCGTAATACCAAATCCTCGAACTCTCAATGACTTCTAAAGCGGCCATTTTGTATTAAAAACACAATATGTATACCAGTGAATTATAAATGAATGCACTGTAACATTAGTCGCTACAGGTCTATAATTACTTAATGTTTGAGGATCACCCTTTTTAAATATTGGCACTACCTTAGCAATTTTCATTTGTCCTGGTACAATACCAGATAAGAAAGACAAATTATAAATATGAACAAGTGGTATCACAATTCCATGTATAATATCCTTAATTAATTCATTTTTTATGCCATCAAAGCCAGGACTCTTATTACTTTTAAGCGAACTCACAAGTTTAAACAATTCTATTTCATTTGTGGGCATTAAAAATAGGCTATCTATATTGGGTTCTTGCATAAACTCAATAAAACTTTTCTGACATCTGGGAATAGAGTCCTGAAGTTTCAGCCCGACATTACAAAAATAATCATTAAAATTGTCCACAATAATTTGTCTATCTTCTACGGAACAACCATTCACATTTATACATTTGATATTTGTAGTTTTTACTGATGGCTTAAAAAAACTTCTAATTACTTTCCATGTATTCTTAATATTATTAAATGTCATTTGAAATTGAGCAGAGTAATATTTTTTCTTAGCAACACGCAATACAGAAGTAAGAGTATTTCTATAATTAGAATACTTTCTCCACAAAAAATCAGAGCTTCTCCTTTTATATTGATAATACAACTTATTTTTCTTAGTAATTGACCTTAATATTGATTTAGTTATCCATGGCATACGAGGAACTTTATTATAATTCTTCTTTTTATATTCAACCAGAGGAACATTCTCACCATACAACAACATGAATTTATTAAAGAAATTATCAAAAGCACTTTCAACATTTTGGTCTGAAAGAACATCATTCCAATCAGTTGCAATTAATGCCTCTCTCAATTTGGCAATATTTTCAGGAGTTCCTTTACGGACAGACGTGCGGCCTCTAGGCTCACAATTCAATTTCACCGAAGACAACATACAGTATACAGGAAAATGATCAGACATGTCAGATACTATAATTCCAGAGGGTGGATATGGTTGTACATTACAAAAAATATTGTCAATTAAAGTACTGGAAACTTCTGTTATTCTTGTTATGTTGGCTTAGTGATTAGGGGCAATAATGAGAAAGACATTAACATGTTTAGAAAAACATCAATTCGATTATCGTTATTACAAAGTAATAAATTCAAATTAAAGTCTCCCATAAGATAGAGTGACTTTCCAACTAAAAGTGGATTGTCTAAAATTGACTGAATTTCATTTACAAAATCATTAAAGTTACCATTTGGGGGCCTATATACAACTCCTATAAAATGATTCTTTTGACCAGGGTTATCAATCTCAACAAAGATAGTTTCTATATGATCTGACATTATATCAAGATCGTGATGTATCTGGTATTCTAATTGGGAAGGAATATACAAAGCAACACCTCCTCCACGTCTACTTTGTCTATTGTTGTTCACAAGATTAAAACCAGAAATAGAAAAAAGGCTCCTATCGGCTTCACTCGTAAACCATGTCTCAGTGACACCAAGTAAGTAACTCCGGCGTGGAGATATCCTACTAAAACATACCCAAAATGAAGTAAATATTCATTAAATGTCCAAATAAAGATCATGAGTTAAAAGTCGTTATGTTTATTACCTGTTTCGTGTCAATTTTCCTGTTATTTTTGGAGTATTTTTCAGAAAAACGTTTATAGCATACACTTTTTCACAGGTTTCACGGCAAACTGCTGCACAATACCAGTGCATACCGATGGTTAACTCCAGGAAGCTCCGATGCATCAGCGTCGGAGCTTCCTGGAGTTAACCGATGGTGGGTTGCGGGCGGGTGCGCGCCTATATGTCAAGTTATCTACCGTAATGAGAATTATTCCTAATTCATTTAAATAATTGAATTTTTCCTAATATTACTTTTTTAATAATCCGGTGGTAATGCAACTAAGGCGATGGCTTGGCTCTTTTTACTCGCCGATAGTATCCATTTCACAAGATACTAGCTAGTAAGCTCTTCGTGAAACAGTTAAGGAAGATCACTGACATCTCTGTAGTTGGCGGATAAAATTATGACTGTCTTGTCGTTGGTTTTCTAGGAACTGGCTCCAGCTCCACTAGCTGCCTCTAATAATATTTCTGGGAAGGTTAAAAAATGTCAGTTTTTATTTAAGAATGACCCATACTAGATGGTTATTTCTTTCTTATTATCCCTGAGTCCTAGCCCTTTAATAAGTTAAGGGCCTAACTATGGTTAATATGAGTTTGAAAAACTACATGTACCTTCAAAGTTCTTCAAAACTCTTCTTTTTTTTCATCTGCTCATAAGGCCAAATAAAAAAGGAGGAGACCGGGCATTACTGTTTTCCTATTTTTTCCAATGGACTACGTCTACCGGTATATAGATATGCTGCATTTCCAATTTTATTGGTAACTTCTTCATACTGTGCATATTTTCAGACGGATTTGCAGGTGATTCAGGAAAGTACACCAAGATGTTGGCACATAGATCTGCATGGTTGGCCAGGAGAGCCAGACGCCCGCATACCTTCTGTAGACCCGTGCATTCCAGGAACAGATTCGGATCCACTTCGTCAGGGTCCAAACCTCTAGGTGACAAGGAGAGATACGATGTGATAGTGGTCGGAGGGGGGCACGCTGGGTGTGAAGCAGCAGGTGTATCGGCTCGTATGGGCGCCCAGACCCTACTCCTGACACATAAGATTGAAACCATAGGTAAGGACCTAGTACTATACTGTTCAGAATGAAATGCAGTGTTTATCAAAGCACAATTCTAGAAAGTCTGTATACATTCAAAAGAAGCCTCAGGAACTATCAATGTTTCATGTAATAGAAATAAAATACAAGTCTTAGATATGCAATCATAATTTGATTGGTTGAAATTCAGGCATGTGTTTCATCACAATTTAGTTGGTATGCAAGATGTCCAGGTGGCCTGCAGCTGAATTATCCCCCTCAGGGGAATAAATAATTGATGACGAGATGATAAAAGACACTGACTTGCTTCTGAACTTGAAATGTAATCTTTCTAGTTTCAATTGAGAGTGGTACACTGGTAGTAAAAAAACTACCGATAGTTCATGGATTTATTATAGAGGAAAAAGAATAGACAACGTCCGTATCGATCTCTCTGTCTTACTACGGTAATTTGTATTGTTTACGATAGGAGGACTTGTTGCTAGCAAGTGTTGAAGATCCATGGGTGAGCAATTGAGCATAATAGACTGCTGGACATTTTGAATGTGTTACCCTGTTGACTACTAAATTATCTTATTCCCATAGACGTTATACATGGGTCACCCAGTTCCCGTAGTGAATGGGTTAACCCTCTCATAATGTTCATTGTAATACCCATAGTGATATTTATTTTGAGAAAAATATAATGTATTACACCCCTTCAAATTTGTTTGCCTAGCTGGATCAGTGAATTCAGAATGGGTATTTTTGTAGAGAGTAGGTAGGCAAAATGTAGTTGAAATATGAAGCAAGGATAGTACATGTAGAGTTGGTTCTCATGTGTGTAATAGAGATGGAATTAGAGAACAAGAGCTTGCACAAATCAGCAAGAAAACAAAATAATTTGTGTTTAAATTTTGGGCAAAACCAAAATAACCAGATAATACAGAGCCCTAGCTGATTGTAACTCTGGTGCTTATCGCAAGCACTCCCAATTGTTCATGACAATAGATTCTGCACATAGTTCAACTATCTTGGTTCTATTCTAACTCTGTTTTCTTTTCTCTGTTTTGTTTTTATAGGTGTAATGTCGTGTAACCCATCGTTTGGAGGCATTGGTAAGGGTCATCTGATGAGAGAGATTGACGCTCTTGATGGGATATCTGCAAGACTCTGTGGTAAGTTGAACTTGATGAAGACCTCCCTGATAGTTATTGTATACCTTTAGGGGGATAGTTTGACCAATATCAGACCAAACAAATGATTTTTCCCCCCCCTCCATATCTTTGCCCATGGGCAATTTTAATTTTGATTACAAATACAAAAGTTCACATTTACATTTTTTAAAACCAATATCAAAACAATATTTTTATACCGGTACATTATTCAAATTCATGCTTCAACATAATCCAGCTATTAGTGATCTCATTTTTGTTCCCATTTATATCATAAATGTAATGCTCATCTATATAATTTGCTTTATAATGTATATATATATATTTTTTTTAAACAGGAAATATCTTATTTGCTCTAGAAAAAAATAGATCAAACAAATAATGACATATTACTCCAAAAAGCCAAGAATTGATCAGTTTGGCGGAGTGACTGACTGGGGTATAACTACATGTATGTAACACATGAAAAACTGTCTTATCTTTCTAATACTGTAGATAAAGCTGGCATCCAGTACAAAGTTTTGAACAGACGGAAAGGACCTGCAGTTTGGGTGAGATACAAGAGCATAAAATGTTTTATACGTCACAATGACCTGAAATTACTCTATCACTACACATATATGTGTGTAACCTCATCTTAGTAACTTTTCATTTTAATAATATTCTTTGTTTCTTTGGTTTTGAGGCTGTCAACAGTTTTAATTTGGCATATTTTACCATTTCCTTAAGTTGGTAAATGGCAAGTATTGCAAAATATGGACATTAGCAGAGAATGGACTACTGCAAACCAGAAACTCTCATGTATATTAAATGTTTGCCAATTTTGTGAATTGAATCACAATATGCTTTTTAATCAACACTACCATTTTGAAATTATTGAAAGAATCTTAGTGTGAAAAGCTGTCATTTTTAACAGTCTGCTAAAGTGTCCTGTCGCAGAAGTTCTTAGTTTTTACGGTAACTCATTTGCTGTTCCACTCGTCAATTATAGGGACTACGCGCCCAGATCGACAGGGATCAGTACCAGAGCTACATGCAGGATGAGATACTTAACACACCAAACCTGACTGTCAGGGCTGCTCCCGTAGAAGACCTTATCATCCAAGGGGAGGATGTGGCCGAGATGGATGGTTGCCATGGTGACAAGCCAGTGTGCTCGGGGGTTGTGTTGGGTAAATACGGGGTCACAATATTAAAGGCTTTCTGTATTACATCGGCCAGAAGGGATTAGACCACCCAGCGAGGTCACTGATAGGTGGCTATCTCATCAACTCAGCTCTCAATGAACATAAGAAAAAGAGGATCATGGGGGACCAACAGGCACTGATTGGGTTTATCTATATAGAGGGAGCAAGTAGTACAGTGGGGCTTTAAAGTGTTGTTTACTTAAAACCTCAGAAATTTAGGCAAGTTTTGTCTGATGCCATTATCTGAGAGGGACACAAGGTCATCATGGTCATCAAAGACTATAAACAGGCATTTATATTTTTGAAATTTAAATAGGTATTTTAGTGAAATATAGTATCATGTAATGAGCACAAAAAATTATGGTGTTTTTTTTACTTAAGGGAAGAGATGTAGTGTCATGATTGAAAGCCATTATAAGAACCTCGGTCTAGTTAAATAGAAGCAAACCTGTCATTCAAATATGTCATATTTTACTTTTAGATGCGATGACATGCAACAACAATTATGGGTTTTGCATTCTAGGTGCATCTTGACATGCCTAAAAAGAAATGTAGAAGCTATCTTATGCTACGGTCACAGAGGTTCGTACGAACGATAATTTTGTACGAATCTCCCTGTTTTTCCATTGTCTTCCTGAATTTCCATTGCTTAAAAATCGTTCGTACGGCGTTCGTAGCAGTTCATAATGGCATTTGTGACCAAGGCTTTAGCGACTTGGCATAAATTTGTATGTTGATATCCCCAGGAAACCTATGTACATTGCACATAGAAAAAGTGGGACAATATTACACTACCACTGCAGCAAAGCAGATAAAGTCTCTCAGCTAGTGCTGTAGCCGAACCCCGAACCGAACCAAGTTCGGGTGAAAAATTGCCGAACTCTGCCGAACCAAACCTAACACGAATATAGTGTCTGACTTACAGCACTACTCTCAGCTAAGTGTGAATTCATTAAATTCTTCAATAAAATGACTGCTTTGTATTCTAGAGAATGGTGAGACTATTCGTAGCAGTGCAGTTGTCATAACAACCGGAACATTCCTAAGAGGAGAGATCCACCTGGGTGTAGAGAGGAGACCTGCTGGTAGAATAGGGGATGAGCCTTCGGTTGGTCTGGCCAAGCGCATTGAAGATGCTGGGTTTACACTTGGAAGACTAAAAACGGGTAAGCATGCATATTTCAAGTAAGATTTAGGTTCATCAAGGAACCTTTGGCATGTCTTTCCCGTAAGCTTTAAAGAAAAGATCATATTAGGTGAATCAGCAACCATACTTTTCCCACCTGTGGTTGGCTGGAGTCTGCATGTATTGATGTCAGAATTACTACCTTTGGTGCTTGGCTTCATGCCTAAACTTTCAAGCTACATCCCAAATAGAAGAAAGAAGATTGTTAATGGGGTCCTTTCTTAAAAAGCCTTATAAAAGACAATTCCGACATTGCCAGAGTGCTTTTCCATATGCTACTCATTTCTTCTCTCGGCTGTGTGTCTATTTGTCTGGTAATGTGTGTATCTTCCTTGAATATAGATGTATCAATAAAATGTTAGAATCTAGAGATTTTTATTCTTCAAATACCTATTCAAACTGTATTATTCTCTTTAATATTATACACTCTTCTTCTGTCTTGGACCTTCCTGTCCTTTCTTGCTGAAACTACCATACTTCTTGTTGATATATTTCCTGTCTTTTTTTTTCTTTTCATTCTTTCCTTGTTCTCTGTCTTCCAATTTCATTTCATTCACCACTATATTTTACACGTAATTTATTGATTTATTCTTACTTCATTGTAACCAGGACGAATCTTTCTCTTCCTTTTTGCTTTTTTGGTCTTCTTCTTCTTCTCTTTCTTCTTTTTCTTCTTCTTCTTCTTCTTCTTCTTCTTCTTCTTCTTCTTCTTCTTCTTCTTCTTCTTCTTCTTCTTTCTTCTTTCTTCTTTTTCTTTTTCTTCTTTTTCTTCTCCTTCTCCATTTTCTTTATCTTCTACTCCTTTTTTGTCTTCTTCTTCTTCTTCTTCTCTTCCTTCTTTTTCTTCTTCTTCTTCTTCTCTTTCTTCTTCTCCTTCTCCATTTTCTTTATCTCCTTCTTCTTTTTCGTCTTCTACTTCTTCTTCTACTTCTTCTACTGCTACTTCTACTTCTTCATCTCTTATTGTGTTGTTGCTTTTTTTGTTGCTTTATTATTACTCATATTTCTCATATTGCGTTCTCGCTTGATGTAGGTACTCCTCCTCGTTTGGACGGAAGGACAATAGACTACAGTGAGCTGACACCAAACCATGGAGACATGCCTCCAATACCCTTCTCTTTTATGACAGACAGGGTAGCAATACAGGTAAATGATGGCTGATGACGGTAGCAAACTCAATAAGAGAGACATTTCATGTACACTGTAATGTACACTGCTTAGCCTATTGAATAATATTTGGTTTTAGAATAAAGCCTGGCTCACACTACACGATCTGACTGTGATCCGATATTGGAAGAATATATTTGTAATATCAACATTCAAATATGTAAAATCTTTTTAACCAAGGATCTGAATAGGTAGTCATATGATTGATAACATTTTAAATTCGAGGGATTCATGCTTCCTTCGGTGGGGAAAAAGCCAAATTGGTTTAGAATCGCAATGACTTCAGACAAGTAGTGCGATTGTCTACAAGTAAATTTGGCTTTTATTCTATAAATGGACCCAGCATTCAATTGGTTAAAGTTCATGAACAGTGAAAAGTTGTGTTTCTACCGACCGGGATTTTAAATGTTTTGATGCGAACAGGTACTTTGAATCTGCCTTGGTTCTCCCAAACCTTTCCTCAGTGATGTTGCCAGGTCTAGTCATTCAGTCAGGACAGGGGTAAACTAATATCTGCAGAGAACCACCAAAATATGAAATGTAAACAGGGGCCTAACGCACATGTGTTCTCAACATTATGCTCTGGATATAAAGGGAGAAAAATTGATGTAAACCCCGGTGATGGTGTTGTATTTCACCCTAAAAAAAGTTGATTGGTACACACACCAAACAGAATTAAAAAGGTGAACCTTTTCATTATCATTAGACTTGCTTTGATCTTCTTTTGTCATTCTTAGTTCCTGTCTTAACTGGATTTATAATTTTTTTTATCTCCACAGCCTGAAGATCAGGTGATCTGTCACCTGACACATTCAAATCATGAAGTACATCGTATATGCATTGATAACCAGCATCTCAATGTCCATGTTCAGGAGGAAGCCAATGGACCCAGGTACGAGACCTTCATCTTAAAGGCATCGTTTAACAATGTTAAATCTGAGATGCACGGCCCTACGTGTTATCAGTGTCTGTGATATGGTGTAATATTGAAGCCCTAAAATAATTGCACTTCAAAATGATCAAGAAGTGCCTCAAAAAAGTAAAAACCTTTGAGTGACCGGTTTTACCATACTTGTTTTGCCTAATAGACTGTTGGGTTTTTATGAAATCCATTAGGAAAATGCAAACATTTGATGTTGATTTCCATTCATAAATATCTTGATAATCAGACAGGCGATTGGCTTGTAAAAGTCATGGGATTCCTGACCAACCTAAAGGTTTATAATTATCATTGCAGCATGAGCTGAATCCAGGATTTTGTTTCAAAATCGGAGACAAAGTTGACCAATCCCTTATCCAAAAACTGCCATGTGTGCTATTAACATGACATGGTGTTTTTTTTATAGTTTTCCGTAACTATATAGAATGAAAGCTGGACTGGTTGAATTAGGGACTTTGTTGAATACTTTTAGATGTAAGCTTTCATATTTCATAATCTCAAGAAAGATAAAGCTGGACAAATCAATATTTAATATACTTATAAAAAACTTGGTAAGGTTAAGAATCATTTAGTCGTTAGCTCTACACATACCGGTACATGTAATTTTACTTGGTGTTTTGTGGAAAAAGTATAAACATGTGTAGATGGAGGAAATATGGATAGTCCATGAATGAGATAGATGAACATTGAACTGGAAAACATAGAATGGTGTGATGATGATTAAAGCACTATTAGCTTTAAAGGTGAAATTCAAAGAAGATCACAAATATGTCAATGTATCACTAGAAACTGGTAAACTAACAGATGGCCATCGGACAAGTTTTAGGTCAACTACATATCGGGTGATTTATAAAAAATACAAATACGACCACCTCCATTGCAGCTGGGATATACGAGAGATTCGTCCGGAAAAATAACGATGTTTTAATGACGTCACTTTATGGACCAACACTGCCCAAGCAGACGACATTCCATTGAGAATGAACATAATTGCAAAGCTATTATTTCTCAAATTATAATGAGTTTAGTGTATATAAATGTAATGGCATGTCAAACCATTCAAAAGGGGATATGATCCGATTCTGATAACTAAAATATTTTGCTTGTAAATACACAGGATAGGGGTTAATTAACAATCAAAGAAACCAAACTTTAAAATTGAAAAACCCCCAGAATGATATTAAGGACGGCATTTGTTCCCTCTTGAGACGCCAAACACACCCCGGTGTGTGCAGCTGAATATACAATGGCGTCTTATTTTGTTTACAAGCAGCAGATTCCTTTATTTTTGTATCACTGCATTTGTCATCAAAATAAAACCATGCGCGGGTTTTAGAGTGAGGCAATAGATTATACATTTAGCCTGACGGTAGTGAAGTAAGAGAAAGAACTCAAGAGAAGATGAAAACACAGGCACTGGAAATGTGTGAGATGTCATGGGACATCGTCTGCTTGTGCAAGTCATGTCCATACTGTGATCTCACACATCTCAGCAGCGTTCAGAGAGCTCTTCAGGTGCTATACCGGGGCCGTATTTCAGCATTTTGTAATTTATAATAATCGTTACTTCGAATGTTTCCAAGCATTGAGTTTTGATAACCTTGTCGAATCAAAGTTTCAACTTTGCAATAATAAAAAAAAGGTAGTTTTTAAAATCGATGAATATCTACTTTAATCGATTTGATTTGAATTCATTTCCATATAAAAAGAAGTACTATAATTGCAACATTACACAACATGAACACATACTGTATAATGACTGGATGACCCTACTCAGCATCCACCAACATGGTGGGTCACATAAAAGTGATAAAAAGGATAACAATAATGATAATGATGACATTGCAATGATGATGATGTTAATGACAATACTAACAGTGTCAATTGTGTATTTTACTCAGGTATTGTCCCTCCATTGAGTCTAAATGCTTGAGGTTTGGTGACAGGCCACATCAGATCTGGCTAGAGCCTGAAGGTAGGATTATTATTTACCCATTAGTCCATCTTTTCTAATTAATTATTCCCGTATTCCTGAGACAAACTACTTTGTTCATAATTGAAACATCTTCATACAACTATATCATAGATAAAGTCATGTTTATACAGTAGGCTTGCGGGTGCACCATGTGAGAGACAGGGAGAATTGAAGAGTCCTGAAAAGGACTCTTGGTAATCTTTCTTGAGGGTGTGTAGTCCTGAAAAGGACTGTTGATGTAGTCTTGAAAAAGACTGTTGGTAATCTTTCTTAGCTTATAGTTCTAAGGAGAACCATAGCGCTTGGAGAGAATGGGTGGCGACAGTGGCTCTTCAATCCTCCCTCTCTCTCACATGGTGCACCCGCAAGCCTAATGTATATCTACATCACCATGCAAGCTGATACTTAGAAGCAGCATTAACCCTATTTTAACTGGGCTATTTCAGGCTATTTCAGACAGGTTTTTACTGGGGGGGGGGGGGGTCAATTTGACCCCCCCCCCCTAAGATCTCGGCCGTTTCACCGCCGATCGCCGCGAAAATTTGCATGCATGTCAAGTGAAGTGTATAGAATACTATGGTAATTTCAAATTTTTGAAAAATTCACTCATTTGCATATTTATGGTAATTTATGCAAATAAGGTCATAAAATTCACATTTCGGCCCATAAATCATAGATTATTCATATTTAAGTATTCTTTTTCACTACATATATTCATTACACCATTTGGAATAATAATACAACACAAAAAATTGGAAGAGCCAGGTTATTCCTTATGATATCTCTTGTTTTTATAATTTCTTATGTATTTCATTGTTTTTTTAACTTATGTATTTTATTGTTTTTGTTGTTTTATTTCATTTATAACTACAATTCAACTATTTTGACCCCAAAACAAACATCTAAACTTTAAACAAGACTGAATAACCAATGTTTTATCTATTTTTAGGAAAAATGACTTTTACATATGTTTTGTACACAAATCACGAAAATGAGCGATTTTCGGGCTGACATGCAAAGACAAAAGGTCACGCGACCTTGTAACTGTAGGTCCGATTTTCAAAAAAATTGTTTTAAAAGATGCGTAAGACTCGAAAGTAAAAAGTCATGAGAGAAAAATTTTATATCTGCCGCGGTTTCGGAGTAGTCGCGAAATTTCTACAGGGGGGGTCAAATTGACCCCCCCCCCCCCAGTTAACGTAGGGTTAAAGTTATGTTTGTTAGAAATTTTAACTAATATAACTTGCCAAAAAAGTATTTGTTTCAACAATATGCCAACTCCACCCGTATTTATCCCTTGGTGATTCAAGTGCTGATATCAGACTGTTTTATCAATAACCTTCAGAAATATATGATTCTTTTTAGACAGCTAGTTATGTTTTCAGTAACAAATGGAATTGCCAAAGAGCCCATAGAAGTTGTCAAGTTTTCTATCCTTACTGTTTTATGCCACTCTCATTTTTTTATATTGTACTGTTTTTATATGATGAGGAGAATGAAAATATGCGATGACAGCAAACTACCTCTTTCAGTAGATTTTCTTTAGGGTTATGGTCTATTCTCATCAGTATTACTGGTGAAGAAGGCAGAAGTGTGTTGAAAGTGCTATCAGTCAATTGCTTGATTTCATTTAGTGTTTATTTCCTTGATTTCTCAAACCTAGGTCTGAATACAGATATCGTGTACATGCAGGGATTCTCTGTGACCCTTCCCCCAGACCTTCAAGAAAAGTGTGTTAACAGCATCAAGGGTCTAGAGAACGCCACAATGACCAAACCAGGTATGTACAATGATCTATCTCTTCTTCGTCATATGGCAGTTGTTTGAATGATATTGTTACTATACATCAGTAACTTTTCATTGCAATGGTGTATGTTTGCATCCCACCGCTGCAGGATAGACAACATTTCAATCATATCATGAACCTAAGTAACCTAACCATGAATTGTGGTATTGCTGTGCCAAAATGCAGCATCTGCAGTATTTTAGATGAAAAGATGACCAGTGTATTTATGAAACTTTCCGTTGTGCTATCAATCTATATACCAATAAACTTTCCTTTGCTCTGTATACCGGTAAGTTATTTTGATATTGTTTATTCACTTGGAGGGGGTGGGGGGGGGGGGGGGGGTAGACAGTCAAAGATGTTTATCTGTGGTGTATTAACAGGGGTCAGTTGAGTTATTAAATTCTGTTTAAAGAACAAAATAATAATCACAGACTTCTCCCCCCACCCATCCCAGACAGTTATACCCTGGACATTTACCCTTGGTGGGGTAAATCCCCCTGGGACAACTTAGCCTAAACAAAGACCTGTGTTTGTTGTCAGGAAACAGACTAGCTGGGTATTTTTTTACAAGTTGATGAAGAGTCTGGGAATGGTTATTCTGAAATTATATTGTTTACAAATAGCTTGTGCACTGGATGGTCATATGTCACTCAATATTAAAGTCCAGGCCCGTACAAACTACGATTCGCGGCTAAATATATTAAGTGCTCATTACCCACTTCGCAATGTCTCAATCTCACCTCTGGCTCAAAGTTGGCAACCCTAGTAAGAGCCCCCTTTTAAAAAAAAGATTGTACAGGCTTGAAGTCATTTGATATATCAGACTTGCCCAAAATGAATATTACTGCATTGTTATAATCACTTTCTATGAAGGTAATACAGTGTGGAGTATGACTATGTGTACCCTAGAAAGATCAAACCATCATCAGGCCTGATAAAAACCCGAATTAAATCGATTTCCCGATTTTTTTTTTTTCTCTTCCGAATTAAAAAAAAACAAAAAAAAAACAGATTTTTTTTTTTTTTTTTTTTTTTTTTTTTTTTATCAGATTTTTTTTTCTTCCCTATTTTATTTCCTGATTTTCCCGATTCCCCCTTATTTTCTCTTTTCTTCCCTATTTTTTTCCCAATTTTCTTACTCGAAAGGGGGGAATGTTGTTAGATGCCATTTTTTCCCCGCGAATCCTCTTCTTTTATTTTACTCAAGGGGGGCGTGGTTGAGGGGAAAACAAAAAACCTATTTTTTTTTTAGTGCTCACTATCAACCCTGCATCATTATTCTTATCTGTGAACAGGATGAAGTCCAGCAAAGAAATTATTCACACCTTGTTTTTGCTAATTTTACACATTGTATTGTAACTGAAATATTGTAATTTAAATATGCATAGCTGCCAACTGATACAATTTTATTTATTTATTTTTTTTTATATATTTTTTTGTGTGTGTGCCATTTCATATCTCACATCGGCAATTTGGGGATGTTCATTGGTTCATCAAACACACCAGTCATGACGAAATCATGCATATTCAACCAATGATCCATAAAAATGTAATTCTTCTGTATGTAGGAACTGTAAGAGACATTGATCTGTGTTTATTTTTTATACAGTTTTTGTCAGTAAAATACAACTTTGGGGATTTAAGAATACAGTTTTTGAACTCCAGAGGTTGACAGGTCTGACTTCGATGGGCGCTTCGAGCACATGATATTCAGTTTTACTTAAATGTTACTGATTGAAAATTCCAAAATGATGGCAGCTACGAATATGTCTGGTGAATCGAGGTAGCTGAGTTTCACTGCGGAATCTTCTGCTCTTTAAAGGTTATGGTGTAGAGTACGACTACGTGGACCCAAGAGAGATCAATATTGTAATTTTAATATGTCTGGTGAATCGAGGAAGAGTTTCACTGAATCTTCTCCTCTTTACAGGTTATGGTGTAGAGTACGACTACGTGGACCCAAGAGAGATCAAACCATCATTAGAAACTCTGAAGATACCGAGGCTGTTCTTTGCTGGTCAGATAAACGGTACAACAGGGTATGAAGAAGCAGCAGCACAGGTAAAGGCACTACTTCTTCTTCTTCTTCCAATTAGAGTACATACCTCTTTACAGAGTATACTGGGGTGTGCAGGTGGATCACTACACCGGCGTTGCCGCCTACTCTTATACGAATAGTGCAATGGGTTCTTGACGTGCAAAGGTGGTGACTCTCCTCCACACGGGGCCTCCATTTAACATCCTATCCGAGGGGCGGATGTCCTATCCGAGGGACTTAAGCAGTAAAGATGGATGGATAAAGGGATTAGTAATACAGATTTATACTGATTAGATGGTAGAGATGAATCTGTTCAGATAAAATGATTCAAATAGAAATTTGTGGTGCCAGTTGAAGCTTGTAAATGAGAAGATTTGAGGCTTTTACTTTCATTCCATTATCATACATTTGCTCAGAAGTTGTATTTCAGAAAATACATGCACCATGTGGGGTTAGAGGTTGGAGAGGGATTAATTTATGTTTTTTGGGGGGATTGTTGCAGTGTAGGGCCTGTGCATGAAGTTACACATCAACCAGTAAAACCTGACACCAGATGTTAAGTGCCCTAGAGCCCAGTTCAATCCAAAGTTAAGTCCATTTCTTTCTCCCAGGGTATCATTGCCGGGATCAACGCAGTGCTTAAAGCCAGGAGAAGACCTCCCTTCACCATCAGCCGAACCGAGGGTTACATCGGGGTCCTGATCGATGACCTTACGACCCGTGGCACCTCGGAACCCTACCGCATGTTCACCAGTCGCACCGAGTTTCGTATGACTCTGCGTCCTGATAATGCTGACCTCCGGCTCACACACAGAGGTCAGTATAGGGTCACTACGTATTAGAAGAAAAAAAAACTTTACGCTTATGGTTGAAGATCTGAATTGGTGTCTTTTGTGTTGGTATGCATGAGCCCCACTGCAGGATTTATAAATGGTTTCTGGTTTGACCCTGTCTCTGCCTGTCTTGCCATCAGGGATGCCAGTTTTAAGGCAATAGCCTGAATTCAGGCCCTAGCGAGTTATGGACCATAGTTTAGCCTTCTTTGTGTACAAAATAGCTCATTCTAGGTGATTTTCAAGCCCTCTGAACAATTGTAACTGGCATCCCTGTGCAATCAACATATATCAAGATATCAAGATATATCAGGCAATCCTAAATTATCCTTCAACTTTCTTAGAAAATATTTACTAGATTCAAAATAGCTCATTCTAGGTGATTTTCAGGCCCTCTGATCAATTATAACTGGCATCCCTGTGCAATCCTCATATATCAAGATATATCAGGCAATCCTAAATTATCTTTCAACTTTCTTAGAAAAATATTTACTAGATTCTTGTGGACTAACATTATTTTTTGATTGCAAGTACCATAGGCCACCGTTATTTAGCATTTTGGTGTGGTAATTGTGAGAAATATATTTCTACAGGTTTTGCTGCTGGGTTATTTTATGATTGCAAGTACCATTGGCCACCGTTATTTAGCATTTTGGTGTGGTAATTGTGAGAAATATATTTCTACAGGTTTTGCTGCTGGGTTATTTTATGATTGCAAGTACCATAGGCCACCGTTATTAAGCATTTTGGTGTCGTAATTGTGAGAAATATATTTCTACAGGTTTTGCTGCTGGGTTATTTTATGATTGCAAGTACCATAGGCCACCGTTATTTAGCATTTTGGTGTCGTAATTGTGAGAAATATATTTCTACAGGTTTTGCTGCTGGGTGTGTATCGCAAGAAAGGTTTGAGCACACCATGGAGACAAGAAAAGCTCTTGAAGAGAGCAAGAGCCTGCTCAGATCAGTCAAGCTGCATAGACAGGAGTGGAGAAGACATCTTGAGAATCATGGCGTTCAATCAGCGTTTGGAAACAGCAAGTCACCAGAAAAAATGAGGTAAGATTCATTGACACTGGAAATATGCTTGGAAGACATTCATGTACTGTGACTTCTCATATACAAAGACGGAAAAAAAAGTAAATATCAACAAAAAGAATTTGTGAAGAGGGCAAGGAACTGCTCATATCAGTCAAAGTATATGGACATAAACAGAGAGCACATCTAGAGAAGCATGGCTTTCAATCAATGTTAGGAAACAACAGGTCAACAGACAAAATGAAATTTAATGAATGACAATGCTGAACCTCTTTGGAAACATCCACATTAAAAAAAGAAACTTGTGAAGTGGTCTCTATGTGCATAGTAATACATAAATGTGTTCTTTGTGTTTCAGCAGAAATTTGATTTATAAAATGGAATGGATGTTAATGTATTGTGCAAAGTCATTCTCTTGTTTAAAATCATTTTTTTTTTTAAATTTGGATGACCATATAGATGTATTATAAGCACTAAACAAATTTAGCCCCTATAACACTTCTGCTTTCGAGAAAAATTGAACATAACAATTTACAGGGCTCCTGGTAAATGTTGATAAATTTCAAATAGCGCCTACGGCCATACGATGGTAGCTTCGACCATGGAAATCTCAGAATATGCAGTTGTGATATATATATTCCAAACGGTAATAGCAAATCGGTCAATTTTAGTCAAATAACATTGTATTATAGCTTAATCAATATCTTGACCTTGAGAGGGAGCTATAAAACTTAAAGACTTCATTATTTACAATTTCGTCATTTTAGACTCGATTTCAACCGCGACATCGCATATGCTTTCAATATGTTCATTTGAACCAAATTCATGACCCCTTACCAAAACTTTGTATTACCTTTAAAGTTCAAAATCTCAAAAAAAGGTTAAAAACAATAACATGATTTAATTTGACTGTGTTAAATATGATATTCATGCAAGGGGCAAATAACAATCTGCATTATTAGAGTCAGTGGACACCTTTGGATTTTCTTTTATAATTATTTTTTAAATGTATCTTTTCTATGGCTTCATTTTGGTTTTCTTTTATAGTGCAATGGACATATTACAGTTTCCAGGACTGACAGTCCACCATCTTGCCGCAGCCTTGCCCTCAGAAAGTCTTGCGAGGCTAGAGGACCATAGACTTGCTGAACGATTGAAAATTGAGGGTAAATACACTTTTTCTCTGCTCCTTACCTCATAAATCTCTTCAGAAATAGTAATTGGATGATCATCATCCAATTGATGTGAGAGATAGATATTGCAAGACTTTTTAGGTGCACTGTAACATCTGTGTAGTTCCTAGTTATTTTTAGTTGCCCGAACGGTAACGAATTCTTGAAAAATCGGCTTAAAGATACACATCATTTTAGGAAAGCATTGTCTATTTAAGTTGTGAATATAGCATCATTTTGGTATTTATAAAGACACATTAGTTTTCTACAAATTGTTGTAGTGTCTCTTCACAATCAACAACAAAAAAACAAAAACTATTTCTAATACAACAATTCTCAAAATTGAAATAGCAGTTCTGGGGGTGTCATCACAAAGATCCTAAGTTGGACTTAACAAATATGGAAAGCCATTAGCATCTTCAAAAATATTTTGTAAAAGTTATTTCAAAAGGCATAAAATGTTGATTCAAATAATTAATATTTTCTATTATCAAAGAGATTTCATGTTCTTGATGTGGAATTTATAAAAAATCTAAAATACTTGATTTTTTGCTTTTGAATATATTTTATTTTAAGGCTACAAATGGCTATCCATAATATTTAAGTCCAACTTAGGATCTTTGTGAAACACCCCCCTGGTACTGATTGAATGTTTTTAATGTGGAATCCTGCAGGTATCTATGCCCCTCTCATCCCACAACAAGAGGCGGCCATCGCTGAAGTGCAGGCAGACGAGGAGCTGGAACTGCCCGAAGATCTGGACTATACCAGGTTTGTCTCATCCTCCTTTTGAGTCCTGTCTAAACGTGGTGTGATCAGAATTGCATCACAAAACCACAACAGCAAAACCGTGTAGATGAGTGGGAAAGAGACAGTATTTTGGGGTGTAAAAGGACTTAAGTGCCCACTCGTATTTAAAAAAATGTGAAGCACACTATACATAGCACATCAGATCTTTTTCCAGGTTCTTTTTTTTTATTCATCTTTTTGTCAATGCAGTCTGGCTCTTATCTAAGTGAGCATTTACATGAGGTCTGTTGTTATAAGCCAGTTCATAAATACTATCTGTGCATGGGCAGATAAAGGTCATCTGTTCCCAAATTGTAAAACCCATCAAAACGAATACTGGTATCGTGCTCATGAAAGTTATGTAATCAGTTTTCATTTATGCACCGACTGTACATTTATCTGATACACAGGAGGAAGTATTCTTCTCAAGAGGCAAACAAAAGTTATTCATGAAGCACCTCCATCACTTCGGCAGTGATTATTCTAAATGCACAAGTGGAACGTATCCATCGTGTCAAAGATCTGTAGATATTTTGGGGTCATGCTTACCGAAGCTATTTACGAACTGGCTTATTGCCTTGATCCTTTTTTTTTAAGTATCCCACATCATATGGGAACTAGGCATCTTGATAAATAACTATGGAACCCCTGTGGTTGTCCGGCAAAGATACAAAGTTGTTCTTAATATAGTTCCCCTGCTGTTAATAACATCCTTATTTTCCATGGATTTAATATTTGCAGCTTGAAACTTTCTACCGAAGCCATCTACAAGCTCACCCAAGCAAGGCCAACAACGGTACGTGTGTTTTATTTAGTGTCAAGATAATTATTTTGTAATGTAAAATGATTTGTGTCAGTTTGCATCGTAGTCTGTACTCTATGCACATGTATGGGGCAATGAGTACCAGAGTTCATGTCTGCATGAATAGACTGTTGACTAATTCAAGCAATGGAGAAGAGCCATGTAGATAAAATGCCTTCTTCAAGAACATACAGCTAACAACTGAATTATTCATACCCCTTGTAATTTTTGTGTGTTTTTCATAACTCATGAATGGAAGGCGGACTGGCTGAATTAGGGCCTTTGTTGAATAGTTGTTGTTGTTGAGATTAATGGCGTTTCCATCGTCATTGGATGATTTTCGCCAAAATACTTTTAGATGTGAGCTTTAATGTCACATTTTCAAGAAACATTAATCACAACAGATCAGAGTTTTTCACATAGTTAAACAAAACTTGGTAAGGGTATGAATAATGTCTTTGTTAACTGTATGAAATGCCATGCTAAGATTTGAACTAATGACCTTTGTATATGCTGGAACAGTTCTCTCAAAGCTATGGATTACAGTGAAACCTCTATATAAAGGCCGCTCACAGGAAAAGTGGTCTTGGTGGTCAGGTGGCCGTTATGGACAGGCTCCTTTAGTAAAGGTTTTAATGATAAATGTGGTCTTTATACAGGTGGTCACTAAAGCAGGTTTCACTGTGTACCTCTTCTCTACCTTCTTGCTTTCAGATTGGAGCTGCCAGTCGACTAGAGGGCGTAACCCCAGCTGCTGTTTTACGTCTTCTATACCATGTCAAGAGGCAACGTCAGAACAGGATGACACACACCGCCTCATGACAGTAAAAATGATAATAATAATAATATTTAGCTTTTATATAGCGCTTAATACAATGTCTCTAAGCACTTTACAAATATATTATTACCCTGGTCATTGGGATTCGAACCCTCGACCTTCGCATCTCCAGTCAAGCGCCTTAAACCACTCGACCTTGACACTCCCAGTAGCGCGGGTAGATGTGCGGTGAATAGAGAATAGAGAATTTACAGCATTTTATTTATTGATGAAATCTAAATAGATGCCTTATATTTATATAACTTGTATATATAATTATTTACACATGTTAGCTTCACTTGTGATCACATAATAAATACCCTTTTCATAAGTTTTATATATGAATATGAGTGTTGTACAAATTCTATATTTTGAACTCTCTTTTAACTATGCAATTTATACAGTCAACCTGTTTTATTTGTAAGATGGGCATATTGACTTAGGATTTCTTTTGTCTGGCAATTAGGTTTGGTTTTCTTTATTTGTAGTAGAGGAAAAATGGGTAGTCTCATTTTTTGTGTCCTATGAAATGGTCCAGCTACCAAAATCGATTCTTCCAATGCCACTGCTCAGTGTTTTTTACATCCATTTTTTTTTTTTTTTTTTTTTTTTTTTGCTGGGCTGAAACTTCATTTTATAGAAGTTATGGCCAGTGTCCAGAGAGCTACCACCGTGTATTCTGTATCCTTATGCCATGTAGCAGTTGTTCTGGTTATTCCAGGAAAAGTATGTGCGATGAAAGCATTTTTCATCTTTTGAGATGACAGAAAAATTGTAACTTGGATCCAAAGCAGTTGCTGCATTATGAAAACAAAGGGGCAGAGGGATCCGGCCATCATTACCGTAGTCCAATCACCCTGTTGATGGTTGTGGCTCGGTCATACTTTTATCATACTGTTATCATACTTCTATAATACCCTAATCATACTTTTATCTTACTTCTATCATACTTTTATTATACTTTTATCATATCCTAATCATACTTTTATCATAATTTTATCATACTTCTATCATACTTTTATCATATTTTTATCATATCCTAATCATACTTTTATCATAATTTTATCATAATTCTATCATACTTTTATCATACTTCTATCATACTTCTATCATACTTTTATCATACTTCTATCATACTTCTATCATACCCTAATCATACTTCTATCATACTTCTATCATACCCTAATCATACTTCTATCATACTACTACCATACCCTAATCATACTTCTATCATACTTCTATCATACCCTAATCATACTTCTATCATACTTCTATCATACCCTAATCATACTTCTATCATACTACTACCATACCCTAATCATACTTCTATCATACTTCTATCATACTGCTATCATACTTTATCATACTTCTATCATACTTTCATCATACCCTAATCATAATTTTATCATTCTTATATCATACTTTAATCATACTTCTATCATACTTTCATCATACTTCTATCATACTTGCATCATGCTTCTATCATACGTTTATCATACTTCTACCATACCTTAATCATACTGTTTTTTTTAATGTGTTCTATCGTCTGCAGTCGTCCCCACTCTGTGTATCTAGCATTAGTTAGGATGCATCATTATCATGGACTACTTCTACCACCACACATCTCACAAAATGTCTTTTCCACATAACATACTTTTCCTGAAGTGTTTGCAAAATCCAATTACCGACTTTCCCAACAAACCAAGAAATTGGTCCCAAATGTGGAATATTTCTTTTTCGAGTTGTCATCGATATTTGGGATATTGGACTAACTTAGGGAACGATTGCAGACGTTATAGATTCAACTTGAAGTTTAAATGCTTTCTGGATAAATCAGTGTGGGAAACATCATTTGTCTTGTCCCATATCATGAAGATCATCAAGCTCAACTCATTTATGAATAACTTTTGTTGATATATGTGGGGCAATTTTAATACCCTATTGTATATCCTACAAAAATCATGTTCAGATTACATAGTAATCATTGTGATGTTCACACAGTTGAAAGAATGAAGGATAAGGCTATTGAAATTGCATTTTTTTTTTTGTGTGCGTGTGTTTTTTCCAAATTTCTAGATCATGATATGTATCGTTTTGAGTGATACATATACGTGATATGTATGTGCTACATAATGTGCAATTAAGTGTTTAAATGATCTTTTGTTTAAGGGGCATGTAATATTAATTTGCACAATGTTTCATATGGATGTTAGAATTTCCCTTTTTCTATACTTTATTTTCGCAAAAAATATGTAATGCTGAATTTTAATGTCAAAATATCATGATGAATGAAGGAAATACATATATGAACATAAAATACCAATCATGCTATTTTAATGCCTATTGCTTTGCCTTCTATGGTATTCTTCTGTAATTACATGTTTGCCTTAGAATGGAAAACAGACCTGTTTTTAGTGGAAGTCATTGAGGCTTATCTGAAATTACTCCATCAAACGAAAATCTGAATGTTGTTTTCCAATACATCATACAACTTTTTATTATTAATCATTATTTTTTCTTAATTATTGAAAACCAAATATTTTGTTATTATTTTCCACCAATAAGAACAAATATCTATAAGATATAGCATACAATCAGTAATTTGAAGTAGTATCTGCTGTAGAACAAGAACATGAACGAGAAAATATAGTAGACAAAGAGGAGGATAGGTTAGATTGAGGAGTTACAGGAAAATAAAATGGATGGATGCATAGATAGAGAGAGAGAGAGAGCAGAAAAAGATGGATAGAGATGTAAGGCAAAAGGGGGAAGTGGATGGCAAGAGAGAAATAAAGAGGACAAAAGTGACGAATAGAGAAGAAAGAGGAGAACATAGATATATAGAGACAGAAGACAAGCTGAAGACGAAAGAGATAGGGGAGGAGGGATTGAGAGGGAGAGAAGATGAACCTCTTGTAAAATTTTGATGCAAATGCAATTATAATCATATGATAGAAGAATAGAAAAATAAGAACACAGATCGAGATTTAAGGTGGAAAAAATAGGACCAATCGTAAAGGAGAGAGAAAAGCTAAGCTTTCAGATAATGAATCAAGGCAATATTCGTAGTTGACGTTTGTTGTTTGTTTATTTGTTTGTTAAATCGCGGTATCTAAAATTGCTCCGACCTTTAGCCACAACATTTCTTAGAACCACTCACCCCCCCCCCCCCTCTCTCTCTCTCTCTCTCACACACACACACACACACACACACACACACACACGCACTCATGTTAAATTTCATGGATGAAACTCAATATTCAACTTATTACACCACACGACCACGATGATAAACCTTTATGGATTACAATGACTAATACGCATGTACCAAACATTTTCAGATTGATATATTGCCCAAATTTACAACAGCCATGACAATAGAGTGTCAAAGTTAACTAGTTGGCTCGATGTGCAGTATTAATATGTTTGTTTTCCTGTATGTGCTCTAGCTCGGATTAATCTTTTGTTTTGTCATGAGGGTAATCTGTCCTAATCCGTATTCAAATCTCAAAGAACAAACTTTGAAAGATTATTCTGGGTAAAGCTCGACCTTTACGACTTTTGTTGATCTAAAGACGAAAACAACGATGTGATGATCACACTTTGTATCTTTTCATTACGTAATGTGACTTATTTTCGTGTATCAGCACTATCTTGAGAAAACAACGTCCTTCTTATTTATTAAAGTATCTGAGCAGGTTTAACGCGCGCACACTCATATAGCTTCTAGCTATTTGATCAGTGTTCATATTTCTTTTCGAAATAACGTCAAAGTGATATATCTAAAATGCGAGTTATAATACCGCTGGCATGTATACTTATTTTTGCTGCAGCGTATATTCATGCCAGCCCGGGTGGGGGAGGAGGGAAAGGGGGCAAGAAAAAGGGCCCCCGAAACGAAGGAAGACCTCTTCCTGGCCGCGAGAGGCCTGGAGGCCACGACAACATCCCGTCTTCAACAACCGAAGCTTCGACGACTACGGCGGAACCAACTCCTCGTCCGAATCGACCGGTGAAACAAAATCGTTTCCATGATAATATGAATCGAAATGGCCCTATGCCGGACCCGCCGCGGAACAGCCAGCGACGTCGGCCAAACTCTGGGACTGCGTCCGGAGCGGGCACTGGTCAGCGTGGAATTGGGAACATACAACAGCAGGGTGCCACGAGTGGAGCGCAAAGTATACCTCAGGCAAGGCAGGTCAACTCCAATGGACTAACCTCAGAGCTAAAGGAACTCTTCTTGAATGCACATAATGATTTCAGGAGTCGGGTCCACAGTCCAACTGCAGCCAATATGGTCCAGATGGTAAGATATCACAGTCCATATCATTACGTCAAAATGTTGTGAAAAAACACAAATAAAAACAATGATAAAAAAAAAATAATAGTAATAATGTTGTGTTGTATACGAAGCCGAAGGATCCTGTGAGAAATTATGTTTAACTGAAAGGCTAAGAACATAATGATTTTAGTCCCATGTTGTCCATGTATATTTTTCTTTTACTTACAATATGATCGTAAATGCCGGCTAACGAGAAATTAACTCAGTGTCTGGCAGTTTCGACAAAAATCATTGTAATCGTATTTGGATTAATACACCTTTGTAATTTAATATCTGCAAAATAGACGTGTTAAATTATTTCCCATATTCCAAAAGGTGATGGACAAAGTCATTTTATTTGTAAGTTTAGGTTGTTTTATTTTGGAATGGCTTTCCATCCTGTTTTACGTCTATAAGAAATGCTGAAACTGCTGGCATATTGTTTCCGAAGTACACATCTAACTGAGATATTGATGAGGATAATAATTTTACAAAGAGATCAAATCTCTTACTTGGGCATTTTGCGCCTGTACCATGCATGTAGAATTACGTTTTCCGTTGGGATGACTACATAATAAAGTCTTATATGTCAGCTATAGGTATGAGGAGAATGTACAGGTTCAATAATTTTAACAGATATAATTTCCAACTTTTGTTTCCTTCACATTCCGAACTCATAAAATATGGGTATAATCGATGCATCAATATTCATTTTATAAGTCTAATACTATATACTTTCATAATTAGGATGTTTAGTGCATACTTTGTCAATATATCATCATCTGATCCTCATATGCATTAATGCTTAGATATGATTTCTTGAAGATTCATGTGTAGAGTGATAATTTGAAATCTATAGAAAGAAACTATGTTTGTGTAAAACTGCCCGTAATTATACATTTTCTATTAAAAAGATAATAGAATCGCCGTTTGGACATTTAGAGAATATGAATGTGTGAGGTATTGTGAATGGATATTTGAAAGCGTGTTCACTCGTCACACAACATAACTCTTATTTTTATTTTAGCTACGAGGAAACAAGGTTGCACTGGCAATAAAATACATGAAAGAAAGTATTCCCTTTTCGTTATTGTCATGATAATGAATATGTATCAGATTATGCAAATGTGACACCTGTGACCTCAGGAGGTCAGATCGCATGTGCGCGATGTATATGCGATACGCGTGACTTGATACCCAGTGCGGGGAATAAACACCAGACTGTGGTTTATGGAATTCAACTACTTTGTTAGTTTGTTTGCACTTAATATGTGACATTGGCGACGAGGATTAATGTTTCTTGGATGTTGAATCTGTGGCTACGAGCTGGAAAAGTTTCAACATGGCATTCGCTGGAGCGGAATTGTTAGCGCTTCGAGGAGTTCCACACTTCGATCCGACGGGTGGTGCAAGTATTGTCAGCGGCAAGTGGAAAGCTTGGCTTGAAGAGTTCGAAGCCTACGCCGATAGTCGCGGCCTGTTTCTGGACGGATGTACGCCGGCCCAGGAGGCGCAACGGAGAGCACTGTTGCTGTACACTGCGGGGCCTGTGGTACGGGAGACTTTCAAAACACTTCCCAATAAAGGAGAGAGGAATGAGTATCAAAAAGCCACAGATGCCCTAAATGCTCATTATGTTGTCAAACCTAATGCTACGTTTCAAAGACATTTGTTCAGGAAAACAAAGCAGGAAGATGGTGAAACGGTTGCCCAATTTGTTACCAAATTACGACAGGTTGCTATTGGATGCAATTTCGTAGCTGGGGATGTAGAAAACCAAATTCTTGACCAAGTAGTTCAGTACTGCAGAGCTGATAAACTTCGCAGGAGAATGCTGGAGAAAGGAGGTGAGCTCAAGTTAAATGATGCATTGTCCATGGCTGCTGCTCTAGAAGCTGTTGAAGGTCAATTTAACTCCATGTCATTGAGAGAGAGAGAAAGGCCTAGAGCTGGTGGACAAGTTCAAGTGAACCAAGTATCGTATGAGAATGACAGAAAAAAGAATTTGGAATGCTACCGATGTGGGAACAAAGGACATTTTGGGAAGGATGCATCATGTCCAGCCAAAGGAAAGATCTGTCGGAAATGTGGAGGCCAAAACCACTTTGCGACGATGTGCAAAAGTAAGGCCAAGAGCACAAGTGAGGCGAGAGGAAAAGTCAGAGATGGGAAGTCCAGAGATGGAAAGAAGTATAAGAATAGAGTTCGCCAAGTGGAAGGTGAACCCGGACATGATAGTGATGATGACAACAGCCGTGGCCGTGATCAGAGGTACTATCAATTTGCTGTGAATGGTGATCATGAGAAAGTCCCAATAATCATTGGAGGTGTCACAGTCCCAGTGATAGTAGATTCGGGAAGTGATTGCAATGTAATAGATCAGATGTTGTGGGAGAAACTGAAGAAGGACAAAATCATCTGCAAATCTACTAAGAGTACCAAGAGGCTTTATCCGTACACATCACAGATACCATTAACAACTGTTGGATGTTTCACAGCCACCGTAGAAGTTGGCAAGATGAAGTCGACTGCAGAGTTTGTTGTCATTAAAGAAAAGGGAGAACCTTTACTGAGCAAACATACGTCTAGAGAGCTGGGAGTGCTCCAGGTGGGAATTGTACATGTAAATGCGGTACAGAGTTATGCAGGTTTAAAGCAGGAGTTTGAAGCAGTCTTCAAAGGAGTTGGGAAGTTGAAGGGCCGACAGGTGCGGTTAGCAGTGGATGAAACGGTGAAGCCAGTGGCCCAGCCTGTGCGAAGGACTCCATTTGGACTGAGGAAAAAGGTCGAGATGAAGATTGCGGAATTGATCGATCTCGACATCATTGAGCCAGTTGAACGCTCCACGCCATGGGTAAGCCCAGTTGTCATAGTTCCAAAGAGAAATGATGAAATTAGACTGTGTATCGATATGCGTAGAGTGAACGAAGCAATCATAAGAGAACGTCACCCCATTCCCACTATTGAGGAAGTCCTACAGGAGCTGTCGATTAGCAAGGTCTTTTCGAAAATAGACCTGAAGTGGGGGTACCACCAACTGGAGTTACATCCGGAGTCTAGAGAGGTGACAACCTTTGTCACTCATTGTGGGTTGTTCCGCTATAAGAGACTGTTGTTCGGAATCAATGCTGCTCCAGAGATTTATCAATATGAGATACACAGAGTGATAGCTGGGATAGAAGGAGCTGCGAACATATCAGATGACATCATTGTGCATGCATCGACCCAGAAAGAGCATGACAAGAGGTTGAAGCAGGTGCTTGGCAGACTGCGGGACGCAGGACTTACTGCAAATGCAGAAAAGTGTAAGTTTGGTGTCTCTGAGTTGGACTTCATGGGGCACAGACTGACTAGCGAGGGACTCAACCCAGGATTGGCCAAGGTGAAAGCAATTGCAGAGGCCCGTGAACCCCAGACTGCAACTGAGATGAGAAGTTTCTTGGGGCTAGTCAACTACTGCGCAAAGTTCATTCCGAACTTTGCTACATTGGCAGATCCACTGAGAAAGCTGACCAGAAAGGACACGCCATTTCAATTTGGTCATGAACAACAACAAGCGTTTAAGGCGCTGAAGGAAAGCTTAATGAGTGCAGAGACCCTGGGCTACTATGATCTAAATGCACCGACAAAGGTCATAGCGGATGCCAATCCAGTTGGCTTAGGAGCAGTGCTGGTGCAGGTGCATGCTGATGGCCCGAGGATAGTAGCATATGCCAGCCGCTCGTTAAGTAATGTTGAAAGGAGATACTCTCAGACGGAGAAAGAAGCCCTTGGACTTGTGTGGGCTTGTGAAAGATTCCATGCGTACCTGTATGGAATAGAGTTTGATCTAGTGACTGATCACAAACCGCTTGAAGTCATTTATTCACCGAGATCTAAGCCATGTGCGAGAATAGAGCGGTGGGTTCTGAGGCTTCAACAGTACAAGTACAGGGTAGTCCACATCGCAGGAAAGTCCAACATAGCAGATCCATTGTCAAGATTGCTGAAGGATGATCAACCGAGAGAAACTTCTGTGTTGGAAACAGAAGCAGAGAGCTTTGTGCGTTTTGTGGCAGTCCAGTCAACGCCAGGTGCGGTGACAACGAAGGAAGTCGAAAGAGAATCTGAACATGATCCTGAACTCGAAGTTATCAGAGAGTGTATTCACAGTGGACAATGGGATGATTGTCCATATAAAGCATACATTCCCATCAAGGACGAACTCTGTATAATTGGTCAGTGTGTGCTGAGAGGTAGCAGATTGGTGATTCCACAGGCACAGAGGCCAAAGATGGTGTCATTAGCTCACGAAGGACACCTGGGCATTGTTGGCACCAAACAGAATTTGAGAACCAAGGTATGGTGGCCAGGATGTGAGAAAGATGCAGAGAAATTCGTCAAGACGTGTCATGGTTGCCAAATCACAAGCAGGGGTAATCCACCAGAACCAATTCGAAGTACTATGTTGCCAACAGGACCTTGGGTGGATGTAGCTGTTGATTTCCTAGGACCACTTCCGACAGGAGAATCTATACTTGTGGTAGTTGATTATTATAGCAGATACTACGAGTATGCAATCATGAAATCAACCACTGCAGAGAAGACAGTCAAAGCCCTGGCTGAGATCTTTGGCAGACATGGGTTACCTGTGACGTTATACTCAGACAATGGACCCCAGTTCATCTCAGAAGTTTTCGCCGAGTACATGAACATTACAGGAATTCACCACCATCGGGTGACTCCTAAATGGCCCCAAGCCAACGGCGAGGTCGAAAGACAGAACCAGAGTATAGTGAAAAGGCTAAGAATTGCACAGGCAGAAGGCAAGGATTGGAAGGAGGCCTTGCTGACTTACGTCGCAGTCTACCGGGCTAGTACTCATTCGACAACGGGAAAAAGCCCGGCAGAAGTGTTGTTCGGGAGAAAGATCCGAACTAAACTACCACAAATCCAGGACATTAGTGAGGATCAGGAACTCAGAGACAGGGACCTCCAAATGAAAAGTGGTGCAAAACACTATGCAGATCTGAAGAGGGGAGCCGTACATTCTGACATAGTGCCAGGAGATAAGGTGATAGTAAGACGTGATGAAAGGAGGAAACTAGACACGCCATACTTTAGCCAGCCATACACAGTGACAGCAAGAACAGGAAGTATGGTAACTGTGAAATCTCCTGACGGAGTCCTGTATAATAGGAATGTATCAAGTGTAAAAAGATACATGTCCCGAGACACTCATAACGAAGCTGCCAATCCAGAGAGGACAGACGGCAATCCTGAGGCGGATACCGGTATTCCTGAAGGGTCGGACGGTAATCCTGAGGTGGAGACCAGTACTCCTGAGGCGGTGACCAGAGATCCAGACTCAGAGGCAGCGAGCAACACATCAGGCGGTGACCAGAGACATCAAGATGGTGATACCCAAGCAGAGACAACAAACACCAACGTTCCTATGGCAGCTAGTAGACCACAACGCCAGAGAAGATTCCCTAAGCGATATGATGATTTTGTGTGATTCCAGATCAATATGGTGGGGATGAGCTCTTTGTAAAATAGCGACAGTGATATCTGAAACTACATGTGCCAAGGAGAAATGTTTGGAAATCATTGGTTGAAGCCAAGTTATGATTTAAAGGGTGTACGCCTTGCGCTGCCCATATTTGTGAAATCGACATGTTGGAGAAATCACCATGGAAACCAAGCGTACGAGGAAGTTGTGTTATGTGCTAAAATAATAAGTTCTGATATATATGTTTCAATATTACACATACATTAATCAATGTAAAAGGGTGTACGCCGAACGCTGCCCTTATTGTATGTGATAGGTGTTGCGAAAAACACAAGTTTGAGTTGGAGCATCGATCAGTTTTCAAAAATGGATTCAATCATCGAAGAGAGTATTTCCAGAAACTTCAGTTTCAGCTAGTCGTATGAACGCTTGGAGATAACAGATGATTTACACAAACTCAAAACTAGAACTCAAATAGTATCCAGTGAACAATTGAACTTTTATTTGGACCACAGACTGGATGCATGAAAGATATTGCATGAAAGATATTATATTGCATGTTATGTTTTATGTTGTTCAACAAAGTTGTTTGGAAGATAAAACATTTGGGAAAAGTTTATCGACCAGATAAATTTGTTGTTTGTTAGAAGTTGTTCTTTAAAAAAAAAAAAAAAAAAAAAAAAAAAAAGGAAGAAACAAAAGCAAATGCATCAAAGCATGTTTATTTCAGTAATTCACATATGGCTGAAACACAAGAACAAAAGGAATATTACAAGAATTTTCAGTGAAACTATAGTATAAAAATAGACCAGGATAAAGTTTCATTCTGGCAAAGGAGGGATGTCATGATAATGAATATGTATCAGATTATGCAAATGTGACACCTGTGACCTCAGGAGGTCAGATCGCATGTGCGCGATGTATATGCGATACGCGTGACTTGATACCCAGTGCGGGGAATAAACACCAGACTGTGGTTTATGGAATTCAACTACTTTGTTAGTTTGTTTGCACTTAATATGTGACAGTTATGTTTATTGGGTACTGATGAGGCTGGCCGTACACTTGCAAAGTGTAGCCAAGCACAAGCCGAAGAATCGGAATGAGAATGCATAAATGGTAAATGTGAATATTGCACGGAGATTACATAATGATCAATGATGATAATGAACATGAATAAATGCGATGTACATAAATAGAGCTTACGACAATAGTAGAAATGAAGCCGAAAGTCCAATGAAGTTGAAGAGAGTTGGGAACGAAGGAAGGGGCTCACGCGATGAAATGTGCGGAGGCTTGATGAGGCTTGATGAGGCGGAAACGCGACTTCGTTGACGTGGTTGAAGAACCGTGAAGAACGCGATGTCGTCGCCGACGCTCGTGATGATGATGAATGTAGATGGAGCTCTCGGGCGAGAATAGAAGAAAAGAGAAGAGATGTGTGGCGCTCGATGACGAAAGCAGTGAGTCGCTTGATGTCGGAGGCCAAAGTGGAAAATGCAGACATCAAAGCCGGTAGTGGTGCTGAGACGGTGAGTCGCTCGATTGATGAGCCGAACTTTGATGGTGAATGTTTAGATGAGCTGCGGTGAGTCGAGCTCATGTGAGTGAAAGACTACCGGTGAAGAAACTGGCAGCTCCCAGCGGATAACCAAGCACCATATATGTCGGAACTAGATTTAACTGTTCCACTGGAAGACTGCAGCCCGATGAACACGGCAGAGAAAGTGAAGAAAGTGAAGCCCCGAGAAGAAATCATGCAGAGACGTGTTGACTCAACTGAGATGTAAGCAGGAGTTGTTGACTCGACCGAGGTGTAAGCGGGAGTGAAGGAAACCTCGTGGTGATGAAAATACGCGGGTGAACGATGCGCGGAACCACGATGCTCGATTGGAGGAATGAACACACGTGGTCCGAATAATGAATATAAATAAATACCGTGATGGAAAAATACAGGAGACATGAATTAATGTACGGTGAAAGTAGGGCATGTAAGAGCCGCTACAGACATAATTATAGGAAACGTGTCGCGGGCGATGACTTATCCATGAGAGACATAGTGAATAGGCGGGATCTGGGACTAAATTCTTGTTGTTTTATCAAGTGCAGAAAAAAATTGCATTCACTTTGCGTTACGATTTTCCTCGCTACCGTCACTTCGTGAAAACAAGGACGAATTATTGATTAAGTACTTTCGTATCAATCGCATTGACAACTATGTAAATACCAATTACTTAAATCATATCAAATCAACTTAAATTTGACTTTATATCAATATTTGACACAATCCCCTTAATAATAATATCTATAAGTCCGTTCTGATAAGGATATAGGTGACGGGTGGCGGTGGGCTTAGTGTTTGCAGCTGTCTCTTTGGCATTACCTTGGTTACAGGACTTGGTTGCAAGCTGATATCAATCGAAGTTATTAATCAATAATTTAGATCTAATCAAATCAAATCAATTTCACATAATGATCTATACGAATGGGATGATACATTGCTAAGATGGTGTTTGCAACCATACCTTAATACATTGTGCTGGTTGCAGATCCGTTGGTGGTAAGCTGATAATTAGGGCAATTACACCCTGGACAACCGCCCCATGAAAAATTGCTTCTAGGAAAAATACCCCCCCCCCCCCTCCAGGACAACCAAAGACAATTACCCCACCCCCATAAAATTACCCCCTTTCCATTAAAGGGGAAGTCCGCCCCGCTAGTAAGTTGGTTTAATTTTTTTCGGGGGGTAACTGTCCTCAGAGGGGGGGGGGGGGTAATTTTCCATGAGGGGGGAATATTGTCCTCTGAGTGGATGTCCTTGGGGGTTATTTTCCGGGGGGGGGGGGGGTAATCTTGCGGGTTGGTTGTCCCGCTGGTAATTGGCCAAATTGACTGTCCAGGGGGGGGGGGGGGGTAATTGTCCTAGAACCAATATCAGACTGTCCGTAGATAGCACATGGTACAACTGATCCCAAATATCTACAAAAGTTTACAATATGGACAAGTCCAACAGGCATTTTAGAGAAATCACTATCATGATTATCAAAGTAATTAGGTTCTTAATGAATAGGCCTACCCTTTGTTTTCCCTCTTGAAAATAATATTTCCACATGTATATCATATCGTGGGCCTATGATAATAATAGCATGAATCGCACGTCGGTGCCATACTGATTACATAACTTTCATGAACACGTATCAAGCACTTTGACTCAATGGGTTCAGCAATTTTGTACAGGTGAGCTTTTCCTGTCATGCGCAGAAAGTGTTGACGAGCTTGCTGAGAAATAAAATCACATCCAATCAAATCAAATCAATTTGATTATCATCGCTATATAGGAATGGGACGACACTCTCGCCGAGATGGCCCAGGGCTGGTCCGACCAGTGCGTCTTCACCCATGGCAACCCGCCCAACATCTCTCCGTACTCCTGGGTCGGTCAGAACATCTGGGCTGGTTCTGGGACTGGATGGGACCATTACGGGATGATCGAAGACTGGTACAACGAGGTTTCTGATTATAACTACCAGTCCAACTCATGCTCTGGTATATGCGGTCATTACACACAGGTCAGCCCATCAATCTACCCTATGAGCCTTTAATTTGGTCGTCTCTTGTATAGATTCAGGGGAAAAAAAGAAAGATCATACTTTTATAGACAGAAGGTCGGCCTGAAATCTTTATCTTATTCGTCATAATCATCTAAGTACATTCATATTATATGGCTACTAACGTTTCTAAATGTGACAATCGTGACAACTGAATAACATTTTTGCGATTCTCAGATTATCGCTTACTGATACAGCGTCAAAGCGGTTTGCCATACCTATAATCTTTATACAATAAGTGTGTTTGCGTAATTGCTGAATGAATGTTGCTGCAAGTGTGAGGTCTTGAGTTTATTATATAATATTTCATACAACCAACGTCTGGGAGGATAAAAGTAGAACATCAGACTTACGTCTCTATAATGGTAGATTTCCAGAAAATAACAATCTTCGCAATTCCAGGGGGGGGGGGACCAGGGCCGTAGCCAGAGTTTGATGTTTGGGGGGGGGGGGGAGCATATACATGTAATTGATCGACGTCCTGGGGAGGGGTCTAAACAAGTTCAACCGATCTTTGGCTACGGGCCTGGGGAGGACAGAAACGTTTGAAATATCAGTCACTCTCCTTTTAAAACTATTAAGAGTCATGTCTCATTAATTATGTCTGTTACCATGGTTACAGATAGTTTGGGCTGAGTCGACCCGTGTAGGTTGTGCCATCACCACTTGTACCACAATCCAGAACCTGGGCTGGTCTCCTGCTACCATCTTGGTCTGTAACTATGGTGAAGGGTAGGTCTAAGGGTTTTATTCTTGGCGTTTTTCATCATTCCGAACGTTCGTTATTCCGAACGATCGTTATACCGAAGGTTCATAATCCTGAAGATTCATAATTCCGAAGGTTTATAATTCCGAAGGTAACGGTACTCCATAGGTTCATTATTCCGAAGGTTCGTATTTCCGAAAACGAAATAGGATTCACAATTCAGAAAACTGAAATAGGTTTCATATTTCCGAAGGTTCCTAATTCCTGAAATGGCACAAGGAAATATGAACCTTCGGATAAACGAACTTTCGGAATAACGCAACATAATGTTAAGAATTATAAACCCTTTTGAATCTCCTGGTTCGGAGAGACTAGTGCCTTCTGGTATAAGAAGTCTTCATCCCACGTAATATATTATGTTTGGTCATCTGTCATAATTTTATTGATGCTCATGAATTTTCATTCTAAGAAAAGAGTATATGGTATTCTTTCGCTCTTGTGAATTGATATCTACTTTCAAACTTGACCCATTCCACATTGTTACAACTTGCCACTATCCCAGTCTTTCTCAAGTGAATTATTGACGATATAATTTCAGAATTATCATTGCCTTTGATTAGGCAACAAGATATTGACGCTTTACAAATTTCCGGAGTAGATTTAAAAAAAAATTAAGTGTTATCATTCTCAGCAAAGTGATTTAATCAAGTTAATGGCCTTCAGAGAAAAGTAATCAATATAATTTTTTCGGTGAAAGTGACTAAATTGTGCAGAAATTTACTGATTGTAAACAAAAATATGAGACAGTTTTTAGGCGAATTATTTTATTTGATCAACTTTTGGAAAAGATAGTTGTCCCCTTGATTTACCTTCTTTGAAAGCGCTTCGTGAACGCAATCGCGGGAAGATATTGTAGACCGAACAATGTTCAATTTCGTCAATATGACTTTGGATATCCTAGATAATTATTTTCAATGATAACATTTGATTTTTGAAATTCGAAATGATAGATTTCTTCTTAATTTTCATTTGTTGTACATTATTGTTTATGTAAAGTTATTTGTTACCGGTGTTGTTCTCAGAATTGATTCAATCATTATTATGTTATCACAGTTATATTTGTAATTATTGGAATAATCATTGGTAACCTTTTTTTGTTAAATTATTATTTCAGGGGAAATTACGTAGGCAAGAAGCCATACGTGAGCGGCCCTCCGTGTAGTCAGTGTCCATCCGATCACCCGACATGTGTTGATGGCAAACTATGTGGTATGCTATGGATATAAGAAAAATTGTCAGTATATTGTTCATCTTGCTTAATTGGATGATTTGTAACGTTTAGCACAATTCAATTTCCTATTTGTTTTATGATTTTCCGTTTCTGAGATAAACCCGGAGCTGTTCACAAAATACAGTATTAATAATATTTTGATAAAGTCGTCCAATAAAGGAAAAAATCCTGCTCAGCGAGATTTGGCGTGATTAGGGGTGTGTGTGGGCGTATGTGTGTGTGTGTGTGCGTGTGTGTGTGTGTGTGTGTTAGGGGGAAAGTGCAGTTTTTCGACGTCTACATCAATTTGATTTGAAGTGTCAATATTATTTATCGTGATCTAATTTGAATTCATCATTTTCTTACATAATTTACCCGATTTTATTCAAACTATCACGAAATTTAATTTACCTGCTTATACTTAGAAGAACTTGTTATCAAGGTTTGATTTCCTTAAATCCAAATGATCTGCTTTTTGTATTGGTATTTGTTTTGTTTTGTTTTGTTTTTTTTTTTTGGGGGGGGGTTGTTTTGTGCTGTCTTTGTATCGTTCTTGCCTTCGACAAAGTATTTGAGAAAGGTCTTGTCTTTCTATCCTCAGCTGCAGAAGGATCCAATCCTAACTCTGGATCCGGAGGAGGGAATGGGAATGGTAGTGGTGGTGGCAACAGTGGCAGCAACAATGGTGGCAACAGCGGTATCGGTGGTAGTGGTGGTGGTAATGGCGGTGGCAATCCTGGAGGCAGCAACGGCGGTAGCCAGCCAGCCCCCTCAGGTGCATTTATTTTTAATGGCCCTTTTTAAACATACACAGGCTGTACTGCTAAAAAGTACGTAATGCTATATCAATAACGAAATGCTTAGTCATCATCTCGCTAAGGAAAAGGAAATATAACTGAGCCTACATTTAAAAAATGTGGGAAAATAGGAAGAAATTTCTATGAACTTGGTTAAAAAAAGAATTCAAAGCATTTAACAAATATCAATCAAAATATATGTAACTGTAATCCATGTATTGTTCCTTTCTTAATGTTTGCTCGTTTGTTTGATTTTAGTGTTTGGGTTTTGCTTTTTATTGTGTATATTTTTCAAGCTATTATTCGTATAATTTCACGTCGCACCAATGTTTATGTTTGAAGTAGAAAGTGGTGTAAATATCTTTTGTCTCTCTGTACCCTTCATTCTCTTCTTCGGGTGGTAATCTTGAAGCTTACTTGGCTTTCCTGTTAGCCGCGTTGTATTATTACGGAGCTTTCATTGATATTTACACGGTAACAACATACATTCTTATTTTATTACGTTGAAAATGTGGAAACTAAACAAACTTGTTTCTTTTATTTTGTTTAGAATGTGGCGGGACACTGACGTCTGCTAGTGGTTCTTTTACGTCACCCGGTTGGTCTGCACCCTACCCGTTAAACAGACACTGTGAATGGTTTATCCAGGTAGGCTTTATGGCCCTATCATCGGTCACTTTCAACATAACAAATCAAGTCATTGGTGGTATTGAAGGGGCGACAGTGGTGGTGATGGAATTTTGTTTGTGGTGGTGATGAAATTTTGTTTGTGGTGGTGATGAAATTCTGTTCGTGGTGGTGATGAAATTTTGTTTGTTGTGATGATTGAAGTTGTTGTGGTGGGTTGGTGGTAGAGGCAGTGCAGTGTTGTTGGTGGTAAATCTCCCATCAACACTTTTACTTTGGGAGAGAAAAAGAAGAAGGGGGAAACAATTAAAGGAGAAAGGAGGAGGTAAAGAAAGATAGGGTCGTACAGTGCTACATACAATGAAACACAGCGAGAGACTATGAGGGATAACAAAATAATATATTAAAAGAAAAAAATCACTATCATGCACAAATTGATATACTGCAGCTCTCATCGAGACAACATTGTTGTAATAACATGGTTTTTAAAAAAGGACAATAAATTTACTTAGTGGCATATTTTAGTTGCAAAACCGAGGAAAAAGAAAAGGGGGAAACAGAATTCCCAATATTTGTGGTGGATGAGGAGGTGTCGGTGATAATGGTGATGATAGAAGTGGTGGTTGTGGTAATGTTGGTGGTAGTGATGGTGGTGGTAATGGTGTTAGGGGTAGTGATGGTGGTGGTACTGGTGTTAGTGGTAGTGTTGGTGATAGTATAGTGGTGGTGGCAGTGGTATGTGCATGGTGGTGATGGAAGTGGAGATCGTGGCGGTGGAGGTGGTGGTGGTGGTGGTGGTGGTGGTATATAGGAGGGAATGGGATGGGGATACAAACAATCGTCACCTTTGTCGCATTATGATGAGGAGTCATTGTTTGATTAGTTGAAAGTGAATGGGAAATGTAGTCTTTGGTTGCCCGCAAGAAAACCATGAGAGTTATGTATTTGCAATGGCAGTAACGGCCTTCCTGTAGGCAGCCCGCAGCCGGCTATATAGTCTCCAATGACACCATTTCTCATTTCTTCAAACAAAGGGCAATCAAGGCGACAAGATAACTTTGACAATAACGTTCATGGACATCGAAGTTGGACCAACCTGTTCCTGGGATTATCTTCGAATTCAAACGTCTCCGTCAGACCTGGGTATCAAGTAAGTATCATGAATAGGGTTGATCCAAATCCGGCATACAAAATCGAAGGTAAAATAATGAATAATCTCAGCACTAAGGCAAATGTAATGCACTCAGATATAGTTCTTCTTTCTTTTTCTTTTTCTTCTTCTTTATTGAACACGATTAAAAACTACTTTCAAGAAATCAACCTGAGGCGATTTCAGGCCTTGTTTGTCGCCTATTAAAATGCGAACATGGCAATGACGTATTGCGTTATCCGAACATGATTTCTAGAATGGGAATATTCAAAAGTTGCCCTTGAGTTGATCTTTTAACATAGTTGCGATTGTGTTTATGTCGAATTTGGAACGGCTCATATTTGAAAGATTCTAGAAGTAGGATGACGGACTATGTATTATGATAGCCCAATCCCTTTACCGATCGAACAAAAACAATTGAAATCCTCAATTGTCACGACTTAAAAACATTGCTGTTTTTATCATTAGGCATAATAGCGGAATGGGAATAAAATATTACTACACAAAGCAAACGTCAAGCAATATCCTGTTGCTTTTTAATTCAGCTCGATTCTTAGCCTGTGGAAAATCTATTTTGGTTATTATATATAAAAGAATTGTATCTATCAAATCCTAAAATTGAGTGATTTTTTAAATATATAATACATTGACCCCATTCGTAAGCTACAATGATTATAATCGACAAGGCATTAAACTGTAACCTTCATTTCAATAGGTACTGTGGCATGCAGACCCCTCCCCCAATCACTTCAGATAGTGGTATATTGCAAGTGAGTTTTCATTCGGACTATACTGTACCTCGCGGAGGGTTTACCGCAAACTACAAGATCATCGCGAATCAACAAGGTAAAAAAAATTCTCGATATGTATTTTTTTTAAATTTCTCTTTATCTTTGTCGGATTTTGTTTAATTTAGGTGCCCCCCCCCCCCCACACCGCTCTCTCCCCCTCTCTCTCTCTCTCTCTCTCTCTAAGTTCACCTCCTTTCCTTCTTTCCTCCCTCAATTATATTCTCTCCCATCTCTCACTCTCTCACTTTCCTTCATCCTTCTTTCCTCTCTCTCCTTTCTGGTCTTTCCTGTTTTCCTGGTCCTCTCCTCCCATCCCCTCCCTATTTCTCTCTCTCTCTCTCTCTCTCTCTGTTTACATTTCCCTCCCTCTGTCCCTCTCTCCATATCTATCGCTCTCATCTGATCTCATCTGATCTCATCTGATCTCATGCCCAGTCTTCTATTTCTTCTGACTGCAGTGCATGACGTTAGTCTCTGAGGCACGCCCCCCCAAAATGTAGGTCACCTCCAATAACATTTTAATTTTGTTTACATTTTTTGAATGGTTGATATTTAAAAATGATCGAACAAATATTATATTGATTTAAGTTATTATAATGACCCCCAAAAAAGATTCATTCGTATATCAGAAATTCAAAATCGACAGAATGAATTGAATTACTCGCATTGATTGTAGCCGATACAAAAAGTTATCGCTCTGGATATTTCCTTCCTTTTTTACGCATTCTGTATGTTTTTGTTTGTTTGTAAGTTTTTGTTTCTGATTTCTTTTCCTTTTTTCTTTCTTTCTTTGTCAAAATTCAGATGAATGTGGAGGTGTCGTCCAAAAGGCAAACGGTGCGATTAAATCACCAGGTTGGCCCGCCCCCTACGGAGCGCAACAGGATTGCTTGTGGATCATACGGGTGCGTATCAAATTACATTTATCTGCTTGATGTGTAAAATAGGAGACCTCATAATTCTCCTCAATACTGATTATAAACTATTAGCATCTATTTTAGCAGGAAGGTTGAAAAAAGTGTTAAATGTCTGTATTGATTCAGATCAAAACGCATATCTTAAAGCTCGACTGCACTAGTGTAGCCAGGGGATTAGACCTCCCTCTGCAAGCTCACTGACAGGTGGTTATCTCATCAAATCAGCTCTCAATTAACATAAGAAATAGGGGATCATGGGGGACCGACAGGCACCGATTATACAGGCATTGTTTGCTAATCGGGTCAACTGATAAAGGAGGTTTGAATATGCCAGATTTTGTTTTGCAAAGTTTTGCTTTAAAAGTAAATTGGCTTTATAAGTTAACGGCAAATAAAGATCATAATCTTAGATGGAAGATTCTCCCACAATATTTACTGAACTATCTTGGTCCCAACTTTTTAGTGCTCTAGATGAGTTTCTTAAAAGACGAAGAATTAAAAGTTCCGCTAAAACATTTAGGCCTACCTTTATTTTATCAACAATGTATTTCGGCATTGAAAAATTGTCAACGTGTAAATAAGTCACGTTTTAATGTAATGTAATGTAATGAGGTCACTAATATTAGGATAAAGCTGTTATTGGGGATATCATTAATGCCAAAGGGGATGTGGATATAAATCGAGCAAAAGAAATACTATGTATTAAAATATAATTATTTATGTGAGTTAAACTACTTTTGAAGTGTATACCTCGTGACTAGAAAAGAAATTTAAATGTGAAACTGGATTTTGTTCATATAAAAACACACGTCTTCTTTATTTTGAATTGACACCAAAAGTGTGTCATGCTATGTCAGTTACACATATAAAATTGTCACAGATTTTATATTTAAGGTATTAGTTGAAAGAACTTTTATAAATCCAAATGTTCAAATTTATTGGGAATATTTTCTGGAAAAAAGTAACCCTGGACGAATATATGGAGAAAAAAAAATTGACATGAGTCAAGAAGTGAAATTCGATTAAAACAGTTTAATTTCAAATTACTCTTAAGCTATCAGCATGTGAAGAATGTCTATCTGATGATTCTGATCGTTTAACAAAATATGATCATGATTATTGTTTGAAGTGCATATGCACATACAATATTATCATAACTTATTTTATAGTTGTGATTACTCAAAAATATTTTGGAACAAGGTCTGAATTGTTCTCTTAAAAAACAGAAGTATTGTTCGGTAATAAAAACATTAATTACAGTTATATAATTGTGGGCAAGCAATGTGATTGTATAAATCAAAAATATGTAGTTTTTAAAAATCTATCAATTAATTTAGCTTTTTATGCCTTATACACACAAAATAAGAAAATGTGATTTTACAAACTTATTCGAAATTTATTTAAAGGAAATGTTATTGAGGGCAATTGATGAAAAGTATCACCTCTGGAAAAGTTTTTAATGATGTTTTTTTTTAATTAAGGTATGATTAATTGTGTGATATAGGCCTAGGTATAATTCATGTGTTTTTCTTTGTAATCAATATAATTATAGGTTTCGATGTAGGCCTAAGTATTATTCAATTAATAAATGATGGAGAAAAAGAAGACCTCATTCATGTGAATATTGTGAAATTTTAGGCTACTTAAGGAAAATCTGTATGGACACCTCCCCCCCCCCCCCCCCGAAATTAAATGGTCTCGCGATGCCCCTCCTTATTATAGCCTTTGGACTACGTAATGAAAATGTAACCAGGTTAACGTAAAAAAACGGGTCCTGCCATAAATAAATCTCCTACCGCAGCCGAATTTTATTTTTTATTTATTTAATTTTTATTGAAATATATTTATTCGGGATAACAAGAATCAGATAGATACAAAATCTGTTTTACATCATGGTCCTGAACATCATGGTCCTGAACAGGATAAAAATGTAGAATTGCTCATTTCAACCCTGAACCTAACCCTAACCGAGACATTAGCTAATCATTAACCTAACATAATAATATGCGACAAATACCAACAGAAGCCGAAATACTACTAACCTGACAATAACCTAACCCTTACCCAAGCCCTTAACGTAAAAACCTTAATGCAACAACAATCCTACCCCCAAAATGCTGACGAAATGAAACCCGGATCGATTGTCGCTCGAGTAAAAATGTCGTATAATATACAGTGCGTCCCAGAAAAAACGAAACAGAGAATTATCGATGTTTTATCATAACTTAATCACAATTATAATTGATAAATGACACAATTACGTGAAATATGCATCAAATGAGTTGCATAAAATGAAAGAAGAGGATCTTAGTTTTCCAAATATGTGTCATTTATTAATTATAAATGTGACTACGTTATAATAAAACATCGATAATTCTCGGTTTCGTTTTTTTGGGGGGACGTACTGTATAGTTTTACTGTATAGCTACATTAAATTATTGCATTGTAACAATCACCTTTGCATTTTGTCGCTTAATTGCCATGCAGGTTCCTCCGAAGAAACGAGTGTCAATATGGTTCACGGCTTTCGACGTCGAAGATCACGAGATCTGTTCTCACGACCACGTCACCCTCCAACTCGGCGATGAAAGAGTACCAATGAGGTGATGAATATTATCCGCCCAAACAATAATTGTTTGAAGTGCAAGTTTCAATAACTTCTATATATGTGACATGTGAAAACCTCTAGTTTTCACATGTCACATAGAAATAGCCTTATACCTTCAATAAGGTTCAAACTATCAAATGTGTTCAATTTCAAATAATGTAGCTACGTACCCTATCGAATGTTTATGATATTGTTTCTAGGTGTAATATGCTCCATTTTTGTATATTATTTTTTTTTTTTGTATACATTCAATCATGTGAAAAATATAAATTCAAATTCAATACGTCAAGTAAATGGAACATATTATGCAAATAAAGGAACGGATTGAATTATGAATTTCTCAAGACAGAAAAGATCGGGCTACGGCCGGAATTCAAATGACTATTCTCATGTAGTTAATGAGGTTTGGTGAATTCCCACTCCCCCCCCCCCCCATTTATACCTACACCACCACTGATCTTGCACACAAATTATGTAAGGCTGTGTAACCTTCAAGTCAAATTACTGTAATCATAATCGTAAAGACAACCATAAACAATATCATTATGGCAATGTCAATAGCCATATACTCGATACTCGATACACCTTTTTTCCTTCCTCTTTTTGAAGTGCGAACATTATGACATATCCCATAGTCACTAACTTGATTTCAATGGCCAATCGAACAGGGTATTGAAGCCTTTGCAATCGTGTGTACTGAATTACTGATGAATCGATCGAACCTCCCAATTTTCAGGTTATGTGGTTCAGAGGTATCAGCGGGGAAGTACACTTCCACCGGGCGTGAAGTACAGATCCGATTCAGATCAACCTATGGCACAGCTAGCAACAGAGGGTTCCGCGCTCAGTTCAAGGCTGTTCGTTGATCATCATTATCATGATATGATTATTACCATTATTACCTTTTTTTAACATACCGTATGTTAGGGCCTGGACAGCTTGATCATTGGACAACCTGACCCTTTATGATCCGACCATCTACCCTTATAGCCACTTGATATGGTTAATGGTATTGTAGTATCGTCTATATATTTCTTTCGAACACGTGGCTCGCTTTATTTCGAATTGAGAGTAAGGCCTAAAAAAAACCAGATGTTGTATTGCCCTTTGCGACCGACCCAAAAATCTTGAAATCTACGGTCGGCTTTAAAAAAATATGAAAAATACCGTTTTTTAGCCCAAGGAGCGAGTTAAAAAAAATAATTAAAAAAAAGATTTCCGACCGACCGGCCGATGTTTTGTCACCTAAAGGGAAACACAACATCCTTTTTTTCAAGGCCTAATATATTTGCCTGCTTTTCAAAAGAAGAATTGAAATAAATAATTCGAGAAGATAATTCTTGTGCATCATCGAGAAAATATTACGGTACATAAAGCCACGATCACCATTACGAGATGGATGGAGGTTTATCGATCGCCATGATCTCTTCAATTGCCTGCATCAATGGATTTTCCAAAGATTTTCATAGATAAAGAATTATCAAGTTGTCTTGTTTTTAAAGTGCACTAAATTATAAGCCAAGTGTCATCAAACGTAGGTCATCAGTTATTATATTATGTCACACTGAATAGAACGCATTGATAAGGTGTTGGGTTGTAATGAATTATGTTTTGTCTTTTCCCCAAGAAATAACATGCACCAAAATTTTCAAGGAAAATTAATACACATGTTCCTTCACTGATCGATGCAAATGAGTGTTATAATGTATTTAAATTGCAAAAGTTAATATATTTATTTTATTAAGTGATAATTTAGTATGCCGCACGAATGTTGAGTATTTATCATCTACCATTGTGTTTGTTATATTAAATGCCAATGGAGGTCAGTTATTAGCTGTAAATTAATTTCTTAATGATTGCTCATTGCTGTTTTAGATATTTTACCAATGCAATTATACTCATCAAATGAAATTGTGGTATTTTCTGATAATTGTGGATTCAAATGGGAGATTTTAAAGAGAAGGTCGAGTTCTGGGAAGAGGTGAAAAATAATTTGTGAGCGTTATCATTGTTATTATGCAAGTGTGAAAGAACATCAGATAAAACATGTTCCCTGAAAAGCATGGCTCTTCAAATGCCTTTATATTCTAAATATGGCATGTAACATCGCAAAAATCGGGACGGATTTTTACGCCACGTGTTCGTGTAGTCCCATATAAACCTTTCTGTGTACAGTGCTTGTAACTTTACCAAAACCTGGCCAGATTTCTTATAATTTGATGATTCCAAAACCCTGCAATACACACGAATACATATACTAGATGATCAAACTTTTTTGGTCGATTCCATGCACACCGTTTCTTCCGCAATGCAATCGCATGATCAGAATTCAACTTCATCAGGCTACGACGCCGAAAGTGATGATGAATAAGATGATGAATAAGATGATGATGAAGATGATGTTGAAAATGATGATGATAATGATAACGAGGATGAAAATGATAATGATAATGATGATGATGATAATAACGATGATGATGTTGGTGGTAATAAAAAAGAATACTGAGGATGACGTTGATTATATAAAATTTGCATGGCCGGAGCAAAATGTCTCCGAGGATGTCAATTTTTTTTATTTTTTGTTGTTGAAGATTTAGGGCCGATAAGGGCGGGGGGGGGGGTTGTCCCCCCGGATGTGCCATTTGTGTTGTTCACTGCATTGGGGAATTCATGGAACGTCAGATGTTAAAATCAATCAACCTTACGTACTTTGAAATCGAAATTAGGCTGTATTTTCATACCATTATGTACCTTAATTCATATTGAATTTGATTAAAATCCGTCAAACATTACCAAAGATATCGAACGGTAACCAAATTTTCGAATATTAAGCTTTTTTCGCATATTTTATGATACATAAAAATTATGTAGCCTATACGCTTTCTCCAGTCCTTTTTTGTTTTGGTCATCACCCCGCGCCCTCGTACGTCTAGTTCTCTCTCTCTTCCATTTTCTTGACGTGAATTTATTGGGTTGCTATTACGTACGTGATACATATACACGGGACATACTCAAAACGTAGTTCTAATTTTAAAAATAATCATATTCTGTAACGGATTTAACGTTTTAATTAAAATTAAATCATAATTTAATTATAATTAGTTATATTATATACCTACACAATAATTTTGTGTATTTTTTAAAGCCAATTTACATAGGCCTACATGGTATTAGACCAGTTTTGGGTAAATGCCCCCTTCTCAAAAAATGAAATGGAAGCTCTTTACCAATCATGTGAAAGAATATCTTTTGACTTATACGTGATGATACAAATTTTCCCGGGAAACCACCTACTAATTGATATATTTTGGTAAATTATTATATCTATCTAGTCCGGATAGATATAATAATTTATCGCGTAGTCCCATATACATCTTTCTGTGTACAGCGCTGAACTTTACTAAGACTGATTTCATATCCAATTTTTTTTTCATTTTGATGATTCTAGAACCTTGCAGTACACACCAATATTTTATGCCAGATGATCAACCTTTTCTGATCGATTCCACAACGTTTCTTTCACAATCCAATCGCATGACCATGCAGAACTAATCTTTACCTTTAATATCCCCGATAATTTGAAGTCCTTTTATGATAATTCTGTAGAATAGTGATTATACAGTGTAGATCTGCAAGTGCGTTTTTTATTTGTACGTACAGCACGCCTCTTTGTATGCCTATTAAGTGCCTATATAATTATCTAAGGGAGACCATTACGTAATGTTACACAATGTTGTTGCACAGTCATCTTTGAGACTCTATCTGAACACGCGATCATTATAGGGAACAGAAACTTCCAGGTAATACCTACTTTACCCAGTTCTCTGTCGTTGAATTGCTGTATTTTTTTTTAGCATGGTGATGATAGCTCCATATCCTGGATCATGTCCGATTATAATAATGTTTCGATCCTTATTCCTGTGTCTGAAATATTGATGGTGATTGATGATGATGAGAAAATAGCCGCCATCGAGAGTATATATATATAGACATAGTGTATCCAGCAATTACGTACGACTAGCTCAAGCAAATTCAAAGGCTCATATAGCCAGGTTCCAATAATATCATGCACATGCGATCGACCATCATGATTTTATCTGCATTAATTGCTTTCATAATTTAACCGAACTGCATATGGCCGCATGACGTCTCATTTTCTGAGTATTATATAATGGCGACAACGGCGCCTCTGATATGGACGAGAAAACACATACACACTCAACTCACAACAGTATGTATATATCTGCTGCTGCTGTGTATAAAGCTGAAGGAAACTGCAATATATTATCAGTACGTACCTCAGGTGCTTTCTTTTCATGACAAACTGGATGCGTCATTTTTGTTTGACTATAAGAAGTTGTGTGGTCCGATCAACTAAAGCGATTCATATAACCTCTAGTATGCTGATATAAGTAAGACTGATATAGGGCCTATGCATGGTCGTCTTGTGAATAATATCTTGGCACGACTCGGGTTCACTTGTTTATACATCTGTTATTGAGATCTGAAACCTTGAACATGAGCGAAGAGGAAGCGTCAAGGAAATGGTACTCGGTCCGGAAGGTCGATTTCAAGTTGACTTGTGATTGCCTGGACGATGTGTTGAGACAGCATGTAAGTATACATAATTGTATAGTATTATCATGTAAACTGAGTCCATTGTATATCATCGGTCTCTACCCGAGTGTCGTAATTGGATTGAACCCCGAATGGCCGATGCTCATATAGAGAAAGAGCAATAGGTTATTCCTAGCTGCTGATGTGCATGCTTCGAAACTATAAAGAGACTTCTTTGAATAATATAGTTTCACAATTCTTGTCAGCTACTGTGCGATATTGTGGTACACAGTCACAAATCCAGATAGTACAGAGAATTATTGTACTCCGGGTATAAAAGTAACACCTTAATTGCTGGGGGTGGGGGGGGGGGTAGTGCGAAGGACAATTAATTATTCTTTCAGTAAGAAGTTGACTACCAAACGTAGATATGCATATTATCATTCCGTTACTCATGCAGTGTCTCGTATATGTACGTACATGATTATACATATAATATTCGTGATGTAAAAAAGCGCATGGTATCTTTTTACAGTTGGTCGGTTCTTCGAAAAAATAATGAATGTTTACATGCAAGTTCGGAGTTAATTACTAAATAGCACTAATTAATATGAAATACAGAACAAGTTACCATATATATTCGTAGGTCGACCTGAAATTGTATGTTTAACTCTATTTGTAGTGATATCTTAATCCTAAAAAGGCCGGGCTATTTGAGGTCTTAGTACGGCCGGGGGGCATTATGGGCCCCCTTAAGATCTCGGCTGCAAAGCGGCCGATCGCCGCGAAAAATTGCACGCATGTCAAGTTAAGTGTATAGAATAATATGATCATTTCAATTTTTTTTTTAATTTACTCATTTGCATATTTATGGTAATTTATGCACATAAAGTCATAAAAATCACATTTTTACCCGTAAATCATATATTATTCATATTTACGCATTCTTTTTCACTACATATATTCATTAGACCATTCTGAATAATAATACGACAAAAAAATTTGGAAGAGCCAGCTTATTCCTTATGTTATCCCTTGTTTTGATAATTTCTTATGTATTTCATTGTTTTTTAACTTATGTATTTCATTGTTTTTGTTAGTTTATTTCATTTCTTACTACAATTCAACTATTTTGACTCCAAAAACAACCACCTAAACTTTTAACAATACCCAATAACCCATGTTTGATCTGTTTTTAGGAAAATGACTTTTCCATATGTTTTGTACACAAATCACGAAAATGAGCGATTTTCGGGCTGACATGCAAAGACAAAAGGTCACGTGACCTTGTAACCGTAAGTCCGATTTTCAAAAAAAATCTTTTAAAAGTTGCGCAAGACTCGAAAGAAAAAAGTCAGCTAGCGGCGGGGCGCCATTCATATGCGTTCCCGAGCAATCGGAAAAATCGTGGAGGGGGGGGGGGACCATAATGACCCCCGGCCTTATTAGGGTTAAGTTTTACGATTTCCTTCTTTGCTGTGAAGATTATACAGTATAATTCGAAGTTCACATTTATAGCTTTATAAATCAATGTATACTACAATGCGGGCATATCCATATAAATATATAGTGCTCAGTACTATTGTGCCTCGATGAATATTGCAACCTATTCAATTGAGTTATATAGGAAGAGATATATATGGACCTATAATTTGTAGTCTATATAAAATAATAATACTAATAATGATATCAATAATAATAAAAAATAACAATCATAATGAAAATGATGGCAACCACAGCAAAACTAATAATACTTTCGATGTTGATAATAATCATAAAATATACTATATTTCCCATTATGATAAAACGACTTTAATTTCCCAACTATAATACCTCCCCAATATCCTTACAGGCAAGACTTACATGTATATAGGCCCTACTACGTGACACAGGGGCGTACGCAGGATTTTTTCAAGGGGGGGTTTTGCTCCCGAAAATTTGAAAATCGCGCCGGCCGAAAAGTCGCTCAGTGGGGGGGGGGGGGGGGGGGGGGGGGGCGGTCACTTTTTTTTTTTTTTTTTGGAGTCCAAAAAAAATCGCAACGACTCAGCCAGCCGAAAAGTAGCTCAGGGGGGGGGGGGGGGGGGGGGGGGGGGGGGGGGTGGGGGGGGGGGGGGGGGTGGGGGGGGGGGGGGGGGGGGCAAGCGGACACTTTTTTTTTTTTTTTTTCGTCTCGAAATTTCAAAATTTGACATTTTCCTTCGTTGGGGGGGGGGGGGGGGGGGTAAGGTCACCTTTTTTAGTTAACCGTGGGTATAATTTTTTTTTTTTTAATTAAAAAAAAAAAAAAAAAAAAAAAACCCAAGGGGGGGGGGGGGGGTTGTTTTTTTTTTAGGGGGGTTTACACACATAAAAATTACAAAGGGGGGGGGGGGTTTTGAACCCCCAAACCCCCCCCCCCCCCCCCCCCCTGCCGTACGCCCCTGACGTGACATACCAAAATTTATTGTCCCCTTTTACTGACCTTGCCCACTTTTACCAGACTTAGCCCGGAAAATACGGCCCCATGGACAATTACCCCTGGCAGTTATTTCGGACAATTTTACTAAATTTTTACGTAACTTCTCATGTACTTTCTTAATTTCAATGTATTTACTTTGTTAGGCGCCTTGAGCATCTCTTGGGGTGGATATGTGCGCATTATAAATGTTGTTATTATTATTATTATAAGCTACTCCTCCAGCTCAGCTAAGAGTTTTATATGAATACTGTAAGCATGCGTGACCAAGAAAACTCGTATAAAGGGGTGGACGCGGTCCTCGTGCCGCATTAAGGTGTTCAAAAAACGTCCATTTGGGGCCAATTTTAAGAAAAAAGGGTTTCTTTTCTTCAAAATGGTTCATATCATGCTGTACACACCGGTAAACTCGTTTAGCGGTATTTTTCTAGCTCTCATGGTTAATTCGGTGGAAAAACCACGCGAAATCCCCATTGTGGATGTATTGTGGCATCGGAAGAAATCCTCGTTTAGGGGGTGTCTGGGAAACCTGTGGTCACGCATGCTTACAGTATTTCTACATGACTGTGACCCCTCGGGAGGCACGCAAACACCATCATATCCTGAAACCGAATCATGACATCTATAAATACAAAGAGTATCATGCACCCCGGACAACTGCCCCCAAAGAAAAGAAATGTCCTCAGGGCAACTAATTTACCCCTACAGCTAATCTTCACATTTAATCAAATTAATCTACAAAACCTGTAACCGTAACAGCCATATCAGCTTGGATAATTATCCCAAAGAAAATCTATCCCCGGACAACTATCTTAAAGGACAACTTCACTCTAGACAATTAACGCCGAAAACAGTATATATAATAGACAGTAATAACTTGGCAATTGTCGCAGGAGTAATTGGGGTAATAATCCTGTGATAATATTCCGGGGTAATTGCCTTACGGAGAGTTGTCCGAGATGGTTGCATATTAAATAGGCACTTTGGTAGCCTATAGTTAATTGTCAAAGGCCGGGTTGTTGTCCTTGAGGAAAAGTTTATTTGGGGTTGTTGTCTGAATAAATGTCAAGGGGCAATTGTCATCGTAGATAGTTTACGTTTGGGTAGTTGCCCGGATAGTTGTCGAGGGGTAATTGTCCTTGGGGCTAGTTGTCCGGCTAGTTGTCATTTGATGATTGTCGTTGGGAGAATTTTATCTTGAGATCGTTGTCCGAGACAGTTGTCCTACAAGGTAGTTGACTGAGTATTTGTGATGGGATAACTGTACTCGTTTTTTTTTTTGTCTGAGTACGTAGTAATCGTTCGGGGATTATAATCATGTGTACTTTCTCGTCCGGTTTCAGGACAAGTTGTAGTTCTTTTTATTAAGAAAATTATAACCATAAAACCAATTCTCCCTTCCCTCTCCCCCCCCCCCCCCCCCCCCCCCCATCCGTCTCTATCTCTATCAAACAGAAACGTGTGCCATTTATAGTCTACGCTACATATCGGTTAATTTTGGCTCTCTACTTCTTCGCCTTCCTGATCTTCTTTGGCGTAAGCAGTGCCGAGTTTCTAGGAGTCAAATTTCTCATCTACTTGACGGACTGGACTTACATAGTGGTCACACTCTATGCTATGGTTGCCTGTTTTAATACCCTCACAACCAAAAGCTGCTATTGCATTGGCGGCTGCATAGGAAAGGGTAAGAAGTTTAAAGGGACTTGGTAACATTGTAAAGATGAGAGAAAATGGTGCTAATATAGTGATTTCAATGCTAGATGTACAATTAAAGATAATCTGAAAGTTTGAGTGAAAACATACTATTATTAACGATAAAAATTGGGGAAAACTGATCTGATCGATACCTTAATTTTTCCAACTACATTTTTACAATTTAATTGCATTTTAGGTGAATGCAATGATCACAAAGCAATGTATTGGCTCTACATACCATTCCAGACATTTAGGTGTTGAAGGATTTTAAAAAGCCTGTCTTTTGTCTCATTTTCATGGAAAAACAGTTGGGAAAGTTCAAAAATGGTTGGGAGAATTTTGATAATCACTATTAGAGGGTGTTGCACAGTGACGCCTTCGTAGAAAATCATTAATATCTTTGTGGTTTGAGAATTTGTTCAAGGTTTTTTTGCATGTTAGAGGGTTAGAACAGTAGAAGGAAGATAACAAGTATCATTTCGTACAAAAATTACGCAATTTTTTAATCAACCTTCAACAATGTTACTGAGTAACTTTAATAAATGACACGATCGCAAAGACATTCGCAAAATCAACTCAAGGGCGATTTCAATACCCGGCCTCTTGTACAGCTTTTAGAAATCATTTTCGTTCTTCCGTAATACATGTACGTCATTTTGAATTAATGTTCGCACATTCCAATGTGTAATGCACAAGGTATATAACTGAACATTTCTTAGGTTGATTTTTCTCAAGTCTTTGCGATCAGGATTAATGTATACATATAAACATACATGTATTTATTTGGCAGATATATTATCCATACTTTTAAAAATACGACTGTGCCCAACGTGTGAGCAGTATTGTCTCCTTTAGTCTCCCTTCCAACTGCAGTATAAAATAAAGTGAAACTGGATAATATTTACAGGTATTATTCTTTTGTAAGGTTACTTTTATTATTTACCTAATAACTTTATTTGGGTACTTTATCGTCATTCATCACAGGTATTTTCCGGAAGCAGGTCCAGTGGTTCCTTCTCAACATATCCGCCGCGGTTTCCCTTATAGTCACCGTCGTATACTGGACCGCACTCCGCCCCTTGATGTCTGAGAAGCTCCCTGTATACCTCGATGTCACCATCCACCTCCTACCGGCTGTCATCTGTCTCGTTGACATTCTTCTCACCACCGTCATCGTCCGCTTCGTCCATGTCGTCTACCCGTTCGCCTACCTCTTCTTCTACCTGCTCTTCGCTGTGATCTACTGGGCGGCCGGTGGTACGGACCCCGCCGGGAATCCCTTCATATACCCCATCATCGACTTCGGGAACTATCCCGGGATCTCCGTCGCGTCGGTGATCGGCGTCTGTCTTGCGACGCTGATGGCCCAGGCGGCGTTGAAAGGTTTATACGCACTGCGTCATCGCTACATTGATGAAGTACGACCAGATGACGCGGTTTATTACAGCCATCAAGTTTTGGAAGTTGAACTGGAGAACCAAAGATGACCCTATACCAAGCTTGATGCTTAAAAAAGTGTTCTGTCTCTCTTTCTCTCTATAGCTATTTTAATTTCATATTGCTCCTTCCCTTGCTCCGTCTCTCTCTGTAACCCACCCCTCTCTCTCTCTCTCTCTCTCTCTCCCTCGTTCTGTCTCTGTCTCTGTCTCTCTCTCTCTCCTTAACCCACCCCTCTCTTTGTGTCTCTTTCCCTAACTCACCCTTCTCTTTCCATTGCTCTCTCTCTCTCTCTCTCTCTCTCTTGAGAGTAAATTTTACACTCTCGGGTATGATTTTCCTTCCTTGAAAAGTAGGTTTTGTTATTGAATTCAAAAGTCTTTCCAATTAAAGCTTGGTGCATCATACATGTACAACTCCAACTGCCATGCTACGTCAAATTTTCCAAGAAAATGGCTGCGCCCATGTCATGCCAAGGAATCTTTATTTATATCTCTTGTACACGTTCATAAGGTTTATTGTGCATCAAAAGGCATGAATTCATCTCGTTTTCGGAATACCTACACTTAGTCTTTGGGTTTAGTTCTCCTTTGAAGGGAAAACCTACCTTGATAGCAAACTACTGTAGAGGAAAGCAGAATGATTAAAGAAGACTGGTTAAAGTTTAAAATTTCCCACTTTACTACTTTTAGCTACTTGCCTGTCATTCCCCCATGACCCCCTTTTCTTATTTGTTATTGAGAGCTGATTTGATGAGATAACCACCCGTCAGTGACCTTGCAGTCAGCTATGAACGAAAGGTTACCATACATGTTTCGAAAGAGTGTATGATATTCTGAATCGTTTGGTATCATTTTTGTGTGGTATGTGTTAACGCTTGGATGAACAGGAGGCGTTAATTGTTTGCGAGAGTGCAAAAATCGACTTGCGCAAAATTATTAGAGTGAGAGGATGAATTGAATGTATCAAATGAGATGCATTGTTTATGCTTTTTCAGAAGTAAGTTCACACACACACACACACATATTGTGGCATATTATTAGTGAATTTCAATTCCATTTTGATAGTTAATGGGAAATTTGCGATTTTACAGAAATGTTCATTGGTTAATAAAGACTTGGCTGCGTGTGTTTTTGCATTGTGCGAGTGCGTGGAAGTGTGTCTGTGTATGTGACTGATGACTGAGTGAAAATGGAAGGAAAGCATGTGAAGGTAAAATAACAAAAAATGAGTGCTATAAGGCTATGAAATTAAACAAGTCTCCTGGCAATGATGGTCTTAGTTACAGTTGAATTTTATTTTACGTTTTGGTTAAGTATCGGAAATATTTCGGTAGATGCTTTAAATGAAGGTTATGTCATGGGGAGATTATCCAAAAACAAGGGGTTATTACTTTGATTGGGAAGGAAGGGAAAGACACAACAAAGTATATGCCGATTACATTATTATATGTTGTTTACAAAATGTTGTCAAAGGTGTTAGCTACAAGAATTAAGGGAGTACTTGAGGAAGTCATACACGTAGACCAGGTGGGCTTTATGAATAATCGTAATAGTGGAGAAGCGGTACGTTTAATTATTGATGATATGTTCTGTTTTTTTAATGAGGAGTCAGATGATAAAGCCTGTAGTTATTTGATTGCGGTTGATTTCGAAAAAGCATTCGATTCCGTATCTCATACTTTCCTCTTCGGAGTCTTAGAAATATTTGGGTTCGGTCCCTAATTTTGTACGTGGGTAAAAATTATTTACGGTAATATAAGTAGCTGTGTTATGATTGGGGGTTTTGCTACTGGTTATTTTGATATTAAGCGAGGGGTAAGACAAGGAGATCCACTCCCGCCCTATTTATTTATTCTCGCTATTGAAATATTGATAACAGTAGTGAGGAATGATGAGGTTATTAAAGGCGTTAATATTGGAGGAATTGAAGTCAAACAAGATTTATATGCATATGACATGACAATATTTGTTAGAAATAAAAAATCTGTAGAAAGAGTAAAGGAGATTTATACGTTATTTAAGAAAATAAGTGGTTTACGGGTTAATGCGGAAAAAACTAATATTATGAAATTGGGGAAAAGCAAAGACAAATCAGAAAAACCTCCCTTCGGAAATGTGGTTAAAGAAATTAAGATTTTGGGATTTTATTTTGCGTTAGACGTCAGAATAAGAGAGGAAATGAATTATAACGAGATTTTAAGCAGATTAAAAGCCTTCTCAGATGGTGGAAAGAGAGGGACTTTACGGTGTTTGGATTAAGAGATTAATATTGTATCAAGGTTATAATGAAGGAGGGTTACGAATGACCAATTTTGACTCGTTTGTAAAAACCCAACGGGTAATGTGGGTGAAAAAACTATTGTGCGGAGAAAAATCTATGAGATGGAAGCTATAATTTGATTTCTGCTTCAAGATGGTAGGGGAAAGATTTATTTTTAAAGTTCTATTTAGAAATGATCAAAGCATGGGAAGGATTAATGGGTTGTAGGAATTTTGAAGAAAGAATAATCCAATTATTTATTTCTTATTGAAAAAGTAAAAGATTTTTGATGAGGAGTTGTTTACACGCAATATAATTTCAATTCAAGATATTTTTGCTGAAAATGGCATGCGGGCAATATCTCATTTTCAACATTAAGGGTTAAAAGGAAACTCGAAATTTTTTATGTATGGAATATTGGGGAAGTTTTTTTGAGAAGCGGGAAAAAAGGAAAACTGGAGTTTAGTGGATGTAAAAGAGTATGAATGTAGTTTAACAATACTGTGAAGCTCCTCAGAGATGTATTATCGAGGAAGGTTTATGAATATTTTATAGAGAAGTTACACAATTTATTTGTCTTGAAGTTTCATGATGGACGGGAATTTTCAGATTTTTTCAAAGAGGTATGTAGGGAAATATTTAGTAGGCCTAGGAAAGTTACTCTTGTTAACAGACTAAGAGAAATTCAATATAAACTGCTTCATAGAGCGATATATACTAGAGAACATTTATTAAGATTCGGCTTTGTTGTAGATAACTTGTGCTCATTTTGTAAGCAAAAGATAGAAACATATTTACACTTGTTCTGGGAGTGTGTACATGTTCAAAGATTATGACAAAATGTTATAGCTAAGTTTGAGCTGAGGGAATTAAGATCTATCGACTGGATAAATATTCATTTAGGGTTGTCCGGTAATTCCCAACGAATAAAGATTGTTAATACAATTATTTTTGCAATGAAATATTGGATATATAGATGCAGGGGAAAGTCCGTAATATTGTCTTTGGGGGAGTTTCAAAAAGAAGTGTTGGAATTCAGGGAAGAAAAAAATATAAAGAATATTGCAGGGAGGGCAGGTAAATTGGCCTTACATTGACAGAAGTGCCAGGGAACAAGTAAAGTTTTCGTGAATTTTAACACTGGGCTATTGTGGCTATTGTAGCCTCGTTTAAATGATAAAAAAAGAAGTTTTAAATAGATTGTTTCTGTTTGTCTGTCGCTCCAATTTGGGGTATTCTGAGGCTAGGAACAGTGTGGTGGAAGTGTGGTCGGGTGGAAGTGTGGTCGGGTGGTGTGTATGTCGCATGGTTGGGAGGGGGGTAATAGTGTGTTTGGTTGGATGGGGTTATTTTTTTTATGTTACAATTGATTTCATTTTTGTTTTTATCAATTGTACAATCTATGTAACGAAAATGTTTTGAATTCATGTCAAAGAAAAACAACTGTATTTTTTTTCTAAGATGTATTTGTAATGTTTGGAATCAATGAAAAAAAGTATTGGAAAAAAGTAATTATGTGTGTGTTTTGATTTGTGTGCCCTAATTAATTTTGTTAGGGATGTTATTTGGATCTGCAAAGATCGAATTAATACCCGAATCCCAATTGTTTTATTCAAACAGCATACCTAGGCATCACTTTGGCACAAGTTGAATTTTGTACTCTTTATATTGTCTCCTAGTCATTCAGCTACATACCACACAAAAATGATACCAAAAGATTTGGGGAAAAAACACTCTTTTATAAGATGTATAATAATTTACAGTTCATAAATGATTTTTTTTTTTTTAATTATCAAATTTCTAGGTGTTAACTTTTTATTGACTCACACTGTATAGGTATGGGCTCTTCAATTTGGCTGAATCTCTATGATGTAGGGTGAGTAGCGGAAAACTTTCCCATTTGTTCAAACACACAACATGATTAAAATTTCAGGAGGGTCTTTTCTCTTTAGACGACCTACGATAAATTAATGCTCTCTTTAATATAACTTGAGTAGTGCATGCCTCAAGGAAGAAGACAAGAAAAACAGAAATTAACTAGACTTTAATTCGTCACTTTGACGAACTAGGTGATACGTATGCTATTTTTGTATCATGAAAGTGTGCCGATGATGATCTAATGATAATATTCATAAATACGATAATAAAGATATTAATGATGATGATTTATTTGATTTAAATGACGATGACAATGATTAAAAGTGGTATAGCGCCCCTTCAGGTATTCGATAGACAATTGTTATATGATTAATTTACTAAACAAGCTCAAATTTTCGCCTGATTGCAGAGCATACCAATCATTGAACTGATATTTCGACGCACTACATACGCAACATAATGAACAAGTCTAGACTGGAATGTAGTATCATTCACCTCCCATAGGCATAAGACGCATATTAAGCAAACAATCTAATGACGTCATCAAAATGAACAACTATTAGTAATAATATTGTGAAAATTGTCTCAGCTACAACGTATCAAAATTTAGAAGAAAATTGATCAATATTTGCAGAGATACAATCATTTTCTGTAAATATGTTGACGTCATAATATGCAAATTTTGACTTCCAAGGCCATTATGATGACGTTGAAATGTACTTAATGGTCAAATGAGAAATGAAATCATATCTCCGACTCATATAATCAAAATAAAAGAACAATCGGGGGTCTAAGTGCATCCCAAAGAGCTGTGATGGATTTTGTGTAATCATGTTTTTGCCTATATATGCTATGTATTACATGTGCTCGTGCGCACGGCAATTTATCTTACACGGACGCCCATTCCGTTATGAAATATCATGAAAGAACAAAAAATTGTGTTTCTTTGTTGTGTAATGGCGTTACACGCAAAAACGCGCGTGCATAAATTTCGAAATTCTTTAAATGGCCTAGAACATACTCTGTTTTGATTAAAAAGTGAATTTGAGCATTTTAAAATTCAGACGCGCGCGGATTTTGATGAGATGTTATGTCGAACCTTGACCTGAAGTTCATGTGTTTTAGATATGGTTCAGTTTTGATGACTCGTTATGAAGATATGATTAAAAGTTGATTTCCACAAAATAGCGCTTGGATGACGTCACGATGATTTTGAGTTACTGAAAAGTGTCACAATTCTAAGTTGTGCTAATATTAATCATCATGGCAAGTTTCATGATAATGGCTTTATTCATTCATGAGATATCCTGCGAACAAATTAATGGCAGAATAATGAATGGGAATGATAATAACTTGAATTTGTCACTTTGACAATTTAGGTTATACGTATGCTAATGTTTTAAATAATGAAGAATGTATTTTCACGATTTTATATTATCTTCTAAAATGCTCTTCCTATAAAAGGTCAAAAAACCAGTATTGGAAACGCCCCAATTTCAAAAAATGAAATGGAAGCTCTTATTACCAATCATGTGAATGAATATGTTTTGACTAATACATGATGATAACAATTATGCCGGGAAACCGCCTACTAATTGATATGTTTTGTAAATTAGTTTATCTACATGGTCTGTGAGAGATAAACTCACGTGTCGCGCACGTGTGCGTATAGTCCCATATACATCTTTCTGTGTACAGTGCTTGTAACTTTACGAAGACTGGGCCAAATTTCTTATCATTTTGATGATTCCAAAACCTTGCAGTACACACCAATACTTATATGCTAGATGATCAACCTTTTCTGATCGATTCCACAACGTTTCGTTCACAATGCAATCGCATGACCATAACTGGTCTTTACCTTTAAGGTCTATCTATATGAAAAGTTTCAACTGTGTAGTATATTGACCATTATGGATCTATGGAAGATAGATTGAGACGATATATGACAATTGACCCCATACAATAAGCAGTTACACCTTTGACCCTAATTGACATAACAAAGAATGCATTTTCACAATTTCATCTTCTTCCATGAAATGCTCTACCCGTCATGTTTACCTAGATTGTGCTGCGCATAGATTCAATCGCATTATTTTGGGCCATTACAAGAAGTGGGTTATTGATGTGGACAAATGCTCATGTACCCTTTAAGCTCATAGAATGTATTTTATTACCAGAGGGAAAAAAAATTGGTCAGTCACTCAATAGTGTCTGACAGTAAAGTATAGAAGGTAAAGGGGTTTCCTTGTTTAATTTGAATAATAGAAAACTGCTAACGTTTATATTTCACAAATATGACAAACGTGACATATGCATAATTCCTACAATGTTCTACAAAATTTGCGAATTTAACTTTCAATTGAAAATTTCGACATGATCCCACCATCTGATCAAAAAACAAAAGACACAACTTTTATAGCCCATAGTCTCAGCTATAACATACCAAAATTCGGGAGAACATAGAGCACAAATAAGCTAGATAGTGCTCAAAGATTAATGTCATGTAGATCCATGATTTGAACTAAATTGGCACCTTCCACAGGCTTAACACGCAAATTAAACAAATCTGTCAAGTTACCTTTAATCGCAATTTTCACTATGATGATGTCATCAAAATGAAAAATAATATGCAGTTAACTTGTAGACAATTGCCTCAAATACAAGATATCAGAATTAAGAAGAGAATCAATCAATATTTACAGAGATACAATCAATTTTCCATAAATATGCTGACGTCATAATATGCAAATTCGAATTTTGCGTTCCAAGGTCAATATGATGATGACACGATATACTTAAAGGCCAAATGATACATTGAATCACATCTCCGACTCATACTCTATCCGAATCTGAAAAAAAATTGAGGGTTCCCGTCCATCCCAAAGAGTCATAAGGGTTTTGTGTAGGCATGTTGTTGCCCATATATGCTATGTATTACATGAGCACGCGCGCACGGACGTTTATCTTGAACGGACGCTCATTCCCTTATTAATGGTCATAAAGAGATAAACATGGTATCAAATTGTTCGGGAAAACATGAGGAATACTGTGTAAAAAAAAAACCCAGGATGAATTATTTTGCGTTCGGCC